AAATTAAAATATTAAATCCTATCAGGTAGGCTAGAAAAGTCACTAGTAATCCCACGTGATCTGTTTTCAATAGCATGCCGGTTGCATAAGGAAGGGCACAGTTGCTGATTCTGCGTTGACTTTGGAGGTCATATTGGGCCGCTGTTACACTCTCCAGCGTCCAATGGGGCGTCTACTTATACATGTCTATGGGCTCTACGTCTACGTGATGCTGCCGTAAAGCAACACGCAGTCAGTACTTCCCCCGGTGGATCGCGGGTCAAAAACCTGTATACTGTGGTAAACAGACATGGGACCCCATAACATTATCACAGCTCCAAAAATGAACATAATCGATAGTATGCTGTAAAAACCTTTCAAAACACTTTATTTTGAGGTGTAAAAGTTGTGGAATGTGTCTTTAAGGCTGTAAAACCCCCAGCTCCACACTTTATACACTTTTCTCAGACAGACATTAACATTTTCACACTTTTCTCTCTGCGCTGTAAAAAAAAGCATGCAAAATTCTGCTGTTTTCAGGTGTATTTATTAGTTTTCCCTGAAGTAATTAACTAAAGTGAGCTGCCTGAACGCTTTTATGAGCTGCCTGAAGCTTTTTCCTCACAGAAACACCGCCAGAACCCTGAACATTGATTATATCACGGCCATAGCAGCACCATGAAAACAATAAAACAACCAGGTGCGCCACCCGTGCGTTCGGTTCGGTTTGGGTCCGGCATGCTACCTCTGTAACGATTAAAACCAGTAGAATCCCTGGATGTTTTTTTCGCCAAGCAAAGACTTTTCACATCCAACACTTTTCCTCTCAGCCACGGGCGTTTTCTCCTTTCAGACATAAATTGTTCAGCTGTTACGCTAGCTTGTTCAAACAGCGGCTGGATCCAGACTCTGATTGGTTCTTTTCTTGTCGAGTTCCACCTCTTCTAATTGCTGATTGGTTCTTTTTTCCATTCGCCTATGTTTTCCATTTTCTGATTGGATTTTCGTTATGTCACCTATCGTTGTCGCCTTTTATTTATTACAAAAGAATCTGCGAGACAACGAGGGACTACTGTATCTAAAAGCTAAATTATTTTGAAAATAAATATTTGATTATGGAGCACAGATAAAAGAACTGCAGCAAGAATCAAAGCCCACAAAATTAAATGTTTACTCATTTCTTTACATGGAGGGCTATGAGGGTTTAAAGCGATTATGCAGCCAGCCACAAGGGGCTTCTGGGTTTAATTTGTCTGTTTTGTGCAGCTTCTACTTGCAAACATCTCTAGATTTTTGTGCCCATGGTCCTCTTAAGGATGAGATCTCATGGGCAGTTATAACTAGGGATGTCCCGTTCCGATATCGATATCGGAATAATTCAATATCGGCCCAAAAGCAATGTATCGGATTATATCGGACTGCATCAAAAATCTCCGATATAAGCAGTCCGTCAAGGTTTACACTTTTGCAACCAATTATGAAAAAAAAACTTGTGATTTTTTTCATACTGATATTGTAGAGCTGAGCGATATGGCTTAAAATTAATATCACGATACATTGAGGATTTCACCTCGATAACGATAAATGGACGATAACTGTAGGTATGTGCAGAAACAAAAGTTGTCCACTAGATGGGGCTGTCACATATATCACATTGAGTCACATTTTTACGTGACTCAAGGTGGTACAGCTTCTTAAAGGGGCATGAACATTGCCAACCTACACACACCTTTTCAATTTTTATTATCAGATTTATTGACATGGGAAAAATGATCACGATAATAGTCAGAAATTTTGATAAGGATAAATTTTCGATTTATTGCCCAGCCCTATGATACTGGCTCTTGTTCTCCAATTGAGTAATATCACTTGATCGAGCCTTTCGTACATTCCACACTACAAAATAGGTTAAAATGTATTCTTTGTGCTGATATCGTATGGGATTGCTATCGGTATCGTATCGGAAGTAGAAAAGTTGTATCGGGACATCCCTACTTATAACTTTAAATAAATCCCAGAAAATGGCCTTTTTTGGAATTCGCCTAACTCAAGATGGCCACCACAGCGCATTAATGGCCTTAACTCAGTCAGTTTTACAGATGTTGAGCAGAAACGTGACGTACTGAGAATCATTTACAACATAAACTCTGATTGTGTGTAAATCTTGAAATATTTATAAGATATGACCAAAATATTATTGTCTCCATCATTTCTCAAGCTAATTAATATATAATGAGTCTTTATGATGATTAGCTGACTTCTACAGTGAAAGCTACGTGTAAATCAGATATTTGACCTCTTCCTGACTGCTCTTGTTTTCTGTTTGTAAAGGGTTTAACTTACATGTTATTTAAGGAACCATGAGACCTGAGATTCCATAGGAAATATGGAATCAATCTTATGGATACGTATGTGGGTACTGTTTAACCAGAAGATTGGAACTTTTTATTGCAGGGATTATGTAACACTTCGTAATCACTCAGAGACAACAGAAGAGAGAGTCAAGTTTTAAAGTTTAAAGATTTATTACTAAACAAATTAAAATTAGACTAACTTTAAACACTAAATGTATGGTGTAACTAAGGTGAATGAGACGGAGAATGGTGTAGTGTGGAATGTTGTTCAGAACCAGCAAATCCGAATAAATGATTAGTTCTGATGGGAGTGAAGGTGATGTCTTCACGCTAATCTTTGATTTGGAGATTCATAAACACATAAGACGCCATTTTTGTCGCTCTACACATACCCTTAGAATGAGACCTCCGTACAGATCCAGAATGTCAGGTCCTCGAACCCCTCTTTCAGTACCGGAGCCGATGAAACAGCGTCAGCAGTACGACAGACTAGTCTTTGGATTGTCTCCAGGTAAAAAGCGACGGTTGGTTGACAGTGTCAGATGGACCCGGAGGGTCAATGAGTTCAGCTTTTATTCTGAAAGGAACCGTTGCTTGGTTGGTAAAACGCAACAGATTTTATCCAGCTTGTCGTTGGTTCTTTCGGCTGAAGAGGAAAGTTACGGATTGGCCACTCCGACAACTTCACTAGAACGCTTTGAACTGGCGTTAAAGATGACGTGGGCATAGTTTTATACTATGTTCTCATTCAAACGCCAGCTGTTAAACATTTCAAATTTTGAGTTTTTAATAAATGTTCAAAGATTAAAGTTTTCTGCTGTTAAGCATTTTTTTATCCATTCTTCACCTATATTCTGAGCTTTATTACACTTGTTGGTGATTTTTGCTTCTAAATCTTTAAATACATTCAGCTCATTTTGACAGTTTAGCTTAGTTTCAGCTTCACTTCAGCTATTCAGCAGCTTCAGCAATCCGTTTCTGAATTTGGCTTATGCTACTCATTTCACAGTTCAACTAAATATGAAAATTAAACTGTTAAACTAGTCCTACTCAAACAACAAGTGTTTAGACATTTTTGCTGTCCAGATTTTTAAATAATGTTCAGATTTCAGTTTTCTGCTGTTTAGGATTGTTTTCTCCGTTCTTCACTTTTTGTGCTTTATTTACATTTTGGTGCTTTTTGCTTCTAAATCTTTCAAAACATTCAGCTCATTTTAACAGTTTTGCTTAGTTTCAGCTTCAGCAATTAGTTTCTGAATCCAGCGTATGATGCTAATTTCACAGTTCAGCTGAATGTAAAAATTAAACTGTTAAACTAGTTAAACTAGTCCTACTGAAATAACAGGTGTTTAGACATTTTAGCTGTCCAATTTTTTTAAACAGTGTTCACAGATTTGAGTTTTCTGCTATTTAGGATTAGTTTTCTTGATTCTTCACTTACTTATTGTGCTTTTTTTTGCTTCTTGGTGCTTTTTGCTTCTACATCTTTCACTACATTCAGATCATTTGACAGTTTAGCTTAGTTTCAGCTTACTTCAGCTATTCATCAACTTCCCAAATTTAGCATAAACTGCTAATTTCACAGTTCAGCTAAATGTAAAGATTAAACTCTTAAACTTGGCAAACTGAAATAACAGGTGTTTAGACATTTAAGCTGTCCAGATTTTTATACAATGTTCACAGATTGAAGGTTTTTTTTGCTATTTAGCATTATATTTCTCTATTCTTCACTTACTTTTTGTGCTTTATTTGCTTGTTGGTGCTTTTTGCTTCTACATCTTTCAAGACATTCAGCTCATTTTGACAGTTTTGCTTTGTTTCAGCTTCAGTTCAGCTGTTCAGCAGCTTCAGCTTACAGTTTCAGCTATCCAGCATTCAAACAGCATTTGTGCAATAAATGCAATTTTTCTAGTTAATATTTTCATTTCACAAATTGGTTCACATTTTATTATTGACTAACACTTTGTTTGATTCGCATATTAAAAATAGAGTTCTTTGATTTATTAAAAAGAAAGAGTCCTTTGTCTTCATTCTTCTCTTGAGCTGGAAAGGAAAACAGTTTAGGAGCAGATGCATGAGACCTTGAGGCAATATCTCATGCAGATTAGTTCTCGCTGAGGAGAGGGGGGAAATGACTTTTAGATGGAAAACAGTCATTTCATTCCGTTACATGTTCAACTAGTTTATTAAGCAACCTTTTAAATCTTTTTCAATTAATATTTATACATTCTGCTTTTGGGGATTTCTGTAAAGTAGGTTTAATGCTGGTTCACAGATGTCATGTAACTTGATAAAGTCCAGAAAGCCTTGAAATGATGCTAGTTTGTTCAGACGGTAACGTTAAATGAGGCGGTTGCTTCCTGTGTTTCCTGAGGAGTGTTGCTGGGATATTATTAATGACTCAAAGTTGCACTTGTTGCTTTTGTTGCTTCATCAAAAAACGTAGATGTCTAAGGGTCACACACTCACACTGGAAAATCCCTCCAAGCCGACACGTCTTCTACTTCCGTCTCCGTACTCCCAGTGTGCTTTATTCATGCCGCCTTAAAGCTGAGAGTTGTTACGAGGGGAGAAGAGCCTTCCCCTGGACGTGTCCTGCAGGTGTCATTTAATACACGCCTCACAGGAACACTGACTGGTGTGTGACTGATTCTCTGTTTTCCTCAGATATATCGGCAAATCCGACTCCATCACAATCAGCGTCTGGAACCATAAAAAGATTCATAAGAAGCAAGGAGCTGGCTTCCTGGGCTGCGTTCGCCTTCTGTCCAACGCCATCAACCGCCTTAAAGACACGGGCTGTAAGTCTCACATGTTCTATTGTTTTTATTTTATCTTTGACTCTACTTAAATTCTCTACACCTGTTTTAATTTTGCTGACAACATATTTTATTGTTTTTATTTCCTGTGAAGGAATTTTTTTAAACAAAAGCTAAAATTTATACTTCTAGAAAAATGTAATTATGACAAAGAAAGAAAACGATCTTTTATACAGCGCCTCTCAAGATAAAAATCACGAGGGGCTTCACAAAAAAACAACTGAAGCATAAAAAAGATTTCAAAATATGATTAAAAAAATGTTTAAAATGAGAAATAAATAAATTGTGGTTAAAAAAAATTTTTTTTGATTGAACAAACCTTGATGGACATCTTTGTTGATGAATTCAATTCAAGTTTATTTAATAAAGCTCCAAATCACAACAAGAGTCATCTCAAGGCATTTCACATAAAAACTATCCAATACGGGTCAGGTCATTAAGCCAATCAGGAAAAAAAGTTTCCTATATAAGGAACCCAGCATGTTGAATTGATTCACGTCACTGACACTAGTCAGTGACGTGAATCAATTCTCATTCTAAGCAAGCATTTAGCGACAGTGGAGAGGAAAACTCCCTTTTAACAGGAAGAAACCTCCAGAGGATCCTGGCTCAGTATAAGCAGCCATCCTCCATGACTCACTGGGGATCGAGAAGACAGAGCACACACACACTCACACACACACACACACACACACACACCAAGCAATGTGTCTATAGTTACATTGTGATTTCTTAGTAAATATTCTACTTGGTGAAAGATAAACTTTATTATATTGATCTTAGTGGATCTATAATTAAACGGGTAAACTAGTAGTAGCACATCCAACGTCAAAGAGAGTAAAGTGTTAATATCAGGAGAGGGAGAATGATTAAATGTTAGCAACAGTGTGCTAGACGATGGCCCCCTCCATGAGGCCACCACAGCGCAGCAGAACATCATTGTAGCTTCTTCTGGGGAGAAAAACACTTAGAGAGAAAATAAAGTTAACAGCTGAAATAGCAGGAAATAATACAGTTAAAGAGCAGATTGTAGAAGAAAGCAGAAGAGTTTGGAAAGTGGTCAGTGTATCCTCCAGCAGTCTAAGCCTATAGCAGCATAACTACAGAGATAACTCTGGATAACCTAGCCTTTTAGATGAATGAAAGACGACAATGAAAATTGACAGTATCAAAAATACGATCAGAAAAGAGAGCGGACAAAAGAACCAATCAGCAAAGGAATCGGTGGGACTAAACGAGACAATAACCAATCAGAGTCCGGAGCCGGCCGCTGTTTGAACATGCTACCAATAACAGTTGAACGGTTTATGTCTAAAAGGAGAAAATGTCCACAGCTGGGAGGAAAAGCATTAGATGTGACCGTCTGTAAAGTCTTTGCATGGTGAGCACACATCCGGGGTCGTTTTTCGTTTTTGTGGTGTTGCTTTGGCATTCTGTATTATCAGTGTTCGATGTCCGGATGGTGTTTATGAGGGAGAAAAAAACATTCAGGTGGCCCACTTTCGTACGTGAGTGCAGGTAAAACTAATAAATACAACTGAAAACGTTCTTACCTTTAGCTTACCTCCTTGTATGATTGGAGTAAGTGTTTTTAATGTTTTGATGGTACGATATGTCAGAAAACGGTTTACAATATGTTGCGATATAAAAAGCTAGACTAGATTTGCAATTTTTAAGACAGAATTTAATTAGAGAAATGAGTCCAGGCGCTTCGAAGGCCCAATCCCAACACGCACTTCCATACTTGCGCCCTTCAATTGCACGATCCCGACCAGGGGTGCGAGTGCATAGGGTGTCCCGATTCAGCGCAGATTGTGCATAAGACAATGCAAAGGAACCTTGCCTTGATGTCTTGGCCCCGCCCCGGTCGCCTAGGAGATACGTCATCGGGAGCCGCCAAGACGTGTTCCAGTCGGGTCCAGTATTCATGTTATACCGAGGCGTGTGTTCTCCATTTGTTAGCCATTTAGCTAGCTGAGCAAGGACATGTGGGAGGTGTCTTGTAGCCTAGCCTTGGCCAAAAATTACCCACAATACACCGCGGTATTCTCAAAAGGATGGCAGATCAGAAGCCGGCAGCTACTTCAGGGACAAATTTCAAGTCTAAAAGTAAGTCCGCTAATTTAAAATGCTTGTTTTAGATCCAAAGAAGTTATCTGTGGTTGGTTAGTTGCTTAGTAGTTGCAGCTTCGATGGCTAGCGGTTAGTAACTCACTTATATTTTTAATTTAATAAACGTATACACAATTTAAAAAGTGAAGGGCTCGTTATATATTTATATTGAAACTAGTACGTATAAAATATAATGTTATCTCCCGTGTCACGTGACCGCCGTGGAAGCTGCGGTCACGTGATGCAAGTGTTCCATTTAACCGTTTTCTTTGACCAAGGAAGGACAGTGTCCTCGTAAGCAAGGCGCCTTGACATGGAGAAACACCACCAGTGTTATCAGGAGATCTAGTTGTTCCGTCAGGGCGAAGGCTTTACACACTGCTGCCACCTACTAGCTGGAGTTCGAATTGTACCACGAAGCAGAAATACAGTAAATTTTTGCAAATTAATTTACAGCAAAAATGCGATACACTGTTTTTAAATATGCACCTGAGTGCACCACAGTGCTACCTTTTGCTTCTATCCTCGTGAGTAAACAGAGTTGTAGATGTAAAACTCCTTTTATCTTTTACACAGAAACACTTTAAGGGCCCACGGTGGGACTTAACTCTCTTTATGACCCTTTTTCTTTGACATGGCACCGAACATAACACCTCAGCTGCTTTCCACGTTGGAGGTTTAATGATGTCACTTGTCATTGTTAGCATGTTAAAAGCCCAGCGTTGTAGAGGAAGGTCAGAGGGAAACGTGGGCGTGAACATCATCTCCACCTCAGCTTTTACAGCACAGATCACTCGTTCATCACTGCACATCTGGTGAATACCTGTTCATGTCTTTAGCTGTCACTATGGATTTACAGATGGACGTTTGCTCAAGCACCTAAACTACACAACCTGCAGCCTGAAAATGCTCAAACTCTTCTGAATCAAACGCCTAAACCATATGTAGGGACAAATAAACACACTCAGTGGAACCGAATGCTATCATGTGATGGAAACACGCCATTAGTGTCCTGTCCCGCTCAGTCAGTCTGACGGAGGCCAGACCGGAGTGTGAGAGGGGTCAGCCGTCTGCCGCTGCCAGAACAGGAAGAGCCATTCAGCATCGCCCTGCAATTACAGTAAAAATGTCTCGTGTCGGAAGCTAGCTGCAGAAACGAGACGGCTGCTTCAGCAAACGTCTCTCTGTAAAAGCAAACTGTTTTAGCTTCGGTGGAACAGTGCAGGGTTTGCCTCTGCTCCCATCGAGAGCTGGTATCTGCTCTGAGAACCTGCGGTAACTCTGGCCGCACCAGGAAAGAGTCGCAGAACTTTTCCTAAAAACTCCCGACTCCGTTGTTTTTCCTGAAGCTACTCAGGAAACCTGAAGCTCGTGGAACAGCTGTGAGTGGTTTTCTTTCGCGTTTCCTTTTTGTCCCGGCTCGCCCCTCAGTTTCCCCTTCAGTCTCCTACGTGGAGTGGCAGCTCTTGTGTGTGTGTGTGTGTGTGTGTGCGCGCGCGCGTGTGTGTGTGTTGTGACTAATCCCGATCTCCATCTGCCGACCTAGACAAGCGGTCATTTTACACAGACGTACATAATTGTGAAGCTATTTGAGTGTAAGCACAGAATTGTAGTTCGCTCTCTCTCTTGTGGTCTTCGTCATTCTTCGGGACTCTTCTTTTTTCTGCCCTCACCAGCAGTTGCCTCATTGTCCCCTCCACAAACCTCGAGGAGGACATTGCACTGACTACAACATTTGTGTATAATTGCAGAGTGTCTTTGACTGACTATAGTGTTTATGTATAATTGCAGAGAGTTAATGTCTCTTGTTTTGGTCTATATGACTTGGCAAAGATTTCCTTGTGTGTTCTTCTCTGAACTTTTCAACTGCGTGTGCATTTTGTGTTTTCCTGGCGGCCGCTGACCTCCGGCCAGCCTTGTAACGCTCTGACCGTTGCCTGTTTTGGTCTCTGTTTAGTCTAGACAGACATCCTGAGCTGATCTGCATGACACCCAGACAAGACGGGGCAGATAGTGGCATTTCTCATGTCTGCAGGCAGCTTGAACATTTTTCAGTCTGGTTTTTTCCCTCTTTTCTTCTGCCTGATCTTTCTTTCTCCCTCTCCCTCCTTCAGCCTCACTCTGAAATTCCTCAGACTTTGAGAAGTTAAGACAAAGAGCTTCCAGACTTTGGCAGAGGTCTGTGTCCAGGCTACGTCTGGGCGGAATAGTGCAGGCTTTGTACTGAAATTTGTCAAACGTTTGACCCCTCTGTTTGAACCGAAGCCCGCTCTGTACTGATGCTCGGTGAGATTTTTACAGCCGTGGCTGCTCCACAGAGTGGACCATCTGTTCCGGGGCACAGCCAACTGCGCTCCGTAGACAGAAGAACGGGAGACGGATAATGAGGGAGAGAGGAACTGACTCTGAGTGATGTAAATAATGCTGAGCAATGGGACTCGTCCAAGAAGAGAAGAGTGCATCCAAACACACGCTGTTTAACATGGATCGTCCTCTCACAAGTCCCTTCTCCTCTCGCCTTCTTCCTCTGCTTTTATTGTATTTCTGTTTGGTTCTATTTGCACTCCTAACACTTTCTTTTTCTGTTTCTCTCTTTCCTGAACAGACCAGAGACTAGACTTGATCAAGCTTAGCCCCAATGACAGCGACACGGTCAGAGGGCAGATAGTGGGTGAGTAAAGTAAACACCAAGAAACGAAGGTAAATGGGTCTTCAGGTGGTTTGGATGCACCCATCTGAGTTTTTAGGACCACTGTTCATACATCTCTAACTTATCAATGCATTATATTAAAATAAGCTACCACTTGTACACTTTGCTTTCTTATACAAATCTATGGAAGAAATATAGTCTCACCAGAATATGACATTTTTTAGACATTGAATTTATGACAATGAAATTTAATTCTAAGTTAGTTTCCATAGCCGTCGTCACACACTGCACTGGTGAAATTCATCTCCGCATTCGACCCATCCCCGTGGAGGGGAGCGGTGGCCGCGTTCGGGAACTATTTGGTGCTTTAACCCCTCCCCCAATCCAACCCCTTAAAGCTGAGGGTCAAGCGGGGAGGCGTTGAGTCCCTCTTTTTAAAGTCTGTGGTATGACCCGACCGGGAATCGAACCCCGATCTCCCAGTCCCAGGGAGGACACTCTACCACTAGGCCACTGAGCTGGAAATTATGTTTTTAAATATTTGTTTTACTTAAAATACACTAGCAAAAATTTTAACCCATAAATGTCAACTGCAGAATTTCTATTGAGGTGACCTACTGGTGACCCAAGCCAAAGAAGTCACCCTTCGATCGAGTCGAGCGGGTTTTTATCCAACCAAATTTTGCTTCTCGGATCACGTGACACCATTGAAGTGTTGACTCGACTGAGTAACGATTCCTTTGGCTTGGGTCACCAGGAGGTCACCTCATTTGTTGTTGAATCTCTGAAGTTGAATTCCTGCTGATGACATTTCTACGTTTCATTTGAAAAGTTCAAATACATATATGTATAGAATAAAAATTCTCTGTATAACAAACGTCATTCTGGTGAGATAATACAGGGTATCTGCGGGTCCTTAAAAAGTCTTAAATTAGCTTTTCCAAATTTAAGGCCCTCAAAATCCTTAAAAATGACAAATAATCCTTAAATACAGTTTCCGAAGGTATTAAATTACCAAAGACCCAATAAACATTTTATTCCTGTAAAATTTTCGTGAATTTCCAGTTAGTGTTCAGCATTTTTTGTGTACGATGTTGACGTAAGCAGAACCGTACACATTCAGTTGGTTGTGAAAGGGGACTATTTTTAGATGAGCACATTAGCTGGTTAAGCTAGTGGGAGCTTGTGCCATGGGGAAGTGCAAGTTTAATGGTAACTGGATGGCTAATCCCACGTTCACTACGTGGTTAGCACCGGTTCCAGGCAATAGCTGGAAATTATAGCTTAAATTTAATTTAAAAAAATGATAAATAAATGACCCGCACTTGTATAGCGCCTCTCAGAGTAAGGACTCCAAAGCGCTTTACACTACAGTGTATCATTCATCCATTCACACACACATTCACACACTGGTGGGGATGAGCTACGATGTAGCTACAGCTGCCCTGGAGCGCACTGATGGAGGCGAGGCTGCCGAGCACAGGCGCCACCGGTCCCTCCGACCACCACCAGCAGGCAAGGTGGGTAAAATGTCTTGCCCAAGGACACAACAGCAGAATTCTCTGTCCGGAGCCGGGATCGAACCTGCAACCTTGCGATTACTGGACAACCCGCTCAACCTGTTGAGCTACTGCTGCCCTACTTTAATAGCTTAAATTTGGTCAAAGTGGCCATGAAAAAGGTCCTAAAAAGTCTTAAATTTGGCTCTCTTAAACCTGTTTAAGGTTTTAAATGTTGTTAAAATAGTAATCTGATCTTAAATTCAGTTGATTACAACCATAAATCAGCAGCAACACATCAGATGTGGTTTCAGAATGCAGCGGCTGTGTGAGCATCAGTACAGCAAAGAGAAGTGCTTTTGTTGGATATCTGATAATAAACCCATCAACAGAAAACATGAACATTAGTGGAAAAGCGGGGCGTTGGTTGTTCTGGAGCATACAGGTGCGTGTTAACCAAAGGAGAATCAGCTGTTGCTGCCAGTCACTCTTAGGAGGGTTCAAAAGTTCTTTCCAAACTATTTAGTGTTTGTTATTCTACAGAAAGATTAAATGAGGACATGTTTCAGAAAGCTGCCAATCTTCCCAGCACGCTCACACTAAAGCCAGAACACACGGTTCTCTGAAAATATGCAAAAAAAGCAGGAGATATGCGTCGGGTTGTCCAGGCCTCGGCTAGCGTGATGAATGTTAACATCTGTGGCAGCAAAATTAGAGCAAGGCTGTGCCAGAACGGCTTGCTGGGAAGAAAGTATCTTCTCTGAAAGGAACATGGCATCCCTGCAGCCACAAGCTTTCTGGGGGGATTTAATGCAAAAGCACAAATCCAAAACATAGCTCTAATCAGTTCTGAGCTGATCAAACACAGCATGTCAGCACAAACGACACACGCCAGCTGTCGGCACGGTGGGAGAGGGTTGATGGTTTGGACACGTTGCAGTACTCTGCAGACCTCTGTTTTAGACTGGCACTTGTGAGGTTCTTTGTTTTTCTGAGATGCATAAATACAGAATCCTAAAGGTGCATTTTGTGTTTCCATGTCAGTCAAGTTGACACAAAGAGATTAGGATGGTGCCTGTGCCTCGTAAAGATATACGGCCCCGCTTTGTGTTTTGATCAAATCTTGGTGCCCAGGCTGTGGTGGGATGTCTTGTAACACTAGCATGTGCATCTGTCTGCCATGTGTTCCTGAAGTGAGTCTTCAGTCCAGGGACCGCATAGGCACAGGAGGTCCCGTGGTGGACTGCAGCCGGCTGTTTGACAACGATCTTCCAGATGGGTGAGTTATACAAAATCGCCTCGTTTGTTTTATCGGCTGCTGCAACTCATAAACAACACATGCTCCCTTCAAGTACAAGGAGGGAGATTTTCATACAGATATTCGTAAAAATCAGATTCTGCTCGGCTGTATCCGCTCACCGCTGCATCTGTGTGTTTGTGCTGCCAGCTGGGAGGAGAGGAGAACCGCGTCTGGACGGATCCAGTACTTGAACCACATCACACGCACCACACAGTGGGAGAGGCCGACCAGGTGAGGACACTCAGCAGCTCGCAGAAACCTAAACCCAGACCTCTTCCATCAAACAGCAGGGGGTCCATGGAAGACCTCATCTCTGACCTCGGTGCTTTTAAATTGGAAAACCCTGGTGAGAAGTGAAGTGGGCTCCTTAAGAAAAAGTGTCAGACTGGTTGCTCCAGACAGCGAGGTTTAATGATGTGGAAGAGCCAAAAAAAAAAAAAAACTCTTGAATATGACAGAAAGGGGTGTAGAAGCATCTGTATTTAATATTTACCTTTTCCCATGCTTGTTCTGAGAAACGTTCTGGTGTTTCAGCCTCCTATGGCCTCATATTTTCTTCCTTCTAAAGCCTGATTTATACGTCTCCGTGTGCGGAGACACGCAGCACCAATGTGCGTCGGCACAAGGGCTCTCCGACGGGCTCACAGAGGGTGATGAAGACGTGCCCAAAATTTAAACCTCCGCCGAAAGTGATGGAGACCGCAAACTTGAGATTGGTCAGGACGCCACTTCCTGTAAATTCGTCACCAACCCCGCCGTTGCCCAGTTAAACTGTGAAAAGATAGTTAGCTGCAGACTCAGAACAGATTGAAGAACGCATTGTGGAAAACGTCTGAAAATAGGAACTTTTATTCACCCGTGAGTGAAGGAGTACAAAATACGGTGCAAACGTGGACGGAAATGACCGGAAACGTAGGTTTAGAGGTGGTGACCGCATGAAGAGGTGGAGGAGAATGAAGGACAAATTTGTCCGTGTTATAAAGTCTCTGAAAGATATAATCACATTAGTAAATACACTATCGTGTACCAGATACATGAGTGTTATGGTGGCAGGATACCACAGAACAACGCTACGCCCTCTGTTGTCCTGGCGAGGAATTGCTCTGCAACACTCTGCTTCCTGCGTCAAAGTTTGCATGTGAAAACCTTTCCGAAACTCTGTGCACATCTCTCTATTGCGGAGCTCACGGAGAAATATACGTCAGGCATAACACCACTACACTTTTTGTAAAAACTGGGGGTGGGAATTTAACGCTTTCATTTCAATTAATTAATTAGAAAAATATTCACCCCTTGAGCCCAAGCTCCCCCACATGGGGGATGGAAAAGTCTAGCATCAGAATATATGTCATATATATCAGTCAATATCATTAATATGCACCCCTAACAAAACCGCAGAGCCTGGGCTACAAAACCAAATAAGCTTTTTTACGTGCTCCAAACACAAGTAAAACTATAATTAAATAAATCATGACAAATTGCTCTTCATGAGGAAAATAAAGAGAAAAACTTTTTACTGTTATGTAAAGCAGACAGTAACTGTATCCATAGGAACTTTATTACAGCAGGAGTAACCCTAACCCAGCAATCCTCTTGTACCTCAGCAGAACTTCCCCTGAACTCTACGCTACACCTCTATATAGATTAGCAGTGCTCTGCTGCCACCTAGTGTTCAGTTCAGTACATTTACAATGTTCCATGTCCATTTACACATCATTAATAACACATAATAATATTTATACATCCCAAAATATCCCACATGGGTTACTTTTATAATGAGACCAAAGCCATCAAATAGACCTTGTAGTTACAGAAATATACTCATTAAAGTGTGGGTATGTCATCTGGGTCTCACTAAAATAAATCTTAATAAAAACAAACTGCTTGGGCACCAATTGTCTTGAATGATTAAAATGTGATTAATCAAGATTATTCATTTCAAAGTCTTTAATTAATTAGATAGATTTTTCAATCGTGCCCCACCCTCAGTAAAACACCAAATACACTTGCTACCACTTCCCTTTCAGAAGAAGTGTTTTGAGTCGTATATTACCCTTTTCCTCCTCTCAGGCCTGCCTCAGAGTACTCTAGCCCTGGACGACCGCTCAGCTGCATTGTGGATGAGAACACACCCATCAGCACTAACGGCGCCACGCCCACCACAGCGCTACCTCCCAGAGATGGCGACCAGCGGGCCCAGGAGAGACGGGAGCGATCGCAGAGGCACCGCAACTACATGAGCAGAACCCACCTGCACATGCACCCAGACCTTCCTGAGGGATATGGTCAGTGAGATGCCAGCATCATGGGAGGGATCACACACTTTACACTGTAAAAGTCACCAAACATCAGGTCTAATGAGACCAGTCAAATCAGCTTTTATCATTTCAAATAGAGCTGCACCAATACCAGCATCGGTATCGGCCCGATACAGCGAGTGTTCTGCTTGTACTGTTTAAAACTGCCCAGTACTACACAACCGATACTGATCACCGGCTCTTGACTCAAAGTCGAAATAGTCCAAAGTTGATGCCAAAGCAGTTTCAAACAAGCTGCTGCCATGTTATTTGTTCCATTCAGTTGCATCATCCCTCCCACCAGTGCTGTTATTGGCCCATCAAACTGATAGAATGCTGCGATTGGCCCACCAAACTGAAAGAGCGCTATGATAGGCCCACCAAACTGAAAGAGTGCTGTGATTGGTCCACGAAACCGACAGAGCCCTGTGATTGGCCCACCAAACTGATAGAGCCCTGTGATTGGCTCAGCAAACTGAAAGAGCGCTGCGATTGGCCCACCAAACTGATACAGTGCCGTGATTGGCCCACCAAACTGAAAGAGTGCTGTGACTAGCCCACCAAACTGATACAGCACTGTGATTGGCCCACCAAACTGTTAGAGTGCTTTGATTGGCCCACTATACAGAAAGAGCGCTGTGATTGGCTCACTAAACTGATACAGCGCCGTGATTGGCTCACCAAACTGTTAGAGCACTGTGATTGGTCCACGAAACCGATAGAGCCCTGTGATTGGCCCACGAAACCGATAGAGCCCTGTGATTGGCCCACCAAACTGAAAGAGAGCTGTGACTGGCCCACCAAACTGAAAGAGTGTTGTGATTGGCCCACCAAATTGATACACCGCTGTGGTTGACCCACCAAACTGAAAGAGCGCTGTGATTGGCCCACCAAATTGATACAGCGCTGTGATTGGCCCACCAAACTGATACACCGCTGTGGTTGACCCACCAAACTGAAAGAGCGCTGTGATTGGCCCACCAAATTGATACAGCGCTGTGATTGGCCCACCAAACTGAAAGAGCGCTGTGATTGGCCCACCAAATTGATACAGCGCTGTGATTGGCCCACCATACTGAAAGAGCGCTGTGATTGGCCCACCAAACTGATACACCGCTGTGATTGGCCCACCAAACTGAAAGAGCGCTGTGATTGGCCCACCAAACTGAAAGAGCGCTGTGATTGGCCCACCAAATTGAAAGAGCATTGTGATTGGCCCACCAAACTGAAAGAGCATTGTGATTGGCCCACCAAATTGAAAGAGCGCTGTGATTGGCCCACCATACTGAAAGAGCGCTGTGATTGGCCCACCATACTGAAAGAGCGCTGTGATTGGCCCACCAAATTGATACAGCGCTGTGATTGGCCCACCATACTGAAAGAGCGCTGTGATTGGCCCACCAAACTGATACAGCGCTGTGATTGGCCCACCAAACTGATACAGTGCTGTGATTGGCCCACCAAACTGATACAGTGCTGTGATTGGCCCACCAAACTGATACAGCGCTGTGATTGGCCCACCAAACTGATACAGTGCTGTGATTGGCCCACCAAACTGATACAGTGCTGTGATTGGCCCACCAAACTGATACAGCGCTGTGATTGGCCCACCAAACTGATACAGTGCTGTGATTGGCCCACCAAACTGATACACCGCTGTGATTGGCCCACCATACTGATACAGTGCTGTGATTGGCCCACCAAACTGATACACCGCTGTGATTGGCCCACCAAACTGATACACCGCTGTGATTGGCCCACCAAACTGAAAGATTACTGTGATCGGGGGTGTTTTGTTTAAATGAGTATTAACTGTTTAATGGCTTCATTAACTGGTTAAACAAATTTTGGAAAACGTGCCTCCCGAACATAAACTCCTCTACTTGAGGTAGGACCTCTTCTCCGACACGGAGTCTGTAATCCATCCTTTTCCAGTTGAGAACCATGATGACCTCAGATATGGAAATGCTGATCTTCTCCTCAGCTGCTTCACTATCAACTCCAAACCTCCCTAGCAAGAGCTGAAGGTTGTAGTTTAGTGGAGCTAAGAGGACTACATCATCCACAGAAAGGCAGAGACGAGTTCCCCCACCACCAAACCCTCCACACCACAGCTGCAGCTTGATATTCTGTCCATAAATATAATGAACAGAACTGGACTGTTTGACCTACATAACAATTTAAATAAACCATCGCCAGTTATTCTAAATGGTGAATGCAAGAGCTCCTACAATAAAGCCTTCTGAACCGTGAATGAGTGACCATCTTAAATTAGCTTAATTCATCATAGCCGAGGTCAGAATCTGGTGTTGGAGGATTTGTTTTCATCGCATGACGACTTTTTGCACTTTGAGATAACAGTAATACAGGTAGAAATTACAATTTAGTTGAAATCTAACATTTTTAATAGTCATGGCGTGACCTCCTAAGGATTTAATGTCATCATTGGAACTCTGTTTGCCTCGGACCACCTGCTTGCTCATCACTGGCCTCAGTAACTCGGCTAGTCTGTGTCTCCATTCAGTCCCGAGATGCTCTGGTGATGCTGCAGCTAAACGCTTGGAGCCTGGAACACTGGCTCCACTTTAGACAATCTAATTGAACTGATGGAGCTGTTACAAGCCCCCATTTCTCTTTCCCTTTATTGCACACTGTCAAACAAGCAGGGCATTCATGTAACTAGCTCACATCTAAGCTTCAGTTCCTTCACACAGCCCAAGGGAGTTGTGTTTATCCTCACAGTAAAATCGTTTGTGGGATTTAAAAGCCAGAGCCAAAGAATCGTAGCGCAGCTTTGCCTTCAGCGACAGCGATTAGGAGGCTCTGACCCTTTTTATTCTGCTCTTGCTTTCTCTTCCATCTCCATTTATCATGACCCACGAGTGAATATCCAGCCTGTCTGTTCTTCTGCAAAAGCACAACTGGCATTTTTACACAGATATACTTAATATTTATGTGTTGCTTAGTATCTGCAAGTTTAGCCGATACAGGATTTTCAGAAGCAGGGCCCAGTCCTTCCACTGGATGTAGACGTGGTGTATAACGTGATTGACAAGTTGTACCGACGAGCTCCTTTCCAGCCGGGAGCGTTTTAGACACAAAACAAGAGCGAAAGCGTTCCATGGAGCAGATCCTGCAAGGTCATGAAATCACAGGAGAATTACAACACCACGCGTGATTTTGGAAGTTCACACAATAAAGAGCAAGGAGAAAGACAGCAGCACGTATCCAAAACATCGACATAAATATATGGACAATGGGTTTCCACAGGCTCCAATAAGTTTTTCTGCTAAACTGGGAGGTGGCCACCACCGCCATTTTGACCGTGTCACAGGTTCCGTCAAGCCCAGACAATTCCATAAAAGGGAAGAGAGGTGGAGCTGAGGGTGGGACTGTAAGGCTGGGATCAACTGACGACACCCGGTCGAACTAGCTACAAGCTAACCTGAAGCTAACCCAAAGCTAACACGGAGGTGGGAGCTAAGCTAACGGAGGTAGCAACCTAGCTACAACCGGAGTTAACTGTGCACAACACCAGAGCTTCTGAGTCAGAGATACGCTGGGCTGACCGCTGGGTAAAACCGGGTGGAACACAGAGGTCTCCGTCTCGGAGACCTCCACAAGCCGGCAGCCGCACAGCAGACAAGCGCCGCTGCGATCTGAGATGCGCAGAGCTGCCGCTGGGGAGACCCGGGTGGAAAGGTTTCCATCCCAGAGCTCCACAAGCCGTCAGCCCGCACAGCAATAAGGAGCCGCAATCAGACAGAGATGTGTCGAGCTGTGGGGAGAAGTGGCGTATTTTGGCATTTCTGGCTTGCCATAAGAACCAGCCTTAGGGATGGGTACTGAATTCGGTACTTTTTAAGGTACCGACCGAATTCTATAGTACCGACCGAGCACCGATTCACGTCATTTCAAACGGTGCCTCGTTTCGGTACCCGTCCATCATAACGAGAACTTGCCAAGACAGCTGCGCATGCGCAAGAGCGTTATGTCGTCGCTCGCTGCAAACCAGTTGTAAACAGAGCAGCATGGTAGAAACATCGACATAATATACGAATATAAGAATTTAGCTAAACTGCACCAAAATGAACTCATGGAAACCCATCAATTTGCTCCAAAGTTGATTCACAACTGAAACCACATGGCTACTTGTTTACGACCACAACGCCACTGTCCAATCAGATGACATCATTTCGGTCACGTGACCTATACCTATGCCAGAACCACCCATCCATTCGAGGCTTGAAAACACACTTTGTACTCTTCGGTTCGCATTAAAACTCCGTCAAACACCAGATTAAAATATATTCTAATATCCTTTATACCTTTCGATACATCCTAAGAGTTCCCTTATAGATTTGAAGAGGGTTGAATGTGAGCCAAAATTTCGATCGTGTCAAACTTTGTCACCGTCGCACAGAAAGGGACGAAATCGGCAACGAGGTTGAAGAGGGGGGTTTCCCCTATGTCATATCAAAGAATCACAGGGACTTGCCTCCTCTAAGCCAATGAAAACGCAAAATTCTGAGATGAGCTCCCTGGCCACTGCGATGTTTGGGACATCACTGAATCAAGTGGTCTTTTCATCTCCATCTGTCAGATCGCTCTCTTACGTAGACGGATTAGCACGATCTGTCGGCGTGTGAACGAAACAGTGAGGAACCTCTTTTAATTTGTCTTTCTGCAGAGCAAAGGACGACGCAGCAAGGCCAGGTGTACTTTCTGCACACTCAGACAGGCGTCAGCACGTGGCACGACCCCAGGGTTCCCAGGTATGCTCTACTGAGACTCATTGTGATCTTCATCTTCATCATCATCATGTTGTTTCTGTGTCTGAATGAGTCCTCATTCCTCTGTAAAGTGTGTGTGTGTGTGTGTGTGTGTGTGTGTGTGTGTGTGTGTGTGTGTTAGTTTTGTGATGGAGATGGACTGGTGACCTGTCCCAAGTGTGTTTCATCTCCCACCTAATGGCAGGATTTGGAGTCTAACTCTATTATTCTTGATATGCAAACATCTCACCTCTGATTGGCTAAAAACAATTAAACTCTTCCGCTGCCTCCGTTCGCTCTTCTTCATTGGGTTTGATCTCCACAGCCTGAACCTGTACTGAAGAAGACCGTTTTTCACAAATTGACATCCTTGTCATTAAAAACTGCAATCATTGAGCTGCATAAATAAACGTTTGAGCATCAACTTCGACAGTCCTGCTGCGATGTCGGTAAATGAGCTTGACGTGTTCTCGTCATGTTAAAGAGACCATGTGTAGTTTTTACCGTTAATCTCTGGAAATATCCATCAAACATTGTTGAAAACGAATAAAATTATGTCCAGTACATAGGGCGCAGGTCTAGCGTCTTATTGGCCACCATGTTTCCTTCTGGCCAGCTCGGGGTAAGGCTGGGTGGATCGATCTAAAATATCGATAGAATCGATCTAACGTTGGTATTGAGTATCTTTGGTGCGTTCTTACTGTGTTTAGTTTCTAATTCCATTTTTGGTTCTTTTTAAAACACAGGAAAGGTTTTTCTTTACCTCGCTGACGTTCGTTTTGTTTGCCGACTGCAAAACATCCTCAGAGCTGACGCTGATGGTGGCGTCACTTCCTACTCCGTTTATCCACGGGCAGCAGAGGACGTTGTCGCCCTCTGCGGCCCGCTCTCCCCTCTCCAATGATGCAGTCCCATGCACGATCCAATGTGTAGACCCCTGGGGCGACGGTGGCACAGGAGTTAAGTGCTCGCCCCGTAATCGGAAGGTTGCAGGTTCGAGCCCCGCTCAGTCTGTCGCTGTCGTTGTGTCCTTGGGCAAGACACTTAACCCACCTTGCCTGCTGGTGGTGGTCGGAGGGACCTGTGGCGCCAGTGCTCGGCAGCCTCGCCTCTGTCAGTGCTCCCCAGGGCAGCTGTGGCTACATCGTAGCTCATCCCCACCAGCGTGTGAATGTGTGTGTGAATGGGTGAATGACTGATTGTGTTGTAAAGCGCCTTGAGGGGTTCCAGGACTCTAGAAGGTGCCATATCAAATACAGGCCATTTACCATTTACCAACGTCTGTTCATGGTCCCACATCCACGTCTCCTTATCTCGATAGCTTCTTTTATCCATCTTTTGTATTTCTGTTGTTCGGTGTTTATGATCCTTGTGTTGTCCCAGTCCATTATATGGTTTTCTCTTGTGCAGTGGTCTGTTACCGCTGACTTCTTTATTGTACTTTCTGCTTCTTCTTTTGCTGCTCTTGTGTGTTTTCGACTTGCCTCTTTCTCACACTTTTTTCTATGTTCTATTGTTCGTGTGTTGAGTTGGCGTCCGGTTTCTCCTATGTATGTTTTATTGCAGAGTTTGCAGGGGATTTCGTAAACCACTCCACATTTAAGTCCAGCTGGTATCTTGTCTTTTGTGTGTACTAGTCTGTTTCTAACCGTTGTGTATGGTTTTGTTGGTGTGTTTATGTTGTGTTTTTCATTGTTGCTCTTATTTTTTCTGTTGTGCCTTTGATGTATGGTAGGGTTGTCACTGGTTTTGGTTCTTGTCTTTCTGGGTTTCTGGTTCTTTGCTTTGGTTGTTCTTTTCTTTCTGTTGTTGTTTGTTGTTTTTCTTTGTTTATTGCCCATGTCGGGTATCCGCAGGTCTTTAAAGCGTGTTGTATGTGTTTGTCCTCTTGTTTACAGTCTCTTTCTTCTGTTCTTTTCTCTTTTCTCTCAATAAATCCCACAAAACTAGATGGTACTAGACTAGTAGTAAAGTATCTGTACTGGTATCGGTATCTGCAATACTGGTCCTGTATTTACTTGGTATCGGATCAATACCAAATTTTGCAGTATCATACAGCACTAGCTCAGGGTCTTGTGCCTTTCGATGATGTCACACTAGATTATTGACTGGATGTACGACTTACGGAAGTTACTTTACTATGTTCAGAAAAATTTAGGCAGTAAGAAACACAAATTTAATAACAAGACTGCTAAACTCTTTCCAAAACATATGTGAAAGAAAAGAATCAAAAAAGAGATGCAACATATTTTAGCTGAGCGGTGTAGCCGTGCTATGATGACATCATCAGCAGGCGTGAGACCCCAAGCAGATCCGGAAACTACAACGCCAGAAAACTACAATTGGCGTTCTTTTGATGGAATTAACTGAAGGGCCGATAAAAGTCTGAGGAGTCACGCCGAGGTTGCGTGCTTTTTGCTCCACATTTACCGCAACGTTTTTTTCAACTAGCGACAGTCAGGACGATGTGGTGTAAGACTACCTGAAATGTATGTTTGTACTTTTGACCTACTTGACCCTCCCCAGCAGGGAAGGGGTCGTCGGCTAGATCAGGTAAGTTGTTGATCGGATATCTGAAGCTAATCTAAGGATGCTAACAGAGGTTATGGTGAAAACCTTTTAAGGAAGACAAGCATCAGGAGGACATTTCAGAGACATATTATGTTGGATTGTGGATGTTGGACGTGTTGTGGACCAACAGTTTTATTGGAGGACAGTCGCTGGATCCTTGTGGACGTACAGAGTTCAGTTTTGTTTAAGATGGTTCTTTTCTGTCAGTGATGTGAGGCTTTGAATGGCAAGTTGGACGTTATTTATCATTGTGGATTGGTTTGACTAAAGTGTTTACTGTTACCGGGGCAGAATCTACGGTTGCCTCCACATGCTTTTGGACAACGTGACATACGCACTGCTGTGGATGTCAGTCCGCCTTACGCTCTGAAAGGAGACACAAGTGCATCCTTTTTCTAAATTAAGTCTTGAGTAGCTCTGTCTGCTCTTGACTCAAAGAAAAGCCAAGAGTAAATAGTATGAAGTTGATACCAAAGCAGTTTCAAACGACCCATCGCCATCGTTTTTTGCTCCGTCACGTCGTTCCACCCACCAAAAAGATAGAGCGCTTTGATTGGCGCAGCACAATGGCACAGGCCAATGGTAGACCTGGGGTGTTTCTCAATGCCAAGGAACCTCGCCTTGATGTCTTGGCCCCGCCCCGGTTGCCTAGGAGATACATCATCGGGAGCCACCAAGACGTGTTCCAATGTTCATGTTCTACTGAGGTGTGTGTTCTCCGTTTGTTAGCCGTTTAGCTAGCTGAGCAAGGATACACGGGAGGTGTCTTGTAGCCTAGCCTTGGCCAAAAATTACCCACAATACACCGCGGTATTTTCAAAAGGACGGCAGCTACTTCGGGGATAATTTTCAAGGTTAAACATAAGTCAACCAATTTAAAATGTTTTTTTAGATCCAAAGAAGTTATCTGTGGTTGGTTAGTTGCTTAGTAGCTTATGGCGTTTAAAGCGTGCCACAACCCGTGCACGCGCATTGGGGCCACAGCGCGCGTGTGAACGGGACTCGCGAGCGAAAATATACATGGCGAGAGGTCATTTGTGCACTGAGAGGGAGCAAACTGTGTCTGTGAGCGCACAAGGATGTGCACAAGTGACAAACCTGCGTGCGCGCGTTGCCAACGAGCACATGGCAGAGGAAAACGTGCGCGCGCGGCAGCCTCTGCGCGCTCGGTTTCTAATTCCGCTCGCTCGGCTGTGAGGAGTTTTGGCACTCTGGAGGCGAGTCCCGTTCACACGCGCGCTGTAGACCCAATGCGCGTGCACGGGTTGTGGCACGCTTTAAACGCCATAGTAGCTGCAGCTTCGGTGGCTAGCGGGTCGTAACTCACTTATATTTTTAATTTAATAAACATAAACACAATTTAAAAAGTAAAAGACTTGTTATATATTTATATTGAAACTAATACGTATAAAATATAACGTTGTCTCCCGTGTCACATGACGTTACGTGACCGCCGTGGAAGCTGCGGTCACGTGATGCAAGTCTGTTCCATTTAACCGTTTGACCAAGGAAGGACAGTGTCCTCGTAAGCAAGGCGTCTGGCCTCGCAAGGCCAGACGCCTTGACATTGAGAAACACCCTGCTGAAGCTCCTGTGGAGCGTGCCCAGTCCGCCGTGCAGATCAATCGTGTTTTGCTTCGGCACCTGACGGTTTAGTTTTCTAGGCTAGTTTACTGTGGCTACAGTTCTGATTATCACGTTGAAGAAAACAGCTGATTGGATTTACAACGTGCAGGTCGCCAAACACAATCAGGTTAGTTGCAGGAGCGCAGCTTAACTTAAAGTGCTTTTCAAGTCATCTGCATTTTTTAACGTTGTAATATAACGCAGGGTTAGGAGAAATCACTATGTGATCGTTTCCAACACGGTGCAGCCCTTGTAGCGGCGTCACACTCAGACATCAGCTGATGACTTTGTTGCCAATCTCTTATTATTTATGAGGCTTTAGTTCCCTTGGCTTCACTTGAAACACAAAAGTTAAAGGCAGCATAGTGAGCCGGGTGAGTTTTCTGACCCCTTTAGTCTCCACGGAGTTCAGCTGAAAGGCGCTGCAGGCAGCAGTAGTTCATTTACAGGGGAAGAAAAGGAAAAATAGAACAAGTTTTTCAGACGTTTGGGAATCTTGCTGTCCAGTTAGTCAGTGCTTTGGTATGTTCTGTAACCAAACCTCGTCTGTCTTCCCCTGCTTTCCCTGTTTTTTATTCTGTCGTTTCTCAGAGATCTAAGTAATGTGAACTGTGAGGAGCTCGGCCCGCTACCACCGGGATGGGAGATCCGAAACACGGCCACGGGGAGGGTGTACTTTGTGGACCACAACAACCGAACCACACAGTTCACCGACCCACGCCTCTCAGCCAACTTGCACCTAGTGTTGAAGTAAGAAAAACGGCAGCAGAACCATTCTAGGGTGTAAAGAGAACGGCTCGCCAAATCGTTTTTGTCTTCATTTTATGTCTTTTAGTCCGAGTCCCAATGGCTGTCAAGGAGGCAGTGAAAGTCAGAACGTCAGGTGAGTGCTGGGCTTCAAACCAGAACACACACACACGCGCGCACACACACACACTGAGCCCTACCTGTAGAGGTTCTGAGGAAAGTCTGCAACGACACACACAAGTTTTTATCACGCGGGCGTTTTAACACACAATCCATCACAGAGCTGTCTTTGGCCAGACATCAAACAGCAGAGTGGAGACCGAGGCTTAGAGAAGCGTCTCACATCCAGGAAACGCAGCATAATCTCTGAGCCCACGTCGGTGCCTGAGCTGCACGTGTCCACATGTGACCATCCACGCGTGTCGATTCACGCCGCCCTGCTTGGCGTTTGCCAGCGCCTGTGGATGCACATGCTAAGAATTTCTTTTCCTGTGCATCTGGTCAAACAAATGCTGCGTTCAGTTACCCACAAGTCCTTGCTGCGAGAAGATGTGAAAGTCTGCTTGGGCCGCCCCTGGCTGAGCCGTTTCTTCTCCATGCAGAGAAAACCGTCACGTTTCTTTCTTTCCTGTTTTGGTGGATCCTAGAGCATGTTTCGGTCAGCTGGTCACGGAGAAATCTGTCGAGCCGAAGCGGAAAATTAAATTTGGCGGCTGCTGATTTCTCAAATCGTACTTTTCTGCATGTCTTATGTGTTTCATCCCTTCGAGTACTTGTACTCTGGTTTGGAACATGCATTTAGAGTCGGATTTACATCAAACACGTCCGAGAAAACAAAGTCACGAGTAAACAGTATATGTTTAGATGCAGGTTGTTTGTGTTTAAGTTATTTAGAAGTAATTTCTCGGACAAACGTGCAGAAACAACAGCTGTTGATCAAAACCGAGGAGCTCCTCAAGCGGGGGTGGTTACATGTGACCAGTCGTGTGAGAGATTCTCACAGACCAGAAACTTGTGATGCGTTTATTGTCCTGGTGGCTGTGAGGAAGAAGCTGTCCTTTAGTCTGCTGGTTTCTGAGGCTTCGTAGCGCCCGATGGACGGCGGGCGTTCAAAGAGGTGGTGATCAGAGCGGGAGGGGTCTTTGATCTTTGTTGCTGATGTAGGGTGGGGTGGCGAGATCTTCCAGGTAGTGAAGAGGAGCGGCGGTGAGCTGATGACTCTTATCTGCACTAAAGCAGCCAGAAAACCTCACAGAGATGCCGTCCTGGAGGATGCGCCACTACGCTGACAGCAGCTTCCTCTCCACTTTCTGTCATTTCTGTATATTTCTGTCTCCCCCAGTTTTTCTATTCCAGCTCAGTGGCCTAGTGGTAGAGTGTCCGCCCTGAGACTGGGAGATCAGGGTTCGATTCCTGGTCGGGTCATACCAAAGACTTTGAAAAAATGGGACCCAATGTCTCCCTGCTTGACACTCAGCAATAAGGGTTGGATTGGGGGGTTAAACCACCAAATGGTTCCCGAGCGCGGCTGTGTCTGCAGCTCACCGCTCCCCCAGGGGATGGGCCAAATGCGGAGAACAAATTTGTCACACACATCAGGGTCACTGTCCAACAGGTAACTGGATCCATGTCTGCTTCAGAGCCAGATTTGTTTAGGATTTCTTATTCAGAATGGTGCATTTGTTGGAGGGGAGCGTGCTTTAATTGCAAAATCTCATCTTTGGGTAACATGGACCAGTCGTGCTCATCAGTAAGCAGCTGGAATGAGAACAGAGAGCCGAGAGAGCGCAGCGGCGGTTGATTTATGGGTGAGAGTGCAGAGAGGGATGCCTCCTCTCCCCGTCCTTCCCTCTGAGCTGTCGGCTGTGTTTGGGTGCTGTCAGGAAAGCGGAGCGCCCTTCCTGCCTCCCTACCCTCCTCCTCAGTCTAGTCTGCAGGAAATAAAGGGATCCACGGGAAGGTCTTGAGTGTCCTGGGGGGCCCTGTGGCTTTCTGGGATAGCAGGAAGTGACTCTGCTGCTCCAACCCCAGAAACCAAACTATGGGGCGGGGGAGAGTAGCCGAAGGAGCTCTTCATCATCACACACTCTCAGGAAGACCTGTTTCTCCACTCATAGTTTAGTGACTAGCTGGTAAACGTGAATGAGACTGTGATGGTTTAACTTTGGGTTCACTACTGATGCACACTTCCACCTCAGAGGTGAGACCGCCTGCCGCCAAGGTGCAAAAGGTCACTGTGGTTGGAAATAACTCCTTAGCCGTCACTCATGTGTGGAGTATCACGGGTCATGTGTTTGTTATTAAATAGCTCGCCCAGGTGAAACATTTTTGTGTGAGCTGCAGGAGTTGCCCCCTTCTGTTCGTTAGAAAGAATGCATCTTTATATCACATTAGACACACAATCATTAAATCTGTTCGTTTATCGGTTAGTTCAGGCTCAAGGAAGCAAGTTGAAAGTGAGTAAATTAGAAAATTTCACCATTTTTAACCTTTTATTAATTTTCAGCTTTAAATTATAAATTCAGGAAATGTAAAAGACCTCCCAATGAATTAATATCCTAAAGTGGTTCACACAAAAGCAACTGGACCTTTTTTAGACATTTGAACATTTTACTTCTAATTTGAGGAGCTTCGTCCATCCAAATGGAACGGTGGTGCCGTCGTGAGCACCAGGGCTTCTCCTGGTCAGGGTTAGCTGCTGCACCGGCCCGCTCTGCGATACTCCTCCACAAGAAGTAGGACCTTTTCCCCGACCTGAAGTTGGAAATCCCCTCTTTACCAATTGAGAGCCATGGCCACGGATTTGGAGGTGGCGATCCTCCTCCCGGCTGCCTCACTCGGCCGCAAACCTTCCTAACAAGAGCTGAAGGAGCCAAGAGAGCCACATCATCTGCAAAAAGCCACCAAACTCCACATCCTCCACGTCTCCACCGCACAGAACCTTCACACGCATCTTGATCTGACTTGTTGAGCAGAAGTTTAGTTACATTTGAAACGACCAGCTTCCCTTTGAGCCGTAGCCAGGGTGAGCGCTGCATCCGCTGGTCCAGTCACGTCTGCAGAGCCGTGTCCAGGACTTTTAAAATGGGGTGGCCCGTGTGGGGCACTTGTTTATGCATGGGTGGCACCAATGGTTATGCTTATTTATTTATTAACACAAATCATTTATTTATTTATTTATTTGACTTTCTAGTGAGTTTTTGAGTTTCACATTGCACAATCACCATTTTTTCCTCTTCATCTTCTAGTTTTGTGGTGGTTAGCAAGTCACTTGTTGCATTACTGCCACCAGCTGGAGTTGAGTGGGACTCTAAATACTATTTATGTAAATATGAAAAAATAATACATAATATTAATACTACAAAAATGTTCTGTAGGCCTGGGCTAGTAAACAGTGTTAAAGGTGCATGCTACCACACACTATTTTGGAGTTTACAACCCAAGCCTTTTGTCGACAATGTAAAGTCAATTTAAACTGGAACTTGGTAGGGTGGCACCTGGAGCGGCCAATCAGATTCTAAGGGTGGCATGTGCTACCCCAGGCCACTCCCTGGACACACCCATGCACGTCTGTGAGAACTGCACGGAGTGGCAGGTTAGAGAGGAAGACTGTCTGAACTCCACGTTCAGCTCGTCTGAGTGGGGCCGAGGCGGCTGTTAGACCTGATGCACTTCCCAGATGACCTCGGTGTGTTTACTCTCCGTTCTCCTCGCAGCGTTTACAAAAACCAGGAGCTGTGACAGCAGAACCATCTCAGCAGCCGCCGTGGGGAGGAACATCTCAGAAAATCTCGATGTATCCAAGTTCTCCTTTGATTGATTGATACTTTATTCCGAACTAACATAAAAACATTTTTATACAACACAACTCAACACAAAAGCATCAACTAATAAAGTCTGAAAAGGAGTAGTTGGAAGTAAAACCTGTACATTCCTACCCCCTTCTCACTTATTCTTATCAACTCATCTCAAAAACACAATTAAAATAAAAAAAAACTAAAATGACAGAATCAAACAGATTTTCTCTGACATGAATTTATTGTCTAAACTTGGAGAAAAAGGTTAAAGTTTACAGAAAAACAGATTTTTGGTGATTTTGTTTTTCTGAAATTTACTTCAAACAGGAAACATAAAGTTTCGACTTTTCCTGCAGATTTGTGATTTTTTCCGCTACAGAAAATCATCATTTTATGCTTACGAATGTTTGTTGTTAATGGTGGAAAATGTGACTTTTTCCTTACAATCTTCTGACCTTTCTAAGGAAGACAGTTAGGGCCATAGTCAAGAACAAGAAAGTGCCTCTCAAAATAAAAATCACGAGGCACTTCACAAGAACAAAAACTGATTTAAAAAATATAAAAATTATTAAAAAAAACTGTTTTAATTGAAAAATTGAGAAGAAAAATTAGAAGAAAACAAAAATAATTCAGACTTTAATTTCAGAAGTCAAAAATCGAAATTATTTTTCTTCTTTTTTTTTCTTCTTAGTGGCCTTAATCCTCTTCCGTACTTTCCAACATCAGACAATATCAAATTTATTTAAATAGATGAAAAATCTTGTAACTTTAGAGGTTTTCTGTATGTTTTTTTTTTCTTTTTCCCAACAACTCCTGTTGTTGACTATTGTTAGTTATTCTAATTTCTCACAAACCGTCTGAATAATTGCCTGCTTCTTTCTGATTTGTGCCTTTCAGTCGTCAGAACCAGACGAAAGATCAGGCCCAGCAGGCTCTGGTGTCCCCTGGTCAGCTCCCAGAGGAAGCCGAGTGCCTCACGGTGCCCAAGTACAAGAGGGACCTGGTTCAGAAGCTGAAAATCCTCCGACAGGAGCTGTCCCAGCAGCAGCCTCAGGCCGGCCACTGCCGGATCGAGGTGTCCCGAGAGGAGATCTTTGAGGTGAGCATGAAACGGAACACTCTGCATCCCCGAGCCCTGAGGGAAACGCCTCGTTCCTCTGCCTCATATCTCCAGCCAGCAGGTGGAGTTTTAACATGTGTTTATCTTTATTTTTAGACTAACGATATTTTAGGCGTTCTCCAGAGGTTTTTACGGTCCCCTCTAAAAGTCACTGCCCGGAGCATTTTGGATGTGAGAACGTTTCACTCACACCCGCTTATCGATGATGTGTGACGGCTCAGAATCCAAACCAGACCTTTTGTTTCAGCCCGGGCTTTTTCTCAGCAGGTGCAGCTCTGTTACTTTTCTCTCCCTCCCTCTGTACTTCGGAGGTGTGGATGCGCCGTCAGAATAACACCACCTGCATCAGACTGCATGACCCTCATAAAATACACACTGGAATGTGCTGGAACAGCCGCGTCTGTTCTTCTGAACGAAGACATTTTTGTTGGCTGATCTCGGCGTGTGAGCGGAATGGAGCATGGGGGGTGGGGCATCCTAAAACCAGCTGAAGCATTAAATTATGCCAGAATAGGAACATGTTATGTGTTGGACTGCCGGAGCTGTTTCTGTGTGTATTTTATTCGTAGATAAGACGTTCCCGTTTCCCCGGCGGCTCCCCGCAGCTGTCTGCTTGGCCTTGAGGGCACGGTGGAACCTGGCACTGGAAGAGCCTGGTTATTACAGTCGAATGCTTGTGTTTATTATAACTGCCTCTAATCGACTTCAGGGAAACCCTCCCACTGACACTGTGAGCTGAGCACATGTGTGATCAACACCGACTGAGGCAGAGAAAGCCCAGCCTCTCGGCGGAGGGGAAAAGGGTGTTCTGAACAAATAAAAGTAACTATAATCTTCTGATAGAACATTCAAAGATCAATCAGGTTGATATTTTCATATTTATATGGAATCATCACATCTTCGTCGTCGTCTTCCTCCGCTTATCCGGGTCCGGGTCGCGGGGGCAGCATCCCAACCAGGGAGCTCCAGACCGTCCTCTCCCCGGCCACCCCCACCAGCTCCTCCGGCAGGACCCCAAGGCGTTCCCGGACCAGATTGGAGATGTAACCTCTCCAACGTGTCCTGGGTCGACCCGGGGGCCTCCTGCCGGCAGGACATGCCCGAAACACCTCCCCAGGGAGGCGTCCAGGAGGCATCCTGACCAGATGCCCAAACCACCTCAACTGGCTCCTTTCGATCTGGAGGAGCAGCGGTTCTACTCCGAGTCCCTCCCGAATGAATCATCACATCTTATTGGTCATAATTAATTTGCAATCGTCACGCTATAAAGTGTGACCGCTACCATTGTTTGCTTTTTGTCAGACTTGTAAGAAGGAAAATATCGCCACTCTGGTGAAGTACTGGAACATTTTCGGGACAGTTTCTTCCACCTCTCCTTGCTGCAACATCCTGTTTAAGTCACATTGCTGTCTGTTAGGTTTGAAAGGGGAGGGTCTGTGTTTTTCATTGGTTGGGTGTAAATAATGACTAGTATGAAGCCACTTGATAGGCAGTGATGGATCGATATCGTTATTGACTACATCGGACTATTGTTTTAGCCTCAGCGCGAGTGCCAGACTCCTACAGTGATCCTACAGAAGCTGATGAAGGCTGAGGAGATAACTCGGCAATTAGAATCAGGTGTGTCTGAGCAGGAACATATTGAAAACATTACTTATCCATTAACGCTGCAAAGTTATTTATGTGTGCGATATGAGGCGTGGCATTCAGCGCCTTCTTGAAGGGGAGGGGCAACCGTTCATATTCCAAAATCTCCTCCTGTCCTTGATGACATCACACTACTGATCCCAGCTTTCTCTGTAACACTGCTGATGAGCTGCTCCTGTTTCTCCTGCAGGAGTCTTATCGACAGGTGATGAAGATGCGGCCCAAGGACCTGTGGAAGAGGCTCATGGTGAAGTTTAGGGGGGAAGAAGGACTCGACTATGGAGGGGTGGCCAGGTGGAGACCAGAAAACACAATTACTGGGTAGTTTAGAGGCTTCCTCGTCTTTATTTTTCCTTATCTTTTCTGTGCAGGGAGTGGCTCTACCTGCTGTCACATGAGATGCTGAATCCTTATTACGGGCTGTTCCAGTACTCCCGCGACGACATCTACACCCTGCAGATTAATCCAGATTCTGCCGTCAATCCCGTGAGTTAGAAACTCGTACGAATGTTTGTTTCTGAGGCTCCATCAGCTGCTGCTCACCTTTTTAAATTTAGGCCTTGTTACATCTTCACTAGGTTTTCTAATATTTAGCTCGGTGTCGAACTTTGGCGATCTCGTTGAATGTGAGGATCCAAAGGTTGTGGCTGCAGCCCTAATCCAGAGTGTTTCTGAGAAGTGTTGAACGTTTCTAAAGAAAAAGCATCGTTCTACAGCAGGAGCAAAGCATAAACCTTCATAATGTGTTGATGGGAACTCGGCGAGTGTTCAGGGGGACTGACTGCAGGTACAGCTGCTGGGCATCAAAACAGAACATCATGATTAGTTTCAGTAATTCCACTCAAAAAGTGAAGCTTGTATATTAGAGTTGTTCATTACAGAAAAAATGTTTCTTTAATGTTGATCATAACAAAATCCCAAATTTAGTATCTCAGAATATTAGAATATCAATTAAGACTAGGGGTGCAACGGTACGCTAAACTCGTATTCGGTTCAGTGTCTCAGAGGGCTTGGTTTGATTAATTTTCCGTATATTATTTATTTATTTATTTAATATATGAAGCAGCACCTACAGTGAGCAGAACCAGGTGTCATCACAGGCTGCTAATCTAGCATGATGTTTTTAATTACGGGTTATTTGCGCCACAGACATTTATACGTAGATGCGCCGTGGACTGGTGATGCCGCAGTGGCCGACCGCCCTTTTAGATAGATTAGTGCACTCATTTCTACTGAGGGAGCTGCTTACCCAACTAAAAAACACGTTTTATCCCAAAATCAAACACAAGGTACAGCATGATAAATGAATATAAATATAATGAAATAAAAATAAGTATTAAATGTAAAATCCTATCAGGTAGGCTAGAAAAGTCACTAGTAATCCCATGTGATCTGTTTCAATAGTACGCTGGTTGTTGTAACCGCTGCACAGATAGTTGCTCACTCTGCATTGACTTTGGAGAATGAGGAGACCCATCCAACATGGCGGTGATGCTGTTACACTCAACAGCGCCCAATGGGGCGTCTACGTATTCATGTCTATGATTTGCGCAGCTCGCTCTCATGCAGACAGACGAGTGTTGTGTTTGTCGTGTTTTTATTTATTAACTCACCTCACACCGCCCAGAGTTTCTTCTTTAAAACTCGTATTAAATAACGAGCGTCCTCCGTGCCGTGTTTCTCGTTGTGGGATGAAAACTTTACATCAGTTGTCACAGCGGAAAAGTACAGCAGACATGTTTGTTTACATGTTTGCTGCTGCGTGCCTGCTCAGGGTGAGAGGAGGGAGGGAGAGGCAACGCGATGCTCAGAGTCGCTACAGACTCCACAGCAGCAGCGACAGCCAGCTGGTCTGATCCGCTCTGAAAGACGTGGATCAGAATGTGCAGATCACATTTTTTTTTAACGGAGATCGGGCGCGTGCAGCCATCACTCAATACAGCGTCCGTGCAGAAACTCGCCATGGATCTTTTATCCGCTGCACTTAAATCATGCAAATGTGTGAAAAATTTGTTATTTAATGGAAAAAAGAAACTGAAACGGTTCAAATGACCCCCGTGAACCGTTACACCCCTAAGTAAGACCAAAGCAAAAATAGGATTTTAGAAATGTTGGCCAACTGAAAAGTATAAACATTAAATGTGTGAACGCATACAGAAGTCAGTATTTAGCTGGAGCTCCTTTGGCCTGGATTACTGCAGCAATGCGGCGTGGAGTCCATCAGCCTGTGGCACTAATCGGGCGTTGACCTTGGACCTCAGAAACACAACGGACCAACACCATCAGATGACATGACACCCGAAACCATCACTGGCTGTGGAAACTTTACTCTGGACCTCTAGCAGCAGCATGGATTCTGTGCCTCTCCTCTCTTCCTCCAGACTCTGGGACCTTGATTTCCAAAGGAAACGCAACATTTACTTTAATCAGAGAACAGAACTTCGGACCACTCAGCAGCAGTCCCGTCCTTTTTGTCCTTATCCCAGGTTATACACTTCTGACACAGTCTCTTGTTCAAGAGTGGCTTGACACAAGGAAGGTGACAGCTGAAACCATGTCTTGCATACGCCTGTGTGTGGTGGTTCTTGAAGCACTGACTCTAGCTGCAGTCCACATTTCTGAATGGGGTTTGTTTCACAATCCTCCCCGGGGTGCATTTATCCATATTGTTGTACACTTTTCTACCTCATCTTGTCCTTCCCTTCACCTCTCTGTTAATGTGCTCAGACTCAGAGCTCTGTGAACAGCCAACCTCTTTAGCAACGACCCTTTGCGTCTTGCCCCCATTGTGCAAGGTGTCAATGGTCATCAAGTCAGAGGTCTTCCCTGTGATGGTGTAGCCTACAGAACTGGACTGAGAGACCAATCAGAGTGCGGCACCAGAGGTCTTCAGTATTGAACCTTTACATTATTCTAACATTCTGAGATACAGAATTTGGGATTTTCATTAGTTATCAGTTATAATCATCAACATTAACAAAATAAGCATTTGAAATTTATGAATCTAATATACAAGTTTCATTTTCTTAATGGAATTACTGAAATAATTCACCGTTGTTGTGATATTCTGATTTTATGACCATCACCTGTGCATCAATAGTTGTTTGTGCTGGCCTCTGTTGTCATGGTGACGGGTTAAAGGAACATGGTTTCGTCTCCTTGCAGGAGCACCTGTCCTATTTCCACTTTGTAGGTCGCATCATGGGGATGGCGGTGTTCCATGGACACTACATCGACGGCGGCTTCACGCTGCCCTTCTACAAACAGCTGCTGGGGAAACCCATCACCCTGGACGACATGGAGTCCGTTGACCCCGACCTGCACAACAGCCTCGTTTGGATCCTGTATGTATGAAACAGCGTTGATCCTTAATTGTTGAATTTTTTAGCCATTTAAAAATGTTTCGGTAATAAATATTACAACATTGCTAATTGTAGATGGCTTCCAGAGCGATCTTGGTTTGAAGAAAAGGAGATTACACCCTGAAACACAGCTAATGGCTAATCCAATAGAATTTCAGCTGTAGAACATTAAAAATCACCTGTTTCACCCTTTTAATGGTCCTACTTCCTCCAGGGACAATGACATCACAGGTGTGCTGGACCACACCTTCTGTGTCGAACACAATGCTTACGGCGAGATCATCCAGCATGAGCTCAAGCCCAACGGTAAAAGTGTCCCCGTCACCCAGGACAACAAGAAGGAGTACGTCCGCCTCTACGTCAACTGGCGTTTCCTGCGAGGCATCGAGGCCCAGTTCTTGGCTCTGCAGAAGGGCTTCAATGAGGTCATCCCCCAACACCTGCTGAAGGCCTTTGACGAGAAGGAGCTGGAGGTACTTCCGTCTGCTTCACTTTAGCGGCTCTTTTAGTCCATCGGACACCGCTGACGTGGTTTCTGTACCTCCAGCTGATCGTGTGCGGTCTGGGTAAAATCGACATCAACGACTGGAAGTCCAACACGCGGCTGAAGCACTGCACTCCAGACAGCAACATCGTCAAGTGGTTCTGGAAAGCCGTGGAGTCCTTCGACGAGGAGCGCAGAGCCCGGCTGCTGCAGTTTGTCACCGGTTCTTCTCGGGTTCCTCTGCAAGGCTTCAAGGCCCTGCAAGGTAAAAACACAGTTTAGTGTGTGTGCGTGTGTGTGTGTGTGTGCGCGTGTGTGTGTGTCTGGTCTGCGCTGATCTGAGATGAACCCTCTGCCTGCGGGTCAGTGGGTTCATCTTGGCACAGAGCGCTGCGCAAACGCTGATGAGAACAGAAAGATCCACCGGATCAGAACCGTCCATGCCTGACTGAACTGGGCTGCCCTTCCTTGTCCTTGGGTAATAAGTTGCTGGAATGAAAACAACCGGATCAGATTGCAGCGAATAGGTTTCCTCTGCTCGGGGTCCAACTGACAGGGTGGTGTTGTGTCTTACCCGGTCCAACGAGTGGACTCTCTCTCTGAGCAGGTGCGGCAGGACCACGGCTCTTTACCATCCATCAGATCGACGCCAGCACCAACAACCTGCCCAAAGCCCACACCTGGTGAGGAAAAGGCCTCGGCGATCATCTCGGACCGTAACCCTTTTCTTAACTTTTATTTACTCTAACGGTGAGATTTGTGTTTCCAGCTTTAACCGGATCGACATTCCTCCCTACGAGAGCTACGACAAACTCTACGACAAGCTGCTCACTGCCATCGAGGAGACGTGCGGCTTCGCTGTGGAGTGAAAACTCCACGGCTTCTGAACGTTTGACCATCACAAGTCACCGTCCACAAATCACTTCACCGGGGTGGGAGGGAGTCGTGGCCGGTTACCCATAATGCTCCGGCTCCGACGGGACGAGCTGAGAGACGGAGGACACGAAACGACTGTGGGCTGTTTCTAAACTCTCCAGTCTTTCTTAACCTGTTTTTATCGTCAAAAGGATTTCTTCAGCTGCTAATAACTCAGACTATTTACTCACTTGTGGAACCTGCAACGTCTCGTTTTTATAAATTCATTTTAGCGTTTAAAGGTCGACCTTATTCCACGTAGCATCGCGCCACCTTATGCTCCACTTTGAGACAGCAGCCACATTTACTTTTAAAGATTAGTTTGCTGCAGGACAGAATTATTATTATTATTATTATTATTATTATTATTATTGTTGTTATTATTGGTCACCACTTGAATAAAGAGAACACTAAACGTGGAAGCAGAGTGTGCGAGCCTGGAGCTGATTGGTGCCCTGAAGCAGTCCCACCAGGGCGACGGCGAGGACGGACCAAGAAGACAGAAGAGTCGAGTCACGCCCGACTGGTTCCCTTCTCCAAAGACACGAGCAGACGCGTCTGCTGTGAAGGTCGCTGCCCAACGAGAAACCCCGCTCCACGCGTCGGCTGCGTTTGAAGAGGAGGAAACGAACGTGTGATATTTCATATAACAGGAAAAATGAGAAACAATCAAATTCTATATAATATATATAATTTATTGCTGTTGCATTTCAGAAACCCCTTTTCTGTTTCCAAATGATTAAATTTGAATGTAAAGTTTTAGTTTTAAATTATGGAAGGTGATTTTGTGGAAAGCTGGACTGAATGCTGTGGTTGAGCTCCTCAGAGAGGGTTCTGTCAACCCTTCAGAGTGCCGTCATCACTTTGAATCTACAAATCTGAGAAAACTGCTTTAAATTCTGCTGATTTTCATCCAGGAGCTGCATATTGTGCGACTTACCGTTGGCGCCTGACATATCCACTCCACCGAATACGAGCTTCACCGTTAAAGAGACCTTTTTGCCTTTTGAAACTCAGTTTCTGTGTAAAAGTTTCACACACCGGTAATTCCAAAGCTTCCTGAACAGCCTCTGTTTGGAGAAATAGCATTATCATCCTTTGGGACTGGTGAGCTAGGAGCTAGTCAGAGCAGAATAAATACACCCACAATTACAGGCCAGAACATAACGGCTGAACAGCAGTAATCCATAAAAAGGGATCAAACGGTAAAAACCACTAAACTGTAGAATCAAAACTGCAGAAAACAGTTGTTATAAAATCAAATGTCAGATAGTATTAATAAATGAAATCTAAAGGCAAATTTTTAACATAAATATAATAAATCACCACAGAACTAATATTTTTTATGTTGAATATTCAAGTAATTGTTAAAGTAACAGAGCAGTTTCCTGCGCCTCTGCCCTACTGGTTGAAAGTGGAATTACAACAGTTTTGGATAATCCTGCTTTGGCTAGTGCTAACAATGAGCTAACACTAACATGAGCCTACCGATGATAAAATCAACCACGAAGGTAAAAGACTCACACTGTTGGACCAAAAAATATTACTTAAAGTCTAGTAGCAACAAAGCCAGGTCACTATCAGTCTGGGATTTTGTAGCCTCCTTTAGCTCCTTCCACCTAGCGTAGGCCGCGCCGGTGTTCCCTCTGGTTTTAGCTCTTTGTTTCATTACTCTCTTACTTTTACTTCCAGGCTCTACCATGATGCCAACAGAAAAGCAAACTTCTTTTGCTTCTTGTGCTTTTTATTGACAATCGGCAAACTGAAAAAGCTAACTGCTAGCATAACAGTTTGTGAAGCGCCTTCTGATTTTTATCCTGAGTGACGCGATATAAAAATTTGTTTCTTCTTCTCGAACAGCTGTAAAGCAATTAAAGAGTGCCCCCTATAGAGCACATATGAACTCTTCAAAAGTGTAAAGTTTCTGATCAGCAGAGGGCAGCAGAGTGGAGTCAGATATGAAACGGGTCACGTTTCTAACTCGACAATCACTGAGATCGATGTTAAAGCTCTAGCTTAAAGTTTAAATCATTATCTAGTGTTACAGAATGCTAGGTAACCAAATAATGGATGTTAACTCATTCGCTGCCAGCGTTTCTCACCGTTTTTACTGTTTTTTTAAGAGTGACAGAACGTTGTGCGCTAGGATGATGTCGACGCCAAAACAAAGTGGAGACTCACCTCTTACATCAGGAAGAATCTGCCCGTTTCGAGCGTTATCCATTCTTTCATAATCCGTTGTTGAATTGTGATCGGCAGAAGCTTTTCCGGTTCGCGCCTCGCTTTTTTTTTTACAGCAGCGGCTCAAAACGATCTCCTAACACATGGATGTTCTGCTTCCTGATCACATGACGTGTGACGTACGCACATGAAGATCGGCTTTAGAGCTGAGATGTTTGTTCTCACGGTGCGGGGGCTCGTCCGACGCCCACACAGTGGCAGTGAATGAGTTACTAAAACGTTAATTTTTATTTAAAAAAATCAAGATTTGTTTTTTACAAACGAGTCATTTCTACTAAGAGCCAAACTGAACAGGTTAGTCTTCAGTTTAGCATTGCACTATAATTCAAATGGTATTCTGTGCAATGACTAAATGCAGCACCTCTGGTTCATCCAGGGGTCTAGTCTGTGATATGAAAACAGCGTTCATAGGAAGGTTTAGAGACAACAACATTAGCTCACCAGTCCTGTAGGAGGAGAAGCCCCTTCTCTGAACATGGGCTGTCCAGAAAGCAGCTGCAATAGAGATGATTATAATATTTGTAACTTTTATACTGAAACGCACTTCAGACTGACTGAAATAGAGCCACCGGTGAACAATAATCTCCCAGAAGAGCCTCAGTGTGGACATTTTCTGAAACCTCCAGTACCTTCCAGCCCTGTGGTGCTACACGTCAGTAACTTTTATATTGTAACTCCTGACATATTGCTACTCATACCTGTCTGTGGCCATGAGAGCATCACCCAGCCACTCTCAGGAGATGTCTGTAACATCCGTTTGACTCGAAACTAAAACGGGGTGGAAAAGTCATTTCCACGGAGAACCTGAACTCGCAGGACTTGTTGCGTGTCTCCATGGACGTAATTCACTTCAGAAGTGGGGGGGGGCACGGGGGGGGGGTATCTAATGGGAAACAGGCTTCAACACAAACGGTTGTTTCCCGCTTGGTCCTAGAGCTCAACCAGTGTCAATTTAATATAGCGTAATATTGTTTTTGGATGGTTAAAGGTGCTGGGGTCAAAACTTGACTTTGGAAAGAGTGGGGGGGACATGTCTCCCCTGTGTCTACCCCCCCAAATTACGTCCATACATGCCTCCGTTTGACTGAGATGAACTCGAGAATAAAACCTGCTGTTGGTTTTCCTTACGTGATGTTTGAGAAAGGTGAGGCTGTTTTCTACCACGATGAAACTGTTGAATGTTTTTGTTTGTGTTTAAAGACGCTGCCCGTCTCCGAGACCGTGAACTGTTGTTAACATTTGCATCCTCTAAAAAACAGAAGTTTCTGTCACAAGCGTATGCAAAGGGAAAAGTGTCCTCAGATGGTGCTTTGTACAGTAACAAGAGATCGTTCGCATACGTGGATCGACAAAAAAGGAAAAAAATAATTTATCTTTAACTTAAGCAGGAAAAAAAGATTTTCTTGAACTGCAAAGAGGAAATGCACACGAGCAGAATGAGGCTTCTGTTCATGTTCATGGTTACTTCTGCACCACACGTCGGTTCCCCTTTAAGTCCTGTGCACAAGCTGATCCTGGCTGATCTACTGTCTGTTCCTACAACACGTCGCTCAGCAGCGCCCCCTGCAGCTGCCTCCCGTCACCTTTGACCTGAACAGGTCCAAGTTCAGGAGCACGGCGGTTTTGTTTTGTTTTCTACTAGCATGATCCACTAGCTGGACTTTATCTCTCTCAATGCTGACTGATGCAATCTTATGTACGTTAACACTCATTTTGTAAGAGTATTTTATTTTTGTGTGTAATTAGTTCTAATTAAACTTGCCTTTGTCTAACAGTGTAAGGCCTTGTACAGATGACATCACATCCTTTGTTTTCACCAGGTGTATTTCACTGGGTCTGAACGCCACAGGTCTCTGTCCTCAACGCAAGTCGTTTATATAGCGCCGAGTCACAACACGAGTCGTCTCATGGCACTTCGCTTAGTCAACATTCAAACTGAACCTACTAAACAGTGCACTGAGTTCAGTTCATTATTCCAATTAGTTAAAAACGTTCTACTTTGGGGCAGCAGTACCTCAGGAGGTAGAGCGGGTTGCCTCATGATCAGAGGGTCATGGGTTCAATTCTTGTGTCCTTGGGCAAGACACTTTGCCCGACTTGCCTGTGTTGGTGGTGGTCAGAGGGGCCGATGGCACTAAATGGCAGCCTCGCCTCCGTCAGACTGTGGCTACAATGTAGCTTACCATCATTAGCAGTGTGTGGAAGCGTCTTTTGAGTGTCCTGAAAAGCGCTATATAAGTTCAATGCATTATTATTATTACCTAAGGAAACTCAGCAGGTTGCATCAAGTCACTGACTTGTGGTGTCAGTGACTTTACAGCAATCCCTGAGCAAGCATGTAGCGACAGTGGAGAGGAAAACTCCGGCAGAACCTGGCTCAGTGTGAGCAGCTCTCTGCCACGACTCACTGGGTACCAGCCCAGATTTAATCAGAGATTTTTCCTGTACAAAAGAGACCAAAGTAGCAAATTAGATGCTTTTTAACCCTTTTGTTGTTTTTGAATAAAGAATGTTCTAAAACTGCTTCAAAAGTCACTCAAATGGCATTTTAAGTCACAAACTAAGATAAACACTCTGCATCCGACTGATCCCAGAACTAAAACCTTCCTGTGTGTGTGCACCGTCACTTTTTATGCAGCCCCATACACAAACAGTTTCAGATACAACCATCAAAGCATTGTTTACTAGGCCCAGTATGTGAAAAAAATCAGGCTTTTTAGCGCCACGCATTTCAGAGTAGCTGTAGCAACTACGGTAGCCCACACGTGTCAAAAAGGTCATATGTCATTGACAACTTCCATCTTTCAATCCAGCAATCATGTCTTTTATTTTCATTTGTATTTTTTCTAAATTTTATCAAAACGTGATGAGTAATAAAAACTGCCTACGCCACGTTGATGTTAATTATATTTGCTGTATTTCATGGCTAAAAGCAAAGCTCAAACAAATGTGGAGCATCGTGGCAGGTCCAGATGCTGCGCCAGTTCTTGGGCATCTACCTATATGATGTCTGTGGGAGTGATGAACACAGTTTTGCCCAGTCACAATACTCGCACTATGCTATAAGCCCTTCTGCCAAGTGCACTTGGAGGAAGTGCGCCGTAACCCCGGTTTCACAATGCTAGCATCAGCGGAACGGAACAGCGAAGGAGCGGCTCACTTGCGAACTTCAAAGCGGTCCTTTTCACACCGGGAGAGTCTTGGCCTCAGCGCGGCTTCCTCGCTGTACTCGCGAGATTCTAAAATCCCTCGAGACTTCCAACACCTTCCTCACGAGACAACGAATTCCCTCGAGATTTCCGCCATCCTTCCTCATTGAGAGATCACAACCCCCGTGAGGAATCACACCGTTACACTTCTCAAAAGAAACTGGTGGTAAACAAAGCCGTTTGGTCACACGTGCTGAGGTATGTTATATATAACATTGCAATGTTGCATTTTATTTTGAAAATAACCAGGGATTTTACACTGAAACTGTGTGTGGTTTCCTGTCTCGCACTATGTGAACTGTGGAAATTGGCGTGTCCCAGAAGCGGCTTGCGGAAAAAATAGAACTCGATCCTATCTTTAGCGGCGTGGCATGCCGCTTCTGGGACGCGTCTGGAAATTGCCGCTTCGCGGCTGGTTTGAAACACTCCATAGACTATAAATGGATTCTATTTGAAGCGGTGCCACTTCGCCACCGTTCCATTCCGGTGATGCTTGCAGTGTGAAACCGGAGTTAGGCTTCGAATGGGTAGCACACAAGTGTGCCGAATTGGTACAGGGAGCATTGCATCGTCAACTGCAACGCGTGCCGGTATGCCGATCGCTGTTTGTGCTACTTTTGAAAAAAATCTTTACTAACAACATTCAAACAAACAAAAATTATTTGACAAAATGTACATTCATTTGTGTCCATGTTAAACCTTAACATTCAGAGCAGGAATAATTGTAATTCTTTCATTTGTAAATACATATTTTCAGAAAAGGCACTTGAGCCATTGCTCTGCCTTCTCATATTTCCCACGCAGCAATGGATTGTGGGTAATATGTGGATCAAGGGTGCAAAAGGGGCGTGTTCACCTTCCGCACTTGAGAATCGGGACACACTACGCACTTGCACCTGAATGCGTAATTGAAGGACAAAAGGGTGGAGGTGCGAGTATTGGCACAGGGCCCTTATGCGTACAAAAATTGTACATTACAAGCCAATACTTAAAATAAATGGTGAGACATCTGGTTCTCGACAAGAAAAGGGTGGCTTGCCAACTCCGGGTCGGGGGAGAGGTCCTACCTCAAGTGGAGGAGTTTAAGTATCTCGAGGTCTTGTTCACGAGTGAAGGTAGGAGGGATCGGGAGATCGACAGGCGGATTGGTTCGGCGTCTGCAGTGATGCGGACGCTGAGCCGATCTGTCGTGGTGAAGAGGGAGCTGAGCAAGAAACCAGGCTCTCAATTTACCGGTCGATCTACGTCCCAAGCCTCACCTATGGTCATGAGCTTTGGGTGGTGACCGAAAGAACGAGATCGCGGATACAAGCGGCCGAAATGAGTTTCCTCTGTAGGGTGGCCGGGCTCAGCCTTAAGGTTGGTTTATGCTTGACGCGTCCGCTAGGTCCGCACGGCTCCGCGCGGAAAAGTTGCGTCATTTTGCATCATTTTAACAACCACGCCCCTCCACCGCGTCTCCGCACGGCCCAGAATTTCCACAACGCGCACCTCGGAAAATTTCTAACCACGCGGACAGTCGGACGCGGAAAAACATGGCGGACCGGCAAGAACTAGTATGGCAGAGGTTCGTAAATACAGACATTTGTATGATTCAGCTCTCGGAGATCACCGTGATCAACATGTTGTTAATAACTCTTGGAGAGAAATAGCTCGCACTGTCGGAAAAGACAAGGACGCTGTTAAAAATGCTGGAATGCCATGTTGTAAACAGTAATTTCTACTTTTACTATGGTGTAGTGTTGGATGCATGCCGTAGAGCTCCATGCTGCCCCCTACAGTTTGGGAGAATATTGGCTCACCGCAGAGACGAGCCGCACGAACCATAAACGCTGCGAGTTGTGAAGCGCGTTCCATCCGCAAGCCACATCACCCCGCGGAAAGTGAATGCGTCAAGCATAAACCAAGCTTTAGAGATAGGGTGAGGAGCTCGGACATTCGGGAGGGACTCGGAGTAGAACCGCTGCTCCTCCGGATCGAAAGAAGCCAGTTGAGGTGGTTTGGGCATCTGGTCAGGATGCCTCCTGGACGCCTCCCTGGGGAGGTGTTTCGGGCATGTCCTGCCGGCCAGAGGCCCCCGGGTCGACCCAGGACATGTTGGAGAGGTTACATCCCCAATCTGGTCCGGGAACGCCTTGGGGTCCTGCCGGAGGAGCTGGTGGAGGTGGCTGGGGAGAGGACGGTCTGGAGCTCCCTAGTTGGAATGCTGCCCCCGGACCCGGATAAGCGGAGGAAGATGACGACGACGAGGCATGTCAATGAAAAAAGACAAGTTTGTGAACGAGATACACAGAATGTGATAGTAAATAAATATTATACACTGTGTGTTTAAGAAATCAATCTTTAAATGTGCAACTGACAGGTCTCTCTCTCTGTGCCGAGTCCACAAGTGCACCTGTCACTGCTTAACAGGCCCAAGAGCTGTCTTTTACGCTAGCTCCATTTGGCAGACACTCCTATCCAAAGCAACCTACACAGACGCAAGGCCAAGAAGAGTCTTGCCCAAGGACACAACTGCAGAATGAGGTGGAATTAAACCAGCTACTCCTGTTCTCCCTACTGAGGCATTTGCCCCCGCAAGGTGCATTTGGAAAAAATAAGAAGTTGTGAAGGAACACAACCCAGGACGCAGCTTCAGACGAAGAAACGTTCTGGCAACACAAAACGTCAGAAAGATGTCTCCAGGTTCTGTAAGATGTTTCTCCTGTTGTTGTTTATGTCGGGTTTTTTTAGCAGACGCTTTTATCCAAAACAATGCGGTGAATTAACCTAACATGCATGTTGCTGGATTTTGAAAGGAAACCAAAGTACCTGGAGAAATCCCAGGCATGCATGAGAAGAACTCTGCGCAGAAAGGCAGCAGCAGGGATTCAATCCTGTGACCTTCTTGCTGTAAGGCAACCGCTGCACCACTGTGCCGCCAAGCAAGCCATCACCTCCACATCTCACCAGTTTATCAGCAGCCCGTTGAACTGAAAGCTGCGTATTTGATATAGCGCCTTTTAGACTCCTAGAACCCCCCCAAGACGCGCTTACTAAATGTGAAGACAGTGAGAGGATTAACCTAATGGTTCAAACCTGCAAGTTAAACAAAAATTGCATTGATGATATTATTTTACTGAAACTAAGACCATCAAAAGTAAATGTTTGTCTTTTAAAGAGCAAGTCACCCCCTACCAGAGTAACTCCACTCCTATTTTCTGTTTGAAAAATGCACCACAAGGAGGTGTTGCCCTGGCAGACCGAGAGAGCGGAGCTGCTAACAAATACACACACAAACACGGACCATTTCTCAATACTCATGGACACTAGTACGTTCTTGTGTACTAGACAAGTATGTTCTTGGCAACGACACCAGAAAGTCGAGTACAGGAGTACGAGGATGGCATTTGGAACAGACCCGTACTCCGTTAAGTCCTGGCAACGAGCGCTGCTTCTTGCTACGGTTAAAAAAACCAACCTGACATAAAAATAAAAGTCTAGTTTGTTCCTTCAATAATAAAATAGCAATGAAAATGTATCAAAACTGATCAAATACTAGCATTTTCTGCACTTTAAAGAGCAAGTCACCCCCAAATCGACTTTTTTCCCCTGATAAACCATATAAAAGTGTGTTTAATCGTGCTGCAGACACGTGTAGTCAATAAATTTGCACTTTAGTGCATTTTAGTTAAAATTAAAATGTTCTGCCTAAAACTGTCAGTGTTGTGCCGTTGTCAGGTAAAAACTTTGCCCGGCATTTGAATTCAAATCTGCCATCGCTATTGGCTAAGAGGTACCCTAGAATGTTAGCTGGTACCATATGATGTCACAATGTCGTTGTGAGCCTGTGTGTGTGTGTGTGTGTGTGTGTGTGTGTGTGTGTGTGTGTGTGTGTGTGTGTGTGTGTATTTGTTAGCAGCTCCACCCTCTCGATCTGCTCTGCAACAGCATTTGTTGCATTTTTCAAACATGAAGTGGGAGCGGAGTAAGGCTCTGGTAGGGGGTGACTTGCTCTTTAATGAATGAAACAAGTTTGTTTTTCAGCTATGCTGCTTTTATTTTGATAGTGGGTTAGCTAAGTAGCATTTTTAGGGATCGTGAGTAAAACTCAAACACACACAGCTAAATGTACAGGTTACACACAGTTATTTACAATAACAGACAACTTTATTGTTTTATTTGTATCTCTAATATAAAACATTACAGTTATTAGCTTTTTCCGCTGACGTTTGGAGTCTAATGGTTTGTGACGCAATGCATTATGGGAAACTTTGCTGCCCCATGTCCGCAGAAGGATGCATGGATGCCTTCTTGATACATTGGGTGGAGCAAGAACACATCCAGGGACTTTGAGCAAAATTGCCATTGTGCGTACTTAGAATTATAACAGTACTTGGGCCATCGTTGATGATATTTCACAAGGGCGTGAGTACACAAGTTCAGAAAATTATGCATATCGAGAAATGGTCACAGTGGCATTGTGACATCATATGGTATTAGCTAACCTCTTAGCCAATAGCGATGGCAGATTTAAATTCAAATGTAGTGCAGAGTTTTTGCCTGAATAGGGCGCAACACTGACAATTTTAGGCAGAATATAAAAATTTTAACTAAGATGCACTAAAGGGCCAAATTACTGACTACACATGTCTACAGCACGATTAGACACTCGTTTATATCGTTTATCAGCAAAAAAAAAAAGTTGATTTGGGGGTGACTTACTCTTATTATTATATTATTATTATTATCCTATTATTATACTTATTATTAATTATTTTCTGATAATCGTGATTATTTGCTATGGCTTTGTTAAGGCCAACATTATTTTATGAATTCTTACATTGACAAAAGTTTTGCATCACGTAGTTATTTCAGCAGAAATATTGACCTGCTGTTGAATGCTAGTCAGGCAAGCCAGACTAAATAAATATATGATTTAGTTGCAAACTTTGCACTGACAGGCGCCATCATATAACACCAGTTCTCAGATCCCTTCACTGGTTGCCCGTCTCTTTCAGGGTTCAATGCAAACTCCTACTTTTTGTTTTCAAATCCCTCCACGGTCTTGCCCCTGCGTGTTTATCAGACCTTCTCTCAATTTATTCCCCCGGCCGCACACTTAGGTCATCCAACTTGTTGCTCCTCGAGGTCCCGAAAGTGCATTACAAATCATGTGAAGAAAGAGCTTTTTCCGTTGGTGGTCCTAAACGGTGGAATGAACTCCCAGTCACACAGTTGGACAGGCATTCTCCTTAGAGGTTTTTAGGTCTAGATTAAAGATACACTATTTTACCCTTGCATTTAACAGTTAGCTGCTGGATGGGCTTTATTACTTTACATTACTATACTTGGAAGACATGTTTCCATTGGTTTTATTGGTAACTTATTTTAGTTTTGGCTTGTTTTGTTGTATTTTTGGTTGCATTTTATTGTTTCATGTGTTATATTTTTATTATTGTGTGACTGTTCAGCACTTTGGTCAGCCGTATGGCTGTGTTTTTTAAAGCGCTATACAAATAAAGATGATGATGATGATGAACATTGGAAACATTTCTTGTATTTTGATCAAATTACTGAACTATGGTTGCTCAGTTCTTCTGTCCCTTAACAATGGACTAAATGACTCAGTGGTCTTCTTCAAAGAGCAGCTGAAAACTCACCTGTTCAAGTTGGCTTTTGTATGACCTTCATCACCCTCTTATTGTTCTGCTCTTTCTACCAGTTCCACCTTTCCCACGATCCACTGATTTCCCTCTTTCCTATTCGTTTTCTCTTTCCCTCCCTTGCATTTTTGAAACACAATTCTTTATTTTTTTCTTCTATTTTTAACCATATTTTTAAAATAGTTTTATGAAGATTTTGTTTGTATTTTTAATTTGTTGTTCTTTTTTTTATCTTGAAATAAAGACGCTTTACTCACGGCTTCTGCTGCCTAAACTCCTTTGTAACTTTTTTCAAAGCTACTTATTTCTGCTGCACGTGACAATAGTTTTTAATCCAACTATTTACAGTTAAACTGTTTATTATAACAAAGCGTGTTAATCCTGGTTCGTTTTGGGGAAAAGTACATTGTGTTTCGGACGGTCCTGGTGACGTCATTTTCGGTAATGCTTGTATAAAACGGAAGCAAGCCGAATCACCTATTTTTCCTCCGCATATACTTCCGCCATCTTTTCGTGGGAGTTGTAACAGAAATCAACCCAATGATTTTAATTTACACAGTTTATATTTAATTAGATTTATATCAAACAATAATGTAAAGACTGAAATAAAATATTTTGATCACTCCCATTCAATGTTTGTCCCTATTTTCTCATAAGCAACTGCGGATCTAGTTTTTACGACGTTATAAGGTAAATGGTGCGAGTTGATAGGGCTAGAATGGTTCATTTTGCTGTAATCGGGTCATTTAAACGAAACTGGTCGAGTTTTGGTTCGTTTTCTTGTGGTCGTTCAAAGCGGCACCGAACTTGTCCGGCGGATGAATATGTCGAACGGCGGCCCTCTTTCCTTATAAACCGGGTCTCCTTTCTCTTTTGCCGGTTCTTCAGTACCACTGCCGGTCCTTTTCCAGTTGTCCTCTTGTCCTCCGTCTACTTATTTTAGTTTTTTGTAAATTTTTACACCAAAACGCACAACATGCCTGGATATGCTGACAGAGACCGCGGCAGGGACAGAGACAGAGGGTAAAAACATCTTCATTTCTTTATAAGTGATTTTAACCGTCGTGTGATGGCTGACGAGACCTAAAATACGCCAAAGGACTCGTTTTAAAACTATTGTTTAGACTAATTCGATATTGTTGCTCGTTACTGAAATAGTGAACAAAAGAAACAATACAACAGGGTTTCGACTCGAAATTTGTAAATAAAAATAAAACAATTTATTTTAACAAAGCCTTGAAACTAATCCGTTTTTTTTTTTTTTGGCTTGAGGCCTTGTTTGGCCTCGTGCCCCGGCCGGCCGGCATAACTCTTTTTAGTTTAATTTACGTTTTCATAGAATACTATTTTTATTATTAATTGCTTTGATGAAGGTGTTAGTTCGGATTAAACGTGTCGGTTCACGATGTACCCGAAAATGTTCCGGTCGTTTGGGCTGGCTGGCTGACTGAGAGGAAACGGCGTTCATGCTAACCTAGCCGGCTAGGCCGCTGTTCGCCATGTGGCGGCGGTTGAGCTCAGACACAAAATGCCGGCTGCGTTTTTCCTCTCTCCTTTTCCTCCGGTGCAGTTGTCTCTTAGATGTTGGAAAATGTTGTTTTCTTACACTCGATCAACCACACTTCTCGCTGTCTTTAGTGTCAAATAGTCCTAATCCAGTCCGACTTGGACTTTTTTTTTTTTTTTTTACAATGCAGCTATGGCGGTGGACCTCCCCGGTTCGGTGGAGGCCGTGGTGGTGGAGGAGGTGGTGGGAAGTTCGGCAACCCCGGTGACCGGCTGAGGAAGAAGCACTGGAACCTGGACGAACTCCCGAAGTTCGAGAAGAACTTTTACCAGCAGCATCCCGACGTGGCCCATAGGTCACCGGTAAGCATTCACGGTTCTGTAACGGCCATGACCTTTTTTATACGTAGGACCAATGCAACATTATGTTTTTGCAGCAAGAGCTTGAACAGTACAGAAGGACCAGAGCCATCACAGTCAAAGGGAGAGAATGTCCAAACCCCATCACGAAGTTCCATGAAGCTAGCTTCCCCAGTAAGTTGAAAGTCACCTGGGCCCTTAAGCCGTTTCTATATGGAGCCATTTACATTTTAATGGTTGCCTTGTGCTTTCAGCTTATGTAATGGAGGTGATCAACAAACAGAATTGGACAGAACCAACACCCATCCAGTCTCAAGGTTGGCCTTTGGCCCTCAGTGGCCAGGACATGGTTGGCATTGCACAGACTGGTTCTGGCAAGACGCTCGCTGTGAGTTTTTTTGCACAACTTTACATGATCTGCAATCTCTAAGGTTGGACCAATCAGACTGATTTTAACTGTCAATTTGGGTTCACAGTATCTGCTGCCTGCAATTGTCCACATCAACCACCAGCCTTTCCTGGAACGTGGCGATGGTCCAATTGTAAGAATGCCCGAGTGTCCGGGTCTTTTTTCTGACTAAGATGCAAATTTGACGTTAGATTTAGCAGATTTCTGATCTGTCTGTAGCATTGTGGCAGATATTTTAAAGCTTTATTTTTCTTGCTGGCAGTGTCTGGTGCTAGCCCCAACTCGTGAGCTTGCACAGCAGGTGCAACAGGTGGCCGCAGAATATGGCAGAGCTTCTCGTCTGAAGTCCACCTGCATCTACGGAGGAGCACCAAAGGGGCCTCAGCTTCGTGACCTGGAAAAGGGTGCCTGAGTTTTTATTTTTTTTCTCTATGTATAAGAAGTTTAAAGAGAAGAGGGTGCTGAGAAGTTGATTTCATTATATTCTTTATAAAATGTCTTTTTTTAATTATCCCCTCAGGTGTCGAGATTTGTATCGCCACTCCAGGAAGGCTCATCGACTTCCTTGAGGCAGGAAAGACCAACCTCCGCAGGTGCACGTACCTTGTGCTGGATGAGGCAGACAGGATGCTGGACATGGGCTTTGAGCCACAGATCAGGAAGATTGTTGATCAAATCAGGGTATGTGCTTTTCATATTTCTGCCTGCTTGTCATGAGTCGCTTAAGAGTTTATTCATGTAGATGTTTTGGGGTTTTTCCAGCCTGACCGACAGACTCTGATGTGGAGTGCCACTTGGCCTAAAGAGGTCCGCCAGCTGGCTGAGGACTTCCTGAAGGAGTACGTTCAGATCAACGTCGGAGCACTGCAGCTTAGTGCCAACCACAACATCCTGCAGATCGTTGATGTTTGCAATGATGGAGAGAAGGAGAACAAGTGAGCATTTGACCCACATCCTAGTAAATGGAGATTCATGGTGTCATTTTAAACTAAATGAGTATTTAATTTCTTGTAGACTCATTCGTTTGCTTGAAGAGATCATGAGCGAGAAGGAGAACAAGACCATCATCTTTGTCGAGACAAAGAGGAGATGTGATGATCTCACGCGCAGAATGAGGAGGGATGGGTAGGTATTGGCAGTGTAGGGTTTTATATCGATTTTTCTCATTAACTGACGAGTTATTCCTTATAGGTGGCCGGCTATGGGAATCCATGGTGACAAAAGCCAACAGGAGAGAGACTGGGTTCTTAATGGTAGGTTTCATTCATGTTTAATAGAAGTTCATCTCCAGTGGTCTGAGGGTCATGTCTGATCTGGTTTCTTCTGCTTTTAGAGTTCAAATTTGGAAAAGCTCCAATACTCATTGCTACAGATGTTGCCTCCAGAGGTCTAGGTCAGTATCTGCCCTAAACTCCTTCATTGTATAATGAAAAAGAAAGTGTTTGCTTTCTTTAACTCTTCTTCTTTCTGAGTTTCTCCCCTGACCCGAAGGAGCAGTCTGTGTGGCAGGGCCTTGGCATGACAAGCCCAGGTATCCAGAGGGGGAAGGAGGATTCTTGGAGGTGTCCAGACTGGCGAGGCACGGGTCTCCCAGTCGTGCAGATGTAGAGGTGACCAGGTCGCAGAATAATATGCTGGCCTGCCTAAAAGGGGGGAAGAGATGAAGGCTGGCCGTATTTTTTTTTCCCCCAAATCTCGAGTTCTCAGCAATGGTTTGGACTGCTTCACACACCCAGGCTCTTGAGTGTCCCAGCTCAAAGCTCAGCTACGCCTCTTCTATTGTCTTGCATGTACATTTGGACACCACATTGCAAGTAACTAGGTTAGTTAGACCTGTGAAGCATGGGTAATGATGCAGTTTTCTAAACTTGTCTGAAGAGCAGTCTGTGATATCGTACCTTCACCTCTATAGTGACATGGCTACTGGCGCTTTTGGTGACAGTGGGACATGGTAGTTGGACACAGTTGGACAAAATCCAAGCTCACATTCCTCCCTCGCCTGCGTTTCAAAGTCATGTCGAGACCTGCCAACGAGAGACATTATGGTCACGTGAACGCTGGGCATGGATTAAAGCTTGCCATGCTGAGGAGGGGTTGCACTGTAAACCTCCAAAAGCGGTCTGGTCTACAGGTTCATGACGAGACACGAGCGCGTGAAAGACTTTTTCTAAGTGGTGGTTCACTGACGCAGCCCTCCTGTGTAGACTCCTATATGGTCGCTTGACATTGTGAGGGGTGCTCTGCAATGGGAATGGATTAGTGAATGTATACTCCAACAACTGGTAGGACAGCTGCTCCGTGTACGAGAAGCAAAGTGGAGTGTGCATCATTTCTCTCTTCCCACCGTAGTCTCCCTGTGGATTAGCCTTTTGCGGTTTAATGCCTTATCTAACCTAAAGAACCGACTCGACTTGTGACTGGTCTAACTTGCCATCTTTTCTTGATCTGGTTGTTGTTGTGGCTCTGGTACACAACCGTGTGCTGCCCTCTCCTGTGCCACACTTCAACGTAATTTTACAGATGTTGAAGATGTGAAATTTGTCATCAACTTTGACTACCCCAACAACTCTGAGGACTATATCCACCGCATTGGCAGAACTGCTCGTAGCCAAAAGACGGGCACTGCCTATACCTTCTTCACCCCCAACAACATGAGGCAGGCTGGGGATCTCATCTCTGTGCTTCGTGAAGCCAACCAGGCCATCAACCCCAAGCTGATTCAGATGGCTGAGGAAAGGGGAGGTGAGTCCCGATGAGCTGCTGTAAATAGGTGCAGTGTTGTTGCTAATTCAGCAATTAACGTGCTTTAAATTCTCTTTTCAGGTCGTTCAAGAGGCGGTAGAGGTGACTATAGGGATAGGGACAGGTTTTCCTCTGGAAGGCGCGACTACGGCGGCGGTAGAGACCGGGACGGCGGTAGAAACTTTAATGGACCCAAGTCCTTTGGCACAAATTCACAGAATGGAGGCTATGGCAGCAGTAATGGTACCAGCAATGGCTATGGTGGTGGAAACTACGGTAATGGACAATCCAACTTCAACAACAGCCAAGGAGGATCCTTCGGTGGTCAGAACAACTTCCAGAACCAACAGTTTACTCCAAATAACGCTGTTGCACAGAACGGTGCGAGCCACCCCCCATTCCCCTTCACTCAGGGACAGGCCCAACAGCAGCATCCTCCACCAATGGCACCATACTCCATGCCTCCTCAGTTCTCTCAGTAACGCATCGTAAACTTAAAACATAATTTATTGCTTTTGGTCTCATAAGTTCTATACTTAATCCAAATTTTTGTATTCACGCAACAGGGTTACGTCAACCTAAAGCCTTTTAAGATCTGCAGTGCAGCGATAGTTGTGTTGCACACTTATTTAATTTGTTACATTCCTCGGAAACGTTTAGTTATGTTTTGTACCAGGTAATTACGTGTATTTGTTTTCATGTGTAGCATTGAAAGTGATGTTCAGCTCTTGCCTTGGAAGTGCACTGCATGATCTTTCAAATAAAATCCTACAGAAAGACACTTGTTGTGGATTTCATATTCCTGCTCTTCGGTATCGTTTTAGTTTAGGCTAGAGAGCACAAGCTGCTGTCCGTGGGTGGGAAACGGGGACAGGACACTGGATTAGTGATTCATGGACGTGGTGTGCTTTTGACATGGATCAGGTGATCTTTAGGGCTGTACCTTATGCTGACCAGCAGGTGTCAGGATTTACAAACACTTCTAGTTAAATCAGCCTGAGTCAATGTGATCAAAGCTAATCTCAAACTGTTACTCATTTTAATCGTGTTGCTCTAATATTTGACATTAAAATTAAATTCTTTCAAGTTGAAGTGTTCAGTCACATTTTGTTTCAATTAGAAGATAAAAATGAGTAGTTTTAGGATTATTCCAAATTTTGTGCCATGGTTTAACAAAGTGTTACCATTGGGGGCAACGGCGGCACAGGAGTAAGTTCTCGCCCCGTAATCAGAAGGTTGCAGGTTTGAGTCCGCTCAGTTTGTCGCTGTTGTGTCCTTGGGCAGGACGCTTAACCCACCTTACCTGCTGCTGGTGTTGGGAGGGACCGGTGGCGCCTGTGTACAGCAGCTGTGGCTACATTGTAGCTTGTCACCACCAGCCTGTGTAAAGCGCCTTGGGGGGTTCCAGGACTCTTAGAAGGCGTAATATCAAATACAGGCCATTTACCATTGGTTTAATTTTTCTTCGTCAAGGTGGCAGAAGACGTCCATCATGTGTTGCTAGTTTTGATCGTCATCTATCTTTGTGAGTTAACGCTCACGCTGGAGGTCATTGGAAAGGCGGGGGGCACAGATCATACACGGGTGATATCAATCCATTTTCACTGTTACCAGTAAAGTGAGAGCCAACACCTCAGATGAGCTACTACCCTCTCGCTCCATCTGACCATCCCTCCCAACCCGGAGGGAACACTCCACCTTTTTCCGGTCAGGAATCCTGTCCTTGGAGCTGACGCTCATCCCAGCTGCTTTACAGTCTGCTGCAACCCCCCCAGTGTGCACGGAAATGACTCCCATGTTTTGTCCCGTCTTTGGGCAAATGTCATTCACAAGTGCCTGGTCCATGTGGGCTTGTAAGACACTACAAGTGTTGTTCCTAAAATTGGAATATCATGAAAAAGTTTATTTCAGTAATTTCATTCAACAAGTGAAACTTGTAGATTATATTAATTACAGATGGATTTCAAGTGTTTAATGTTGATTACAACTGATGAAAATCCCAAATTCAGCATCTCAGAAAGTTAGAATATCGATTGAGACCAATGTAAAAAGGCCAACTGTATGAGCATGTACAGAGCTTGGTATTTATTTGGGGTTCCTTTGGCCTGGACTACTGCAGCAATGCGTCATGGCATGGAGTCGCTCAGTCTGTGGCACTGCTTGTGCCCATGTTGCTCTGATAGTGGCCTTAAGCTCTTCTGAATTGTTGGGTCTAGCATATTCCAGTCAAGAACAGGGATACCATGGTCCTTAAACCAGATTCTGGTAGCTTTGGCGCTCTGTGCAGGTGCCAAGTCCTGTTGTAAAATGAAATCTGCATCTCTGTAAAGTTGGTAAGCAGTAGGAAGCATGAAGTGCTCTAGAACTTCCTGGTAGAGAGCTGGGTTGACCTTGGACTGCAGAAACACAATGAACCAACAACAGCAGATGACATGGCACCCCAAACCATCCCTGACTGTGGAAACTTTACTCTGGAGATCAAACATGTTTGATTATGTGCCTCTTCTCTTTTCCTCCAGACTCTGGGACCTTGATTTCCAAAGAAAATGCTAAATTTACTTTAATCAGAGAACATAGCTTTGGACCATGATTCTGACGCTGTCTGTTGTTTAAGAGTGTCTTGACACAAGGAGAGCGACAGCTGAAACCATGTCTTGCATATGTCTGTGCGTTGTGGTTCTTGAAGCACTGACTCTAGTTGCAGTCTGCTTTTTGTGAAGCTCCCCCACATTTTTGAATGGGTTTTGTTTCACAATCGTCTCTAGGGTGCGGTTATCACTATGGCTCGTGCTTTGTTTCTACCCTTACCTTTGCCTCTCTATTAAGGTTTATCTAAAGCAGCGTACAATTGTTGTGATCTGTGGGGGAAACTGGAGTAGCCGGAGGAAACCCATGCATGCATGGGGAAAACATGCACTTCTATGCAGAAAGACTGCAGCCAGGTTTCAAACCTGCAACCTTCCTGTTGCGAGGCAACAGTGCTAACAACTGCGCCACCATGCAGCCTATTGATGTGCTTGGACACGGCTCTGTGAGCAGCCAGCCTCTTTAGCAATGGCCTTTCGTGTCTTACCCTCTTTGTGGAAGGTGTCAGTGGTTGTCTTCAGGACAACGGTCGAGTCAGCAGTCTTCCCCATGATTGCGCCCACGCTCTCTCTATAAGTTTCGCCAACATAAAACTCTTTGTCAAAGAGCCAACTTAGCATATCAGCATTTACTTGGGTAAAGTTTATTTATACTATAACGAAAGTATTTTTTTTTCTTGTGTTACACCAGAGCTGCTGAGGGTTAGGGTTAGGTCTCTCTTGTTCACAGGTGAATGATCACACTGAAAAGAAGGATCTGCAGGTGTGGCTGATTGCTTTCTGCATATTTACACACCTGTTGCCTTGGAAATGTGGGGAATGCTCCCTTAGTTACTCTTAGAAAAACGTGTTTTTTTTATCCTGGAGCTACGCCCTGCTGTGGCGTTTAACAAAAATGATGAGGACGTAAAACATTTTTGTTCACGTACTTAACTACTATAACCAAAATGACTTGTTACTCCTAACTTATTGCAGATCCGTTAACATTTGAACACATAAAGCCGGTGGCTCTAGTGTTCTACTGAACATTTTGATGTTGCATGAACTAATATAAAGAAGGTTTTTTTTACCAAAACAATTCCCAGTGCTTACATGGGTACTTGAAGTGTACTTACGGTGGTACGTACAGAGTACTTATGGTGGCACATAAATGATGCTTGTGTGTAAGTAAAGAGTCACCTGTACAGGTTGAGTACTAGGTATGTTACCCTTTATTTATCTAAGAACACCACCATAAGTACCCATGTAACTACTGGGCTGAATCATGTATTACTACCCCATTTCTTCCCAAACTATATTTACTACTACTACTACTACTACTATGCACGTACCATGTATACTTTTATTTCTTCATTTTCTTTGTTTTATTAGCATGATGCTGATTCAAATTAGTCTTGCCTAAGTTGCCTTAACCCTCCCACTGTCCTAATGGGTGTGACCCCGCGAGGAAAGTTGACCATTGAGCAGGATTGATGGTTTATCCCTTGGGTCCGTGAGGCAGGGGTGAGGAGTGAGCACCACCTCACCCCTGCCTCGTGGACCTCAAGGGATAAACCATCAATCCTGCTCAATGGTCAACTTTCCTCGTGGGGTCACCCATAAAGACAGTGGGAGGGTTAGGAGAGGTTAATTATTAAAAATGTGGTGTAATGTTGGGAGGGCCTCTAGAAACCCCAATCATCGATACATATGCGTGTGAACATATGTGATAGAGCTTATCGGCACTGATTAGACACACAAAACGGGCGCTGCATCATATTCTTTTTGCTCGTTTTGTTGTCCTGGACCTCTGGGCTCGTTTATTCATGTCGTGTGGGAACGTCCTTGAGTTCAGGACCTCTGGGTTAAAGTACGTTGTAGTGTTACTGATTGTCCCTCTCCCCTTGGATCCTGTACGTATTAAATGAGGACTCGCGACTATCATGTGCAGAGAAGACCTCTAGCAGGACTGACTGCAGTGAAGAAAACAATAACTCAAAGACCAAACATGTCTTTTGTGCTCTGGCTTAAAGCACATGCATGGACTGTGCCTACACACGTGGACAAAATAGTTGGTACGCTTCGGTCAATGAAAGAAAACCCCACAGTGGTCACAGAAATGACTTGAATCTGACAAAAGTAATAATAAGTTAAAATTCAATGAAATTTAACCAGTGATAGTCAGACGTTGTTTTTCAACAATGCTTCAACGGAATTATATATAAAAAATAAACTAACTGAACAGGCCTGGACAAAAATGCCGGTACCCCTAGCTTAAGATTTTGTTGCCCAACCTCTTGAGGCAATCGCTGCAATCAAACAATTCCTGTAGCTGTCAACCAGACTACTGCCCCTCTCAGCAGGGCACCTTTTTCCAGACGGCTCCTTCCAAAGACGCTCAGTAGGACTGAGGTCAGGGCTCATAGAAGGCAACTTTAGAATAGTCCGATGATTTCCTCTTAGCCATTCTTGGGTGTCTTTAGCTGTGTGTTTTGGGTCGTTGTCCTGTCGCCAGACCCGCGACCTGCCACTGAGACCAAGCTTTCTGTCACTGGCCAGCACATTTCTCTCCCTTCATCGTCCTGAGATTTCATTGGGCCCTGCACAGATTCAGGACATCCTGTGCCAGATGCAGCAAAGCAGCCCAGAATATAACACAGCCTCCTCCGTGTTTCACAGTGTTCTTTTGACTTGATTTTTATTTGAACATTAAAAATAAAATATAAATAAAAGAATTATTCACAGACAAAACATACCAGAAAATAAAGAAAACAGATTTACCTTTCAAGTCTGCAAAATGTAATAAAAAGGAATAAATCTTTCATATTCTGCTGGAAAAGGAGTTGGAAGAAGCTAGTGCTTTTCTTTTATTTCTTTTCTTGATATGCTTCATTTTTCCGTCTGTGAACATAGAGCTGAAATGCCATTTCTGTCTCACGTGTCCACAGGACGTTCTCCCAGAAGCTTTGTGGCTTGTCAACATGTAGTTTGGCATATTCCAGTCTGGCTTTTATTATTGGTTTTCAACAATGGGGTCCTCCTTGGTCGTCTCCCATGTACTTCACTTGCGATCTGACACTGACGTTCCTCTAGCTTGAAGCTCACCTTGGACCTCTTTAACAGTTTTTCTGGGCTCTTTGTTACCATTTGAATTATCCGTGTCTTTGATTTGTCATCAATTTTCTTCCTGCAGCCACATCCAGGGAGGTTAGCTACTGTCCCATGAGTCTGGAACTTCTGAATGACACGTGCAGCTGTAATCACGGGAACACCTAGCTGCGTGGAGATGGTCTTGTAGCCTTTACCTTTAACATGCTTATCTATAACATTCTTTATAATCTCCTGAGACAACGCTTTCCATGTCAACAAACAACACAGTGACTACCTGGAGCCCTATAGGCCCGCTGACGGATTACACGACCGCAGACACCTGTGATGCTATAGCGTCCCTGTCACGGTCTGAGGTGGATTCCTGTTGTCACTCCCTGTCTTTTGAGTTTTTCCCTCTGCAGGTGGGCGTGTCTGGAGGTTGACCAGGCTGCAGCAGATCTGCTCATCAGCTGGCCAGGGGTATTTAAGCAGCTGGGAGACTTCTACACCTCACTGGATGACTACTCTACCTGGGTACCTTCTAGCAGCCACTAGTTTATCTTATTCAAGCTTTTGAGAGTTAGATTGTGTTTTTGGAATTTGGAGTTTTAAGAATTTAATGAGTTTTGGATTTTTGCCTTTTGACCTCCTGCTCTTGTTCCCAGACAAACCTACACACTCATCTCAGACTGGCAGAACTCTGGAGCCCACACCATCTGGAACTCCAACCCCGCACGTCTCTCAGTCTCTCCCCTGGCCAGAACCACCTCCAGCTGCCCACCTAAACTTCCTGGACCTCCACAAGCTCAGCTCCCTCCACATTTCACTTCTTGGATCTCAGCCCCTGCAAAGCCTCTCAACCCAGACCGGACCACTCCTCCCTCAAACCAGTTCCCTCCTCTCCAGACCGTAAGTCCTCCGCACAAGTCAGATTCCTTGTTCCCTCCGCAAATTGGATCTAACTCCGATCTGTCCACAGATTTCCCGCACCAGCTTCCTTGTGCAAGAACTCAGCTACGTTTACGCTGCTTCCTTGGTTTCCCTTTCAATAAATCCTTATTTAAACATTTTACACCATCTCAGATCTGATTCTGTATGTCGTGGGTTAGATTTCTTCACCACAACATGACAGTCCCTTTGGCCAGATCATTTTCAGTCTTTTCTAGGGACACCATCATTTTTGTCCAGGCCTGTTGCTTGAGTTAAATGTTTTTAATAATTCAGTTGAAGCATGGTTTAAAAGCAACATCTGACTTATTCATTGGTTAAATGTTATAGAATTTTTAATCTATTACTTTAGTCAGATTCATGTTATTTCTGTGACCATTATGGGTTTATCTTTCATTGACCGAAGGGTGCCAACTATTTCAAATTCAAAATTCAAATTCAAATTTTATTTGTCACATACACATTCATACACAGTACGAAATGCATGGAATTGCCTTACACAACTGCTCGTGACCTAAGAGTTGAAAATAAAAAGACTGTACACCACGGATTAAAAATGAAGGGTAAATTAACTGGGAAAGAGTAAGGTAAAATATATCTGAATTAAAGTTGAATAATTGTCCACGTGTGGTAAAATGGTAATGGTAAATGGCCTGTATTTGATATAGCTCCCTCTAGAGTCCTGGACCCTCCGCAAGGCACTTCACAACACAATCAGTCATTCACACACACATTCACACACTGGTGGGGATGAGCTACGATGTAGCCACAGCTGCCCTGGGGCGCACTGACAGAGGCGAGGCTGCCGAGCACTGGCGCCACCGGTCCCTCCGACCACCACCAGCAGGCAAGGCGGGTTAAGTGTGCCACCGTCGCGCAATGAAATTATGTTTAGCAAGGGTCAATAATGCAACTTCAAATACTGCGTCATGGATTTAGGGGCTAACCTTAAGAGACTTGTCTCCGACTAGAGTAGGATGGATGGACTGACTCACTAGTGGAAGGATGAGTCGGTTATATCTTATAAACAAGAAGTTTGTTGAGTGTTTGATGTAAAACTGTTACAGCTTCCTAATAAAATGATGACAAAAGAAGGTTAATTATTTGAAAATCTGTTTTATAAAATTTAAAATTTTAACTTGTAAAAGCAAAACAATCTCCAGATACAAGTGTGTGTGTGTGTGTGTGTGTGTGTGTGTGTGTGTGTGTGTGTGTGTGTGTGTGTGTGTGTGTTCTCCCACAGAGGGGATAAGGTAGGTGTTGAATGTAGTTATAGAAACTACTCCTTTAATCCTTCATCACGTGACTCATAGTAATGATGAAGACAGCAGCAGAGCTGCTCACCCTGTCAGTTCGTCCATCTTCAGGTTGATCCTCTCTCTCTCTCTCTCTGGTAAGTCTCCTCGTGCAGCCTGTTGCTTTTGGAACAGAAACGCCTTCCCTCTTCGTGTCTGAAGCCTGCGGACGTGTTAGAGGATTAATTACAGCGCAGCTGTTCAAACTTTTGCCACAAAGCTTCTATAAATAAACCCAGCTGCTGGTCTGATCTGTAATTGATGTCCATTTGTCGAGTTTAGTATCCGGATTAATTGCAGGGCTCCGCAAACAGACGGTTACCACTTTGATTCATTCTTTCCATCAAATATTCAAATGCAAATGAGCGGGTGAATCAGTCCCAGGAGAGCTGCTCCATAAATACGCACGCGGCTCCGTGCATCCTGTTCTCCTCGCAGGATCCGCGGAGGTGATCCTGCTCAGCGGGGAGGGGGTAGACCAGGACGCGGGAGAAGCTGCACACTTCTGGGCGGAGAGAAGAGTTTCCGTCGTATGATGTCTGTGGTGGGCGCACAGGCTCTCATCAAACCAATGCAGACTTCACCATCGGTTTCGCCCGGAATCCAGCGGAGACACACGCTGCCCGCTAGCGAGGTGCGGCCGCTCAACACGCAAGATGCCATCAGCGTCTTTGAGATCGAAAGGGAGGGTAAGTGACGCATCCTGGAGATGCGCCACACTGTACACGATCCTTACATTCAAGCTTTAACTTGTTTAACTAGTTTTCACGGTGGAAACGTTCGCAGGACGTTCATGGGAGATGCCTAAAGTGCGTGCGTAAAACTAGTGCCAAATCATTTTTACGCACAGGTAACTCTCTTCCTGTCTGTCCTTTTTCAGCTTTTATCTCAGTGTCAGGTGAGTGTCCTCTCCACCTGGACGAAGTGCGTCACTTCCTCACGTTGTGTCCGGAGCTGTCCATGGGCTGGTTCGAGGAGGGGCGGCTGGTGGCTTTCATCATCGGGTCCTTGTGGGACCAGGACAGGCTCGCCACAGTGAGAGATTCAGGATATCATCGCCTTATGAGAAAAATTCAAAACTTCATATCACCTTCTTGTTTTCCACCTAGGAAGCGCTGACACTCCACAAGCCACGTGGCTCTACCGTGCACATCCATGTCCTGGCGGTCCATCGCACCTTCAGGCAACAGGGGAAGGGCCCCATCTTGATGTGGCGCTACCTGCAGTATCTCCGCTGCCTGCCCAACGTGCGCCGAGCCGTGCTCATGTGCGAGGACTTCCTCATCCCCTTCTACCGCAAATCAGGCTTCAAGGTGCTGGGCCGCTGCGCCGTCACCGTGGCCAACCTCACCTTCACGGAGATGTGGTATCCAATCAGCGGCCACGCCTACATGCGCCGCAACAGCGAGGCCATCCGCTTCCCGCAGCATCCATTGACCCTGCCTCTGGCAAAGACTGACGAGCAAGTTGACTTATGACTCTTATCTCAGTGAAGCAGTGGCGCCCCCCTTAGTGAGAGTTAGGGGGGCCCCCACGGCGAGGCCCCCACATCTCCCTCACTGGGGGCCCTTCTTGATCAGACAGTCTCATGTGCAAAATAATATTAATGAATGAAAGAGAGGAGAAGACAGCTTCAGTGAGCTGCAAGATTCATTTATTTAAGCGTAACGTAATTTTTTTCTGTTTTTAAGTCACAAACAAGTCTGTAAAATAAGCAAAGAAGTAGGTTTACATTAAAACATGGGGAGCTGATTGTCAACAATAAAAATGATTTCTCTTTGGCCACATTTAGCCTCAAATTATATAATTAATAAGAAATTCATAGAGTAAAAAATTAGTTAAATGTAAGTTTTTAAAATTTTCAAATCTGTTATTTTGCTAATTATTTAGTTTGAACTTAGTTAGATTAATAACTAGATTCTAGCATTTATGTAAAACTTTTATATGTTTGAGGTTTTTTTTTATTTTTACTTTTAATATTATTATATGACAGTGGGATTTTTTTTGTACAAATACGGCTAAAACTAATTTTAGGAGCTAAATTTGAGCTACACTTTATTAAATCTCATAGTTTTTTAGTGTTTGCTTTACAGTCAGCTTCGTATTCCCTCATTGCAGTATTTTGTAATTAAACTCCTAAACTTCTGTTGTTGTTTCTTGTGTTCGAGTGGCCCCCATCCGGCCACCCCAGTCCGCCCCCTTTTGAGAACCCCCTGGAGGCACCCCTGCACCAGTAACTGTGTGAAATGTTCTGTTAAATAAACAGGAAAATCCTGCAAGTGTTTGTTGTAAGTAAATAAGTGATGTGTTGAACTGTAGGGTTACAAGTTGCTGGGTAAGCGATTTCCTGCTTAACACCTCTCAGTACTTCCCACACATCAGCTGAGGTCAGTCATCAGGCTTTAGCCGCTCAGTTACAGCTCGTCCCGCTCTGTCATGGGAGCTTTAGCGGACGTGAACGTCTGAGGATTTAGATCGACTCATCACATAGCTCTAGGATCTATTGGTCTGACTTAATTTTGAGTGGATGCTGCAAATTATGGGATGCATTTTCGGTTGTAAAGTTGTGGTTCTGTTTTTATTTCTGTTGCAGTGACACCGTGTCATTAAAATGTTTGATACAGTTTTTAAAGATAAAATGCTGTTGTGACTCTTTTGTTGCACCAAAGATTATTTCTTTGCTAAAACCAAAATGTGCACTGTTGCACATGTAGCAGTGACCTCACTGATGAGTCATCTGTGGGCGGCGTCTTGCTCTTGGACGAGCTGTAATCCGTGACACAGTCACCGACTCAGGTCTAATCCACTAATGTGGCCTCTGAAGGACAAACTGGACACTCAGTTACCTCAACATGACCCACACAGTTCCGGGAGCCAGAAAGTTACATGTGTTTTCAACCGAACGCGTCCTGACCAGCTCTGATTCAGGCAGATTAAAGGATCTTTCAGGTCCTCGTGCTCTTTTGATGCAGCCCTTGAGCCAGGTTGTAACCGTAAACCCTCCACGCCATCACCTGCTGCAGGTTTCTGAAGAGCTAAACTGAAGCCAGTTGGGCGGTTCCCACCACCACCACCTTGTCCGCAACAATGCGTCTCGTCACTCCCAAAAAGTGCAAAAATGGAGGTGAGAGCGGGGCTGTGAGGGTGGGGGCGGATGATTGACAGCCATCAAACTCAGAGCTTATTTAGCTACAAGCTAACTGAAGCTAACTGAGGTTGGCTGGTGTTTTTTAGCCAGAAAACCGAGGTTGACCTACTCTGTTACCTGCTGTTTACTAGTCTGTACTTTTAACATGAGGCTGAGGTTGAAACTTTACCTGGAGCAAGCAGAAGGCTAGCTTGCTAGCACTAACGCTGATGGCTCATCTGCTGCTTGTCGATCCAAAGGACACACTCCTAATTATTTGTAATTTCTAGCTTTAATTAATCTAAACGAAAGAGTTACAAAAAAATTTGCCCCTTCCCCAATCATGAGGGCAAATCAAGCCCCCATAATTCGGGTCTGGATATGAAGCAAAACAGGAAGTAACAAAATTGCAGTTCCACTCTCATCCACTAGGGGCTGTGTCAGAAGCGAGTAAATCCTCATTCAAATTCAATTCAAAAATACTTTATTAATCCCAGAGGAAAATTAGAGTTTCTGTACAACACAATTCTGAGATCAGACATACATACATAGACGGACAGGAATTGGTGACTGTGGACATTTGCAACCCGAGTAGCGCCACCGTAATAGATCAAGAGGGTTTATATGAGGATAGAGTCAGAGGGAAGGAAAAAAAGGCACTTCAGAGTTACCCTCAACAGAGAGGGTAGCTTTGCTGTGCAAAAAAAAAAAAAAAAAAAAAAAAAAAAACACCTCAGACAGATATGCACACAGACTTCACACAATACACAACATAAGTGTTCACTAGGTGGGGAGGTAGGGTTGGGACTCGCCTCACTTCAGAGAGTGCAGCTGCAAGAGCAGCGCTCATCACCTCCGTTTGGACAGGGGAGGGAGATAATGGGTTAGAGAGCACAGTGACTCCTAGATACGGTTCCACGGCTTTCATCGGTCACAGTCCCGCCCAGGCTGGGATAGGGAGAAAGAGTTTCCATAGCGACCGCAGCATTCCACATTTCTTCTGAGGGGGGAGTTTTCACTTCAGCCCAACAGGATTCAAGTGCACCAGATTCAGATAGCAAGAATTGTTTTGTGTACAGGCAGAGATAATTTCCTCTCTGCCTTAGTGTTCTGTTGGTCTTCAACCCCTCTAGATCCAATAATGGCGTTATCAATCTATTCCAATCCGTGGTGATCTGTCCACTCGCTCCTTGACGGAATCCACCTTCTGTGCCAGAGCCTGAATCTCAGCCAAAGTTCCAAGCTTACGACTCATCTCGACAATTATATGAGTTTGTGAGTTTACAGAGCGATGCATTCTGAGATCCTCATCTGTGCCCCAGACAAGCTGGTTCCCAAAGTCAGAGACTCTCAGAGATGGGTCGCGGGGGCAGCAGCCTAAGCCGAGACGCCCACACTTCCCTCTCCCCAACTACTTGGGCAAGCTCCTCTGGGGGAATCCTAAAGCATTCTCTGGCCAGTCAAGAGACATAGTCTGCCTCACGGACTAAAGCTGGGAGCTGGTTCCACAGGAGAGGAGCCTGATAACTAAAAGATCTGCCTCCCATCCTAATTTTAGATATTCTGGGAACCACCAGTAAACCTGCAGTCTGAGAGCGAAGAGCTCGGTTAGGAACGTATGGAACAATCAGATTACTGATGTATGATGGAGCTTGATTATTAAGATCTTTATATGTGAGAAGAAGGATCTTAAAATCTATTCTGAATTTAACAGGTAGCCAATGTAGGAAAGCTAAGACAGGAGAGATATGATCTCTCTTTTTAATTCTCATTAGAACTCTAGCTGCAGCATTTTGGACAAGCTGAAGACTTTTAACTACATTCTGTGGACTTCCTGAGAGTAATGAATTACAGTAATCCAGTCTTCATGTAATAAATTGGCTCCTCCCGACGTGAAGGAGCAGCGGATCTACTCCGAGCCCCTCCCGGATGATCGAGCTTCTCAACCCATCTCTAAAGGTGTGCCCTGTACCAGCCGCTTGTAGCTGCGATCTCGTTCTTTCTGTCACTACCCAAAGCTCGTGACCATAGGCGAGGGTAGGAACGTAGATCGACCGGTAAATCGAGAGCTTTGCCTTCCAGCTCAGCTCTCTCTTCACCACAACACCTGCACCACTGCAGACACAGCACCAATCCGCCTGTCGATCTCACGTCCATTTTTCCCTCACTCCTGAACAACCACCATCTTCAGCTCAAAACTGTGCAACAAAGTTTTGCAACAGCAATTTGAACGTGTCAATGGGTGAAACGTCCTTCGTGTCACAGCCTGTGGTTGTAGGTCATTAAAGCGTCGGGATCTCAGCCATGCCTTGTGGCTGTTGGGAATCAGATTAGGTGTTTACGTCGTAGCTTGTTGTTTAGCATTAGCATCGAGTCAGAGTCCCAGCATAGCTTCTAGTTGTTGTGTTTGGAGGTGTTCGTAAGGAGCAGGCAGCAGTTAGGGTTAGGGTTAGAAGGACTCTCATGAGTAGACAGGAGGAGAGCTCCTCCAGCAGCAGAGCTGACCCGGTTCTGAACTCGTGCCGAGTCCAGCTCTGATTAGAACATGTTCATGTTCGATTCTGGACACTAAGTTAGCTCTGAGAGCCGTCAGATCACTGGTGAAGTTTAACCGAGGTCAGCAATGAGAAGAGAAGATACATTTAACATGACGTGGTTGTTGACAGCAGACACACGTGTCTGAGCATCTCAGAACCAGCTGATCTCACCCAGGATCACCAGAACTAGACCAGAAGAGACTGGAAAACCCTTTCCTGGTCTGATGAGTCTGGATTTCTGCTGCAGCCTAACCCTAGCCCATCTTCTGAAGCTGCTTCCAGCAGGAACATGCACCACGTCACAAAGCTCAGATCACCTCTAACTGGTTTCTAGGACATGACCGTCACCAGATCTGAGTCCAGTCCAGAACCTTTGGGATGTGGTGGAATGGGAGGTTCAGGTCGTGGATGGATCTGTGTGGTGATGTCATGGACCAGAACTTCTTAGGAATATTTCAAAAACCTTGAGAGATTTGTGACAAAAATAATGAAGGTGGTTCTGGTGGCAAAAAGGGGTCTGACGTGGTGGCAGGACGGTGTGCATGACGTGGCTGGTGAATGTGTGATAACAGCCAGCAGCAGCATCCTTTCATCCTGATGAACAGCAGAGCTTTAAGCACCAGCCACGAGGCAGACGTGGAGTTTGGTCTTCACCACTGATGCTGTAATCAAGCGAGACAAAAGTGCAGATGCTCATTGTCAACCATTAACAATCATCGAGCCAAACAAAAAGGAGCGAACCATTAACGCACGCGTCACTCAGCCAAGTTCAGTCAAAGCTAATGAGTCGTAAGTGCGTCCGTGTGGCGCCGCTGGGGCATTCTGGGTAATTCTGGCTCATTTTACTGCAGGCAGCTGCTGTACAGTCATCAATAGGCCCCATCAGGAGAAACAGGTCCATTGTTTCAGCTTAAAACAGGAAATAGGGACAAGAAAGCTCATGACAGCACACAGAAAGGTGTGTTTATCCTCAGGTGAGATGACCTATCAGGGGCCGCCCCTCTGGATAAAGACTGGGGTCACCTCAGTCTGCAGACAGGCTCATGAGAAGTAATCCCACAAAGTCCTTCCAGTCATCGGCTAATCTGGCAGCCCGGCATCCTAAAGCAAAGGCTGCTCTCCCCATCATCAGGGACCGGTTCCTCTCAGCTCTGTTCAGCAGTCTTTGTCACTTTGTCCTTGCTTGTGAGTCACATTCAGTCCATATGTTTAATCCATCGTTTCCAAACACACGACTCACCTTTGGAGCCGACGTTTCGGCGGCAGAGAGATCTTCCTGGAAGTGCGTCGCAAACCAAACGCCCTTCATATTGATACGAACAACAAGACTCCACCGTGGAGCTGTTTACAGTGACAACGACACGGAGCTGACAACTGAGGGCTAACCTTGACAACGCTAAATAAACACACAGAGTCATGCGGTTCTCAGGCTTTCTGTGGAAATGCCACGACCTGCAGACAGCTCTCTGAACAACCTCAGTCTGGAGAAAAAGAGATGAGCTCTGACTGGACTGACGAGCTAATGGCTAGTCTGAAGAGGGTCGCTTACAGGTGAAACTGGACAAACTAGAATCTGATGCAAACGTCCACTCCAGCTCAGACTGCAAGACCATCTAAAGTCCCAGGAACCCTCTGCAGGTGTTCTGGATTCATCAGCTGTCAGCCACAGTTGTAACAAATAAAGGCTGGAGTGAGTAGATTAGTTTCACCTTTTAGGCAGGGGCGCCTCCAGAAAATGTTGATGGGGTGGCCAGATGGGGCCAAAGAAATTTTTGGGGTGGCACACCAAATTGGTCCTTGTGGTAACCCTGGGAGAATTTAGTCTGTGGCGATGTGCTGCATGGCGCCTTTGCTGGTTTTGATTAAAATAACTGTGCGTGTCCAAAACATTTAACTTAAATTTTACAAACACAAACAAACATTTCAGAAATATACATTTCAGTTATTTAAAATGTTATCCCTAATTTAATTTAAATATGTATTTTTTCAGGTTAATTCACCTGTTGCTGTGTTAAAAAAACTATGGAGATAAAAACTTTTTTTAAATGGTGAGTAGCAGAAACACTTTTTATTCTGATTATTTCTTTACTCATTAATTGTAATATTTTAATTTTGTTTTACAATTATGTCTTGAATAAACAAGATCAATATATGGATTGACTGAACATTAATATGATTTGTTAACACTGGCTTTTCCTGGGGGAGGGGCAGCAATTTTCTAGGGGTGGCCATGGCCACCCCTGGCCCCCCCTTGGGGGCGCCCTTGCTTCTAGGCTGGATTACCGACATACATGGACATAATTTTCAATTTAGAAGTGTGTGTGTGTGTGTGTTGGGGGGGGGGGGGGGGTATCTTTACAGTATGTTCTAATGGGAAACGGGCTTCAACACAAACGGTTGTTTTCCGCTTGGTCCTAGAGCTCAACCAGTGTCAATTTAATATAGCGTAATATTGTTTTTGGATGGTAAAAAGTGCAGGGGTCAAAACTTGACTTTGGAAAAAGTGTGTGTGTGTGTTGGGGGGGGGCATGTCCCCCCTGCCCCCCCCCCCCCAATTACGTCCATGCCGACATATATGAACTTTTGTGCCAGTTTCTAGCTGTTCCAATTTCCCCTGTACTCGAAGTTTTTGCTGTTGTAAAACTTTAATCTTCAATTTTCATCAGAGTTTATTTTATAAACATTTTCATCACCACAGACTCGGATGGTACCTTGTAGAGGAAACAAGATGGAGGAAAGAGTTCCTTTTTGGCGAGAATCTAGTTCTATATCTGCCAGAATTACCATGAAATAGGATATTTGTGAAGGCTGTAAAACAGAACCGATCTTCTCTCGTCTGGGCTGGGAGTGGTCCCGATCCGGACCAGAACACGGACTTACAAACCCGCTGAAAACTTGCAAATAAAGGCAGAAAAATTAATGTAAATCTGGTAAAGTTTATTTGACACACTGGAATGGTTCAGATGAACAAATCCAATTATAGGACAATAACAACCATTTTTATTTTACATCAAACCAAATTTATCACTTTTGCACCAAAACCATCTACTTTTTATGTTTATGAACATGTAAAAGTTATCATCTGCTTCAGTCCACTAGCTGAGCACCCCTGGCTGCAGCAAACCAACACTTGGAGATGTGTGTCTAGAACACGCTGGAGGAGCTGAAGCGGTAGTTTGAGTATGACGGAGCATTTGCACTGGTGGAGGCTGCAGGAAGCAGCAGGAGCCCCGTGGTGATGTCTCTCCTACACAGGTCTATGGCCTGCTTGTAGGATATCTTCTCCTTGGTGATTGGGTCAATCAGCTCTTTGGTGTGTGATGCTTCATCTTTCAGCTCGTCTGCCATTGTGTCATCAATCAGTTTGGCAGCGAGGGCCTCGTCAACGGTTAGGCGGCCTGCTTTCTTGGGATCCACCAACCCCCCAGTGAGGTACTGTGCCTCCAAGAACCTCTTGGCGTTCTCTTTGGGGATGTACCCTTTCTGCGCTGCCTGCCCCGTTGCAAGGCGCTCTTTGGTCGTAGGATCTTCAACCCCGGTGAAGGCTTTCTGGGCACTGAGGAGTTTGTACATCTGGCCTGATTCGATGAGACCTACTTCAACCGCTTTGTGAACGGAGAGCTTGTCCTTCTTGGTCAGGTCGACGATCCCACCGGAGGCCGCCTGCGCCTCCAGCAGCCTCAGAGCTGTGTCAGCATCGATGAGTTTGCGGGTAAGAGCGCTTCTCACCGACATGCGACTGTCAGTGGTGGTGTCGAACACACCGGAGATTGGGAAATATTCGTCGGCTGTTGAAGCTGCGATACTGCTTAAGCTTCCACTGAGGTGAGTGTTCAGGCTGCTGTAGGACCTCGATGAAGACATGGAGTTCAAGGGGGAGGTGGCGGTGGCTTTGGTAGGAGTTTTGAGTGTTGGTGGAGGAACGTAAGGCTTCTGTATCTGCCCTGCAACAAGGAGAGCAAACTCAGAAATGGGTATCTTCCCCTCCTTGTAGCGGGCCACATCGTACTCGGTCAGGCGTCCCTCCTTCAGAGCGTCCTTGACGGAGTACTGTTGACCACTTTTTCGATCCTGCAAAATTGTGGTATCTCCATCTGGACCCGTTCTGGTTATTTCCTCCCAGTCGCACTCCAGCTGCGACAGCTGCAGGTAGTGGTTTCGATCGATGACTCCTTGTAAGTAGGCGTCGTACGGAGACAGGTCTTTGCCGGTTTCTGGATCCAGGATGGTTATCCTTGTTGAAAGATTCGTCTCCCTGGTGTGAGTTTCAGAATAGTCCTCGCTTTTGATGCTGTTGCGCAGCTCGGCGATGAGCGTTTCTCTCTGGTGTATGATGTCCTTCTCATTCAGGATCTCCCTCTCCAGCCGCTGAACCTCAGACGTGGTTTTTAGACTCCTCTGTCGCGCCATCTGGTTCCTCTCACTCACTAGCTTGGACTGCTGCTGGAAAGCTATGCTGATGCTTTGCCGTTCGGACTCCTGTATTTTGAGTTGATGGAGGAGGTCCTCCTTCTCCCTCTTGAGAGCATCTCTGAGGGAGAAGAGCGTTGCCTCCTCCTGAGAGGTCACAGACTTGGATGCGGAGATGTGTTTGATTTGCATGTTTACTTTGTGGATGCTGTCTTCCTGCATCTGTCTGAGATTTCGCTCCTGATTCAGCAGCTCTCTGACATGATCCCTCTCAGCTTCTACTGCTGGGTCCTTCTCCACACGGACAACCTCTCTGTAAACTACCTTCTCAATTGACTTCTCCTTTTCAAGGACTTCCAACTTGATCCTGAGGGTTCTAATTTCTCTCTCCAAGCGGCTGATGTTGGTACCCTCCGTCTCCAAGCCTGAGCGAAGATCATTGGTGAGTTTTTCCAGCTTGGGGTCCCTCTCTACTTTCAGGACCTCCTCTATGATGATTTTCTCCTGAACAGGTGACGGAGTGTTCTCCAGCTCAAGAATACGGGACTTGATCTGCCTCAGCTCGGACTCTACTTGGATCTTCTTCTGACGCTCATCCATCTCAGCCAGGTTCCTCTCTTTTTCTTCGATCCGGGCTCTCAGCTGTCTGACCTCTAACTCGAGTTTCCGACGCATCTTCATCTCATCATCCAGGTTCTTGTTTAACTTGTCGTGTTCCAGGAACTGCTTTGGGTCCTTCTGAAGACGAACCACCTCCTGTGTCACGATCTTTTCCTCCGGCTTCTGACGCTCAAGGGTGATGTACTGGTTCTGAAGGTCGAAGAGACTTTCCTCCACAAGGCGGCGTTGGTGAATCTCCTCCCTCACGTTTCTCCGAAGTCGGTCCGCCTCTTTCTCCAGGAGAGGGTCGTTTTCATATTTGATGATCTCTTTAGACACAAGCTGCGTCTCCACTTTAGATTTCTCGTCCTTCAGATCATCTCTTTCCTTACGTAGACGGGACAGCAGCTCAAAGGTGGTGTCATAGTTGACTTGCAGACGGTTGACTTGGTTGTTCAGCCTTTGCAACTCCCTGATGACCTCTGGGCTCTTCTCTTCTTTGATCACCTCCTGGGTTACCTCCTTGTACTCCACTTTGGGCTTCTGAGCACGCAGGTTTGTCAGGGTCTCCATGACGATCTCGATCTCTTTCTCCAGGTCCACACGTTTCCGGCCCGAGTCCTGCAGCTCTTTCTTCAGACGCATCAGCTCGACTTCGGTGTCAGGATCGATTCTGTAGATCTCATTGACGATCTCTTTGACCTCCACTTTGGGCTTGAGCTGCTCCAGCTCACCCAAGCGTAGCTGTAGGGTGGTCAGGTCTTTCAGCAGGATCACGTTCTCATCCTTCTCCTCTTCCAGAACCATTTTCAGCCTCTTAGCGTCCTCGATCACATCTGGATCTTGCTGAACTTGCTTCACCACCTTGGTGATGATCTTGGGTTCGATGGTGGGGATGACCCTTTCCAGAGTGTTAATCTGGCTCCTTGTGCTAAAGATCAAATCGTTTAGAGACTTGGATCTCAGTTCTTCCTCTGCGATGTCACCCTGGAAGGTGAGAACAGCTTTCAGCATCTCTGGGTCTTTTTCAAGTCTCACCACTTCCTTCTTCACGACCTTCTCCCTGATCTTTGGTTTCTGCTGAGACAGGACCGTGAGCTCGGTTTTCACGCTGACCGTTTCTGTGTCTCTTGTCTGAAGATAGAGTCGTATCTTTTCCATCTCGTCTTTAATCCTAGCTGCCTCTTTGTCCAGCTGGGGGTCTCGCTCGTACTCGGTGACCACTTTGGTTATCAGTTTAGGTTCGACTCTGTTCAACTGGACCTCCAGAGAGATGATCTTCTCATTGATCATTTCTATCTCGGACTGGGTTTTTGATCTCCTCAGTTCTTCGTTGTGGACGCGATCTTTCAGTGACTGAAGCTCCAGCTCCAGTTTGGGGTCTCGGTAATACTGCACCACCTCCTTCTCCTCCACCCTCTCCACTCCTCTCCTGCTCTTCAACGACAGGAACCTCGTACGGAAGGTTTCCAAGTTTTTCTCAGTGAGTTCACGTCTGTTAATTTCTTCAGTTAGGTCTCTTTTCAGACCACCGGTTTGTTCCAGGTCCTTCTGCTGGCTCTGGAGCTGCAGCTGCTGACTGACCACCACCTGACTGACTTTCTCCTCGTTCTGCACACAAATAAGAGACGTTATGTAAGTGACTCTAAAGGGTCAAGAAGAAGCTGCTGGTTGGTGTTTAATGGAGGACATCGTACCCTTGCCATAATGTTCTTGGCCGTCCTCATCTGAGCGAGTCGCTGGTCGTTTTCAGCAAAAACTTCAGCAAAGAGGTTCGCAAGGTTTTTCTCCTGGAGTGGAAACAGAAGAAAATGGGAGTTTAAAAACCGAAGACGACGAAGAGAATGTTCAAATCCTCACAGGCTGAAACCACACCTTATTCTGTACGCCTTTAGCCAGAGTCTTAACAGGGATTTTATCGTTGACATCGCCTTTCTCTTCCTTACCCAGAGTCTCAGAGTAAGTGTTTGACTTGGTCTCGTAGTCCTGAAAGAAGGATTTAGTAGAAGGAGGGTAGAAATGAGCCAACGGAAATGCATGACCTCAGCTAACAGGGGCTAACTTTGAATTTCGTTTGAACTCACGTTTAAAACTCGCTGCAGGTCACTGGACAGGTGCTTCACTCGGTCTAAATCACCAGACCTCTTACTGATGTCCTCCACAACTTTCTAAAGGTAAAGAAGCAGAATTAATCACAGCAACACAGAAAGTAAAACCCATTTTCCAAAAGTGAATCAGCAAAACAAGTTAGCTTAAACTGTTTTTCACGCCAGCGTTCTAACATAGTAAAGATGTAAATATTGTGTGGAGATTGAAAAAATAAATAAATAAAAATGAAGTGGTTCTCTTGCATTTGCCAATAACACCACAGACATAATATGGTGGACTGGCACAACCTACTGGGGCCGCCATCTTGGATGGGTCTCCATTTGCCCCCAGTGCATTTATTTCTACTGAGGAAGGTAAACAAAAATACATTTTATTGTGCTTTTTCACACAATAAATATGAGTAAATAATATAAATTAAAATATAAAAACCCAACATGTAGGTTAGTAAAGTCAATAGTAATCCCACATGATCTGCTTTCAGTAGTGTGCCAGTTGTTGCAGCACTAAAAAGGGCATAGTTAGCCACACTGCATTGACTCCAGTTGGGTTTGGAGAGTAAGGAAACCCATCCAATATGGCGGCAACACTGTTACGCTCTCCAGCATCCAATTGAGTGTCTAAGTATTTGTGTCTACGAATAACACGGCTCGGTCCAAAACCAATGATAGGATAAATGGGTTGTCTTTCTCGCTAAGCCGCCACACTTTCCTGGGTCCTCCACTCGTCACACACTCACATATTCAGCCACATAACACCACTGGAGTGGGAGGTTCTCCGCTCAATAACATCAGACAAGGAGACCACTCGCTACTGCTACCACTTCAGCTTTAGGACAAACTACCAGAGTCCCAAAAAGAAAAACATCATCTGAAGTAATGGACAACAAAAGATGTTCGGACCTAGAAATGGTGGCTGGTGTTTAGCGCTATCAGGGGGCGTGGCCTGAGGATGATAGCCAATGGGAGGGGTGAGAGTTCTGCGACTGTTTGTGTTTAAAAGCTAGCTTGTTTTGCAGATTTGCCTTTGCAGCTTTAAATGTGATAAAAGGGTAATTGATCTGGATTAGAATGTTCTTGCTCTGCATTTTGATGTGCTCTCAATGTGAATGTCCTCACCCCCTAGTGGAGCAGTCCCGGTACTGCAGCAGGGTCTTGGTATAGTACTTTTAGAGGGGGAAGAAACTGTTTAAAAGTGTTGTCCTGATCTACTCATTTAGACTTCACGCAATGTCATAAATGTAGTCTGTTTACTTTTATTAAATACTTGGGTTTCGTTTCTTGAGGGAGGTGGGAGTTGTATATGAAGTACACAGCAGTAGCTCAGGAGGCTGAGCGGGTTGTCCAGTGATCGGAAGGTTGCAGGCTTGATCCCAGCTCCGACCAGAGAACTCTGCTGTTGTGTCCTTGGGCAAGACGTTTAACCCACGTTGCCTGCTGGTGGAGGTCAGAGGGACCGGTGGCGCCTGTGCTCGGCAGCCTCACCTCTGTCAGTGCGCCCCAGGGCAGCTGTGGCTACATCGTAGCTCGTCCCCACAAATGTGTGTGTGTGTGTGTTGTGAAGTGCCTTGGGGGCTTGTAGGACCCTAAGAAGGTGTCATACAAATACAGGCCGTACTTCCTCACCTTTTGAGATTGCTCCTTGGCTGCAATTTCTGCCAGATCATCAGTAGGCTTGATGGCGTTGTTCGGCACGTTGACCAGGAAGAAATCCAGCGACTGAACGGCGTTTTCAAACTCCTGATTTTTGTTGTTTCCTTTCTGCAGAAGAGCCAACCTAAATAAACACATCAGCAAATCCTTCGTGTTACCAGAAGGCACACCCCTTTGGCAGCTGTGCGTTTGTTCTTTAGTCACCGATCGGCGATGTGGTTGTTGACGTTGGTGTAGCGGTTCTTCAGGTGTTTCACGTCGCTCTCCTGGCGGCGGATGTCAGGGCAGTACTCGTTGAAGCTCTGCTGCAGGTGGTCACACGCTTGCTTTGTCAGGTCCAAATCTTTGCCTAATTTTTTCAGCTCATCGTTTTTTGAGAGAGCGTCCTTTTGCATGGCCTGTTGGACAGCATTGTTAAGAAATCATTCTGGACACCCAGTGGGGACATGTGGTCCTCTCAGGGGTGATGTGGTACCTGCAGCTCCTGGTTGAGAGTCTGAAGAACGTTGGGTTTGTCTTCAATTATGCGATTTGCAGCCAGCTTGTCTTCGAACCCTGAGACTAAACCATCTACCTTGTCCAGCTGTTTCTCCAGGAACATGGAGGCGGTCGCTCTGAAGAAAAGAGACGAAACCATCAGTCACAGTTGCACAAATATCAGATTTTCCATGTGAGTGGACAAAACGTTTACTTTTTATCATAAAGATCGAGGAGTGTGGTGATGTTGTGGATCTTGTTGTCGGCAGCGTTGAGTTTGAGCGCCACGGTGGAGGCCGCGGGTCCCAGAGGCTTCTTGGTCAGGATGGGATCCATCTCTCTTTGGATGGTGGACTTGTCAGATTCCAGCTGTTTCACAGTCTGGACAAATTTCTGAAGGACGGGGATGGCGTTTTAGAAAATACAATTCTTTCAAACATTTAGATCCAAGAAAGCCCACGTAAGCGGGGGAGTTCACCTCCCGGTCCCGCTGCCTGGTCTCCAGGTCTCGTGTGGGATTCCGGTTATCCAGCGGAGCCCTCAGCCGGTTCAGGATTTCCTTCTCGCTCCTGTCCAGGGCTTTGCTGATCCTGTCTATTTCACTGATGAGTTCTGCAGATTTGGTGTCCTCTGGAGAACTTTCTATGACAGCTGGAGAGAATTTCACCGTCACAACTCAAACACGCCAGGAGAAGTGTAACTCAGGGTCTGGTCACCTTGTTTTCTTCTCACCTGCCTTCTGAGGGCGAATCGCCTCCACAGGAGGGCTCTTCAGAGACAACATCAGCTCTGATCTACGTCCCTTCAGGTCTCTCAGCTTTTTTTCCAGGCTGAACAAAATCAGATCAATTTACCTAAAAACTATTGATGAACTCAGGGCTCTACCTCTCTCTAGTCTTTGCTTTAGTTACCTCCTGACTGAGTTCAGGGACTCCGCATCAGGAGGTGGGATCTCAAAACACACCCCCGGGAGAGTTTTGATCGTCCCATTGCTGTCCTCAAGCTCCCACTTCTTTTGGTCAGCGTTGGACCTCAGGATCAGCATCTCTTCTCGCGCCACCGTCTCCTTCAGCAGACAACAATATAAACACGAGAACAAAGAAGGGCCCGGAAACTGACCGTTGTGTTTGTGACGGCGTCCTCACCTCCCCTTCCTCCCAGTCACACAGCGACACCACCGCGGTGGGCTTGGTCGGCTGCAGCCGGCGGAGCTGCAGGGGTAAAACACTGCTGCTGCGCTCCCTGAGGGCTTCCAGCCGTTGCTCGTTCCTCTTAACAGCCGGCTCATCAGCCTTTAACAGAACCAGTAAACATCTCCATGATTATGATGCTCCCAACCAGTGGATTTCTCCGAGTGTGGGGGCCATCAATGGGCCACAACAGGTGTGTTTCCATTCAGTGTTGGGAGTAACGTGGTACAAAAGTAATTAATTACTGTAATGCATTGCTTTTTGCTGTAATGTGGTAATGTAAGGCATTACAGGGAAAGAAAATGGTAATGTTTACTCGGTACAATTGTCAGTAATGCGGTAATTACAACGCATTCTTAAACCCAGAATCAAGATGTGGGTTTCCTAAAAATTCAAATTGCGGGAAGCCTGAAAAAAAGATCCAGTATCCACATATATGACATAATTTATGGACTCCGCTTTGCGGGCATTCTGTGAGCAGAGAGGACGCAGTGGTAACGGCTCAAATACTCCAGCTGCGTCCTGCACGCGGTCGCTGTTATAGTCACAAAATCGCTCCACCAAAACAAAGTCATTCGTTTGCGATCGTTTATATCAGCCCATATTCTCTAGTACTTCATGTACTTTTCAGCTGAACTCATAATCTGCGCCCCGGTGGTTTCAACTCATTGCTGCTGGAGCGCAGCACATATTAAGGTTTTCTTTTTTTTTTTTTTTTTGTGCGTTCGGTAGATCCCTTTGGCTGATTAGTTAGAAAGTAGGAAATCTAGTTTACAGTTTTTCTGGAAGACGGAGAAAACATGCAGCATGCAGGAAGGTTAGAGAGAGAGAAAGGGCAGGAAATTATTCACATAAAATCAAGAAAACAAAACAAAGTGCTTGAAAAGAAAAAAAGTAGGTAGATTTATCCCCAATGCACATTTCTACCAGTGAAAAGCAATAATATATAGGCATTTAATATTTATACATGTGATAGAATCAGATCACCCCAGAAGTCAGTCCCACATCCAGGGCCGTATCAAGGCATTTGGGGACCAAGGCAAATATAGGCTTGGAGTCCCCACCACCTCACTCCCTGCTCAGTTAAAATAAGATGGCAGCGTGCTGAGAGTACAGATTGTTGTTGCTTTTATTTAATAAACAATCATTTTAAAGCACTGTTATTATATCTGACTGTTTTTAACAGCAGTCCTAGCTCAGACACCACATCACCTTCCACATATATGTCATGAGCTCACTGAGCATCAGATTACCAGATTCATACTGAAGTTGTTTTGGTGAAAGTAACATAAAGTAATGCAAAAGTAGTGTAACGCCTTACATTTTAAAATCAGTAATATTGTAATGTAATGAATTACTTTAAAATGAGGGTAACAAGTAATAAATAATGCATTACAGGTTTGAAGTAACTTGCCCAACACTGTTTCCATTGTGGGAACTTCAGGGATGGGGAAATTGACCCGTAGTGATGTCACTGATCAGCGCCAAAATGCATCTACAATAACATTAAAAGTTTTACACTGTCAAAGTACGGAATTGAATCCACTCGGAGGAGCGGTGTGATGAAAAACGTGGCGTTCAATGACCAGAAGAAGTGTTGTTTTTTACAGCGCTCTGGGAGAGAGTAAAGCCCTATTAATTACGTCGTTGTAGGGGATTCTGCTGCGTTTTTCTGTGTTGGGACTTTAATAACGCAGATTTTAAAACACTGTGAAGGTGACACAGGGGTTAGGTGCTCGCCCCACAATCGGAAGGTTGCAGGTTTGAGCCCCGCTGTGTCTTTGGGCAGGACACCTATGCCCCCTTGCCTGCTGGTGGTGGTCGGGGGGGCCGGCAGCGCCTCTGTCAGTGCGCCCAAGGACAGCTGTGGCTACATTGTAGCTCATCCCCACCAGCATGTGAGTGTGTGTGTGAATGACGGTTGTAAAGCCCCTTAGGGGGTTCGAGGACTCAAGAAGGTGCTATATCAAATACAGGCCACTTACCATTTATTTGTTTTGGTTCCATTCTGCTTTAAATGGTAAATGACCCGCACTTGTATAGCTCCCCTCAGAATAAGGACTCCAAGACGCTTTACACTACAGTGTATCATTCATCCATTCACACACACATTCACACACTGGTGGGGAGGAGCTACGACGTCCCAAGAACACGACAGCAGAATTCTCTGTCCAGAGCCGGGATCAAACCTGCGACCTTCCGATTACTGGACAACCTGCTCAACCTGTCGAGCTACTGCTGCTACAACAGCAGTTCTTCTAATTTTACTGATGTTGGTTGTTTTGGACAGTGTCTGCTGATGTCATTTCCTGCTGAGTTACAACCAATCAGGGCGACTTCACCAAAAGTTCCGCTCAGTGATTCTACTCTATTGAGTGCCTACCCCTGTTCGGGAACTTTTTGATCCTGAAAATGACCCCGTAAACGTTCATCCGGCCCGGTGAAGTGGAGACACGCCGGGATGTTCTGGAAAATTACCCTGAAGTTCCAACAGTGGAAGCGTACCCATTATTTACAGAGGGGTCAAGTATTAGTCCGACGCCATTACTCAAGATTTCCCACTGGAAAGTCCGATTTGGCTCTTTAGCACCACTAGTGTTTGGATTTGGAATTGCACCTACCTAGCACAGATGGGTAACAGAACAGAACCTCCTATGTTCTGAACACATTTGATTAGAAATTCCCAAAATGACCAGATATAAATTTACTACAAACCTGCTATTGCAGGTTGTATCTAAATAGTGGAGCAGCAGGACGCGTCATACCTCCAGAGCCCACAAGATCTCTGAGTTGGTCTTGTTGCTGAAGGACTTTGTATCCAGAGATGAATGGAGTCTCTCTAGAGAATCGGACAACGTTTCTGCTTCCAGCTGGAACTACAAAACACACAAACTCTCAGTAAAAACTTTACTACAACCACCATCAGTGGTTCTGTTCTGGTTTTACCTTCTTGTACTGATCGATGTTGTCCAGGTGGACCTCCTGGGCCAGACACAGGTTGAGGAAGGCTTGCCACTCTAACTGAACCGCATCACTGTGCATCTAATGAAACAACGACAGCTTTTGAGCAGTGGCGCGCCCAGAAAATTTTACAGGGGTGGCCAGAAGGGTCTAGAGAAAATATTGGTGGGGGCACACTACATTGGTCCGTGTGGTAACTCTGGAAATGTTTATCAATTATTTTTAAAACACAACATGCATCCAATCCTTTTGTTTAATAAATGTTAAGCGGGAGAAACATGTATACATTTAAAAATCTGTTTATTTATTTATTCTTTAATTGTATTTTTTGGGGGTTTTACATTCATGTCTGATTAAATAATATTGTGTGAGCATTAATATGATTAATCAAAGAACACTGGTCTTCTCTGGCATGGCCAGCATTTTCTAGGGGTGGCCCTGGCCACTCCTGGCCCCCCCTTAGGGGCGCCACTGCTTCTGAGCGGCTGAATTCTATGTGAACACGTTTATTTTAGGGGATTTGAGTATCATGGAACCAGCAGAGGAAGAAAGTGCTCTGACACCAACCATTATTGTGCTGCTGCCAGGGTGGTTTGCATTAATGAGATGGTCTCCTTTTGCCTTCAGCTGGTTGACCTCGCTCTCGTGTGCAAGGAGCCCATTGGATTTAAATTTCTACATAGAAAAACAAAAACAGGAACACGTGTCAAGGTTGCGGTCAAACAACTCGCTGCTCCGTCTGCCTGTGACCATCACCTCGTACTCCATCCTGACACCAGAGGGGTCCGCCATGAGGTCGCTCCAGTCCCTCTGGAGGATCCGATCCTGCTGGCCCGACAGGTAGGCCAGCTCCTTGCTGCAGCTCTGCATGTACTCATACAAAGAGGCCAGGTTGTTGCTTCTGCGCCGCGAACTCTCCTGCAAAAAATGCACCAGTGTGAGCAGCAGCAAGCTCTGGTGGGCACACACACCTTTTATGTGTTTGATGTATGCCATAAAGCCTTTTAAACAATGTTTCTACTGGGATGTCTTGCTACAGAGCTCCAAAAGGGGTGGGACCTTCACGATTAAAATTCTAGAGTTGTTAGTGAGCAGAGTGTGGAACGTAGAACGTACCCTCTGTAGCTGACATGCTTTGTGCAAAAACAAAAAAACTTACCAAGAGTTCTGCATATTTCCTTTTCAGGGCGGCAAAGTCCTCCTGAGACAGCAAAGAGAGAAAGACAGGTTATGGGTCCAACCTACACACACACACACACACACACACACACACACACACACACACACACACACACACACACACACACACGTCTCCTAACTACCTTTCTCTCTCATGCACAACCCCCCCCCCCCACACACACACACACTTATGTCTCCTAGCTACTTTTCTCTCTCTCTCTCTCTCTCTCACTCACACACACACACACACACACACACACACACACACACACACACACACACACACACACACACGTCTGTCTTTCTGTCATAGTGAGGACCCTCATTGACTTCCATTCATTTTTGTGACCACCATGCCTAACCCTAAACCTAACCAGTGCTGATCTATTCCGAACCCTAACTTTAACTCAGATGAATTCACACCAGACCTCTAACTGCTATAGTAAGCTTCTGGTAAGCTTCTAAAAAAAGTGAGGACCAAGAAAATGTCCTCTCATTGTTGGGAAAATGGTCTAGTCCTCAGTATGTAGTAAGTACAAGAGCACACACACACACACACCATGGTGTTACCTTTGAGGTGGGTGTGCCGGACTGCAGCTGGGTGTTGTAGGCCTCGATCTCTTTGTGCAGGAGGTTGTGAGCAGCGATCTGCTTCTCCACATCAGATAATTTGGGTCCGTAGGTCTCAGGACTTAACTGGTTCTGCGGGCCGGAGCATCAGAAGGTTTAGATCAGCAGCTGACTGAAGCTTTCTGAAACTTCACACTGAAACTGACCTGTTTCTCCTGCAGCACGGTGTTCCAGTCGACTTTTGGCCCCAAGTCCAAGTCCTGTACCTGGTGGTAGAGCTCCCTGAAGACCTCACAGTCCTTAATCCAGCGTTCGTGGAGGTTCTTCACACTGAAAACACAAACAGGCACGCTTTCTTCTAATCACAGAGAGAGTGGGAATGCGGAAGTGTTGAGGATTACTCAGTGGTATGTGACGCTGCAGGTTCAGGTTTCACAGGTAGCAGGAATGCTGATCTGTGTGTGTGTGTGTGTGTGTGTGTGTGTGTGTTTTCATTCCTTTTCACTCAGAAACAAACATACTCTTTCTCTATCTCTGAAGCCTGGGGGTGCCTCAGCTTCTTGGCTTTGTCCACATCCATGAACAGATCCTTCAGCAGACCCTCGGCCTGGGCCAGCTCGTCTGCGCTCTCCCTCTTGTTGAGGAGCGCCTCGTTCTTCTGATCTCTAAGTTTGTCCTGCAGAACAGCAGCAGATTAGAAAGAGGCAGGTTACTGATGGATATTCCTCTGGAGCCTCCAGCTCTGGTGTATGCAGAGTTTCTCACCGAATCCAGCAGCTTTTCTGCTTGCAGGATGTTTTTCTCCACCTGATCTGCATTCTTCTGCATCCGAGCGATCACCAGAGCCAGTTCGCTGACCTGGGTTCTGTGTAGGAACACAAACAGCAATCTAATGACATGTCCACACGGGCCATCACATCTATTTTATATTCACTCAGAAGATCTGAGTGAAATCTCTTCCTACGGGAGTCTCAGAATTCAGAAATGGGAGAAGTTTACCAAAATAAAAGCATGGAGCTCAAGAGATTCACTAACACTTTGGACCTTTTTAACCCCGAGGAGTCCCTTACCAAACTCCCCCCATCTCCTACAGCACACAGATGTTAAACATGACTAATTAGCAACTTTTATTTGCAAAACTAAATTGCAGGTGTAGGTTTTCTACTTATTGTGCATGTTTTACTCTGTAGGGCGGGTTTTGGGGATTTTATGTGTGAAATTTTGGTAACCTCACAACCTCAGGACCTTGTCTAGGTATCATTTTAATAATCGTTTGAAACTTTTAAACCAAAACTGGAAACTTTCATGCATTCATTAGCCCACGAATGACTGTTTTTGTGCTGCACCTGCTGCACTGTAACTGCTCAGCCTTTCATCTGAATTTAATCTGATCTAAATTAATGTGTGTATTTTAATCCTGCTGTCACATAGTTTTTGCTGGAAATCACACTGAATTGCATGTGTGTATGAAACGGACCATCAAAGGGACCCTGAGGCCTTAGACACTTATGTCTAGATTCAATCCTAGACACCACAACCCTAGACGTGTATCTGGGGTTAAATCTATTGAAATAGAGCTGTTAACAGTCTCTACAGTCGTGCCCGTGAAGATCCTAATCAACCGTGGAGAGCGTTTGTGTGATTAGTGTGATAGCAAACACTAAGAAGGGCGTGTCGTCCACCGACAGCACCGACAAAAAGAAGATTCGCCAGCTCAGAGCCGCTCTGGGCTCGTAAAAACCTTCCAGCAGACCTGTTTGGGTGCTCTGGCTGTTTGCTCTGCGAGTCTCGCTCCACTCAGAGAAGAGACAGGACTATTTAACGTGACACACCTGGATTAAGAGCCTGGGGTCACATTGTTGGGTGGAGGGGAGTGTCCCCATCCCCTCTGCTTTAGCTGTCAGGAATGTTGTCGGTGTGTGCGACTGACATTCCCGTAGACACTAACGCTCCAATGAAACCAACAGACGGGTGGTTAGATGGGAGTTTTGAGAGGTGTGGTTAGACAATATGGCTGCTTGTAGTCAGACTGATGGAGAGGATTCCTGTTATCACTCCCAGTGGAGGAATGTGACCCGGAACAGTGAGGAAGTTACTGAGTAACTCTGATGCAACCGTTCAGCGAACTAGCCCAGCTCTTTTTACGTTTATTGCTCATTAGTTTCAATGAAAGTTTGAATTCTGTTCACATTTTTGACACGACTGCAGTATTTGTCGAGTTTCTGTGTGCCATTTTTAAACGAGGCCGTTTGTTTCCTGCTCCAAGGTTGTGTGGTTTTCGTTTTTGGATCAAACTTTATTTTGTGTTCCATTAATAAATGTTGATAGACACAACACACCAATTCACGAGAAATGTGCTCCAACAACACAACTCTTGGTCGGCAGCATCGTTGCTGAAAACACCAATAAGACGATCAGGACACGCGTGTCAACGTGTTTTTGTAGGCCGATGACGCGTGGACAGCTTCGTGACAATTGTAGTAAAGAGAGATGGGAGCGCTAAGATCTACTGGCTATAGCCTGGAAAGGGGCGGCCATGCTGGTAAAAATAGGGTGTTTCTCAATGCCAAGGAACCTCGCCTTGATGTCTTGGCCCCGCCCCGGTTGCCTAGGAGATACGTCATCGGGAGCCGCCAAGACTTATGTTCTCAGTTTGTTAGCTGCTTAGCTAGCTGAGCAAGAACACATGGGAGGTGTCTTGTAGCCTAGCCTTGGTCAAAAATTACCCACAATACACTGCTGTATTTTCAAAAGGACGGAGGATCAGAAGCCGGCAGCTACTTCGGGGACAGTTTTCAAGTTTAAAAGTAAGTCAACTCATTTAAAATGTTTTTTTTAGATCCAAAGAAGTTATCTGTGGTTGGTTAGTTGCTTAGTAGGTGCAGCTTTGGTGGCTAGCGGGTAGTAACTCACTTATATTTTTAATTTAATAAACATATACACAATTTAAAAAGTAAAAGTCTTGTTATATATTTATATTTACACTAATACATAGAAAATATAACGTTATCTCCCGTGTCACGTGACGTTACGTGGCCGCCGTGGAAGCCGCGGTCACGTGATGCAAGTCTGTTCCATTTAACCGTTTTCTTTGACCAAGGAAGGACAGTGTCCTCGTAAGCAAGGCGCCTTGACGTTGAGAAACACCCATAGATAGGTCTAGCAGAATGATACATCTGATGACAGGGTTTGGCGTCTTATTTCCTGATATTTGGTCATCTCTGCTCTGACTGGCTAACAGCAACACAACTCTACCACTGACTGTTTGCGCTGCATTATTGATGTTTTATCTCCAAAAATAACACAAGCCTGGAGGAGTTCTGCTGTGTCGTGGAGTTGCTAATGCTAACAATTAGCTTCTACTAGCTGAGATGTTCTCTGTTGTTTCCATCGTCCTTGAGTCAAGATGGCTGAGTCCATGAATGCTAAGTGACTGTGTGACGTAGATGTGTCACCGCTAATGCAGGAGACAGGTGTAGGAGACTAATTTCATGTTCAGCCTGCATGAAAAACTCAGAGTGACCCATTAGAATCAGAAACAATCATTAAAATGTTTTTCAGTTTTCCACACCTTTAACTTTGCTGGTCTGAACCCACATCACACCTGACTTAAAAGTCAGAAAATTTGCTAACTGTTGTGCTCTTAGGCCAAGCTAGCTATGATTAGCAACCAAAGCTAATGTTTATTTTTGCATTTCCTGCATTCAGACACTGTAAAACATTTGAACTGATGAAGCAAAAGCAGTGACTGATTTAATGAGACACTACGCAACAGTTTATTATTGCAGCCAATGCGAGGCCGCCATGTTGGATCCGAAGCAGACAGCTGATCGGGTACCTCTAAGGTTCAAGCATCTGAGTAGCAGCTGGCGTGAATGTCTTCCTGATTCTCTCAGTTGAGATTGCTCTCTACAGCAGGTAAGATGCTTACTGCGGATCAGCGCACAAAGTTCACCGCTCTAGACTCACGTTTCGGTTTCAGAGCAGGAATTTGGCTGAGGTTACAACAACCTGGACGAGCCCTTTCACTCCACCGACTGTTTATTTTTACTCTTATCTCTGCTGAAACACGTGGCCAACATTCATGCCCAACGGCAACATTACAAAGTTTCCTTCATTCATTTAGAATCATCCAGAAACAGAAAGGAGCATCCTCTAGAAACGGGAGGTGGGCCAGACGTTTACTCTCTCCTGGTGTTTGTGCGCTGAAACAGGAGTTGCATGAAGCTGATGCCACTCCTTTGCTTTGATGGACCACACCCACAGGTATGCCCCTCCCCCCATCCCAGGTAACAGGGGATACTGAGCAGAAATACGCACCGTGTTTACCGTGAGCTGATGTTGCACAGAGTCTGTCCTTGTATAAGTGGCTCAAAAGCCCTCTCTCACCCCTTCCCTCTCTCAGCCCGCCGTTACGCCGTAAAGCGACGGTAAGAACACAGTAATTATTCGCTCTGATGAGGTTCTCGGGGTCCTGGTTGCACACCGCCAGCTGAATGGAAGCAGGTGGCTGTCATTCATCAGCACACGCCGATAATACGCAGCTCAGGTCCAAACACGAGTCCTGCAGTCGTGATGGGCGAGTCATAAAACCAGAATATCGGGAGGAAATGGTGCCAGCAGAGGGTTTTGGTTTCCTGCTTTCTATGGTTACAAGAAGACGTGTGGCTTTTCTTTAGTGGTCAGACACAACTATGCCCTTCCACCCTTCATCAGACACTAACACGTCCTCACAGACTCACCTGTTGATCTTCGCAGGGCTGTACTCCTTTTTCTTCGACATCTTCGGGCCTGTTGGTGTAATCTGAGTCCGGATGAGTTTCTTCCAGCTCCCCGCGCTCCTCTCCCTCTCTCAATTACTGCGTCTCCTCTTGGTTAAGGAGCCTCCACCTGTCTCAGCTCCTCCCAGGCCCAACAGGTGTGTCATCAGTGCCTAGGAGTAGACTGGCTCGACCTGTTTCACCGTCCTGTCACTCCTCGGCCTCCTGCTGACACACACACACACACACACACACACACACACACACACACACACACACACACACACACACATTTTAATTTCCTACTAGTTTTCATGAATCCAGTTCTTCTCTGTGTCACCAAGTAAAGACAGAAAAGGAATGGGGAGAAACTGTCCCCATGACATTTAGCTCTTATTCCCGTAATGTGATGTAAAAATATTAAAAACGGAATTAAAACTCCTGCTGGGAACGCTGCAAGGAGGATTATCTTTGCTTGCTGAAGTCAGAAGTGGTGCGTGGAAAATGTGAGGATCCAGTGTGTTTTTAACCATAACTCTGCATTTATTTTAAGCTCGTGGTTCGGTTCTGCTGAATAAACCTCCGAGTATCAGTGCTTATCGTTCACACACACCCCGTGCCGTTACCTAAGAGTCCAGGTCAAACGTGAGGAATGCAAAGTGCAGCCGCTGCTGACAGAAAGAACCACATAAAAAGATCTGATAGTGAACAGAACAGCAGAGGTGCTGGGTGTGTGACTGGGATGGTTGGGATGAGAGTCCACTCATCGGTGGCGTTCGCCGCTCTGTGGGGGTTAAACGAGCCTTGAAAGTGAAACAGTGAGACTCGTTTCCACGTGGGTGGGAAGAAATTTGCTCGGCGTGCTTACTGTGGGTGTGTGTGATGCGCACCTTGAGCGGTGACTCCTAAAACAACACCTTCATACCTGCAGGGTGGAGGGAGGGCTAAAAGGGAGAGAACAACGCAGAGGGGAGGAGAGAGAGTGGTGGGACAAGAAAGGCAACATCAGTCACCTGGTCTGGACCCAGGAAGCTAGTTCTGGATCACCTCATGGTGCTCCACTGGTTTATGTTAATTACGTGTACCACTTACGTCATGCTGCCCCTTTACTTTGCCAAACCAGCTGTACATAAGAAGTTTTTATCTGTTTTACTCATTTTGAATGACAACGAGCTCCTTGGAGGAGTTCCCGTCTGGTTTAATGCTGAGAATGCTCTTTAAAGCTGTGGTTCAACAGCAAGACTGTTTTCGTTTGAGCACATATACCCACCTGTGGTAGTCACAGAGTAATGCTTGTCTTCGAAACACTGATTTTGAGATAGCCTACCCCATGAAATGCTTGTTATGCAGAACAGGCTGTAATTGTGGATATTTGATAAAGTGGGTAAAATTGTAAATTGTTTTACTTTGATTTTTGGGAATTAAGCACCCTCTGCTGTCTGTATTAAGAATAGCATACTTGCAAATGAAGTCTCTGAGCTCACTCCTCAGTCTTAAGGTTGGTTTATGCTTGACGCGTCCGCGAGGTCTGCACGGCTCCGCGCGGCAAAATTGCGTCATTTTAACAACCACGCCCCTCCACCGCGCCTCCGCTCGGCCCAAAATTTCCGCAACGCGCACCTAGGAAATTTTCTAACCACGCGGACGGTCGGACGCGGAAAAACATGGCGGACTGGCAAGAACTAGTATGGCAGAGGTTCGTAAATACAGACATTCATATGGTTCAGCTCTCAAAGATCACCGTGATCAACATGTTGTTAATAATTCTTGGAGAGAAATAGCTCGCACTGTCGGAAAAGACGAGGACGCTGTTAAAAATGCTGGAGTGCCATGTTGTAAACAACAGTAATTTCTACTTCTACTTTGGTGTAGTGTTGGATGCATGGCGTAGAGCTCCATGCTGCCCCCTACAGTTTGGGAGAATATTGGCTCACCGCAGAGACAAGCAGCATGAACCATAAACGCTGCGAGTTGTGAAGCGCGTTCCATCCGCGAGCCGCATCACCAAGCGGAAAGTAAATGCGTCAAGCATAAACCAAGCTTTACAGTTGTGATGGAGTAGGGGGATTCGGGCAGGGTGTTCGCCCAGGGCACCAAACGGGCTAGGACCGCTCCTGGTGGAAAGCTCTATATACATAAAGAGGATTGCTTGACTATTTAAATAAAAATCAAATAAAAAAATAATATCTCTACACATTTTATTCCCAATATCCAGCCTGACAAATCCACAGATACTACAGAGAACGGTGGGTCCAAACCTGCCAGTCCAAACCTGGACTCGAAACACTGATGCTTTTTACTGCGTGGAGGTCTGCAACAAGTTTCCCATTCCAGGTTCAAAGGTCACGTTTCACTGATTAAACGGAATGAGTATTTTTGTCTTTCATCCCAGTTTTAAACTAATATTATTTGATGTTGAGAAATGAGGGAGTTGAAGCCATTTTGGTCTAAATTTGAAGAACGAAACAATCTGTTGGCGCTCATCAGCTGCTTTCGTTATTCCAAAATAGATTAAAATGTTTTCATTCATGTCTCGATGCAATATTCAAAGATCTTCAGCTTTCATGAAACAGTGTGATGGTTATATGGTTATTTGTATAATTAATATTGCTGCTGTCAGTGTGCGCCAGGGCAGCTGTGGCTACATCGTAGCTCATCACCATCAGTGTGTGAATGTGTGCGTGAATGGATGAATGATACACTGTAGTGTAAAGCACTTTGGAGTCCTTACTCTGAGAGGCGCTATACAAGTGCGGGTCATTTATCATTAATGACCAGTTCACTACAAAGTAATTAAAGTGCTTCACAAGAAGCAACAAGTCCAGTTCATATCAAGACACGTTGGGACTCAAATCCACTCACACTAAAAGTAGCGCTTGTAAGCAATTACATGAATAAATGCAGAGTTGGTTCAACATCTCCGCTGGGATGACCGTGGCGAGGAAGAAACCTTCAGAACCAGGGTGGGAGGCCAGCCAGTGTTAACACTTGGGATCTTTTTAAAAAAGTAAAAAAAAAATAGCTACTTTCTACAAAATATCACAAAACAAGAGAAAAACCATGCACAAAATGAATGAATTAATATATTTGTAATTTTTGTTATGCTGCAACTGCTGTCCGTTCTGGGAAAAAAAAACCAGTCACGTTGTAGTTACATATTTTGGCCGCGAGAGGGCAGCAAACCTGTGAAAATTGCTGCTTCACTTTGTTCCAGAAAAAAATTAACAATTTATAACACAGCAATTCAACGAAGGGAAGCCATTATAATCTGAAGTAAGAGAGACATTTTTATATTTCTTACATTTTTTGCAGAATTAAATAAAAAAGACAGCATTTTGTTAACCAATTGTCAATGATGATTACAATAAATGAACAAAGGAGAAAATTTGGCATTAAAAACAGCATGAAAAGCTCAAAAATTAAGACATTTACGAAATGAAACACAAAACAAGTGTGATTCTAGAATCAGAGGTTTAGGGGAACTGAGCACCCAGAGAGCTGCCTGTGTAGTACATTTGAATACAATTTCATTCTCATATTTCTGAACAAAAAACAACTTTTCAAATCAAATAAAGGTTTAATGAATCACCAACTGCATGTTTTATGGATTTTGCTATTGGTGTACAAAAATCTAGTCCAGGTTTGAGGAGTCAGTGGTCCCAACCTTTAAAAAAAATAATACTATGTATTATTATTATAATTATGTTTATTTTATTTTTTATATAATCAAATAGACTTTCTTATGTTGGTCATGTAAATTTGGAAATTCTAAAAATACTTTGCAATTCATAAATTAAATTAAATGTGTCGGTACATGACGTCATTTCCGGCTTTCAATTTTGGGCTGTAAACATGGCGGAAGACTAAAGTAATTTTGTGTGCGTTCAGTCCTAAACCTTTTATTTGATTTCCAGGATTGTACAAGTGAACTTTTTTTCACTCGGTGAGTTTGGGGCAACACTTTAAAGTTGCTACGCGCTACATCGCGTTTCTGAATTAAAGGTATCGTCCACGTTGCTGCTGTTGATGCTAGCGCGGGCCTAGCCACAAGTGCATGCTAACGTTACGAGCTAACTCACTAGCTAATTTATGTACAGACTATGAGGTAAACACTACGAACACGGGGCTTTAAATGTTTTATAGTATTTTAATTCTTTATTGCACGGATTCACATTTCACTCTCTCATAATCTTGATTGCCAAAGCGGCCATCTGTTAGCTCAGTAGCTAGCTGTTTCATTCGTCAAAAGCTTTTGGTCACCGCCTTCTTTACTGAGATGCCAGATGAGACAGTTTCACTGTGATTCAGTACGAACTGGAATTGTTCTTTTAAGAACATTTAACACTATTCTCTACACTTATTAAAAGCACAATGAATCGAGTTGAAAAATCATCCCTGAAACAATTCTCTTGACCAACAGGCACATTTATTTTTATCAGACCACATGCAAAGAAATTCTTAAGTTAAATTGTATTTTATAATTTTTTTAAGGCTCAAATGTTAGCCATGCATAAGCACAGCGTTCTTTTATCACTCTAGCATGATTACGTGCTGTTTATTTTTATTTTTATCATATCTGAGAAGTGTTTGATATTTTCAGTGTGAAGTAAAGACAATACAACTATCATGGGGCGACGGTCAACCTCCTCCACCAAGAGTGGGAAGTTCATGAATCCCACTGACCAGGCCCGTAAGTACAGCGGCTGATTCAACACCTCACATGTGTCTCACTGTTTTGATCTTTCGTCATAAGAACTGTGTTTCTGCTCACCTCGCAGGAAAGGAGGCCAGGAAAAGGGAGCTCAAAAAGGTACTTTTAAGTCTTAAAGATAAGGTTGTCATGAATCATATTCGTCCCTGATACCAATAAGAACCGTTTAAAATTAAAGCTTTGTGGATCTGATAACCGACATGTCAACAACAGTGTTACAGAAACTATAAATCAATCAGTAAATCAATCTTTATTTATATAGCACTTAATCTTGCAATACATGCAACTCTAGAAAAAGGCGCTGCATACCCACATTCCCTACCATCCCCAGAATTTTAAAAACAGTCTGACAATAAAAAAAACCTTAACAATCATCCTCCAGCACCCTCCCCAAAAAAAAAAAAAACACGATGGACTGAGATCAGATGAGCCAGACCAGCTAAGATAAGGAAACGCCATCAGGGGAGCCATCCGCCCCGACTGCAGCAGATCCACAGCGGCAGCCGAGGCACCGACACAGGGCGCCCAGGGCAGGGAGGGCGGAGACCCCCACCTCCACCCAGGCACACCTGGAAAGCATCACAGCCAAACACCGCCCCCGGGGCAGAGGGCTCCCACAGAGGAAACACTGGAAAAAGGTTAAATTAGGTTAAAATATAAAATCATGAGAGCTATTGTAATATAAAAAGTTATATAGATATTAAACTAATGTTGATCATAAATCAATGGTAGAAACTGTTTAAAAATGGCACGTATAAAGAAAGAGTGCATAAAATAAATAGATAACCTAATTAATTAATTTAAAACGTGATAGTAATCAGTTAAAATTTAAGCTAAAAAGATGGCCTGTTTATAAAAACATGAACGTTCTCCGCGTTCTAACCGGAGATCTCTTTGAAAATATCTTGATATAAAACAGCCACAGCGCACACTAATGTAAATGTTCTGTTGCTAACACATAATACTAGTTTAGTAATGGATCTGAACCGGTCACATCTTTATTTCTATGGAATAAACCTCCGTTATCACTGAAGAAGAAGAATCAGAAACCATCTGTAGCTCTCAGCAGTCAGAACGGCAGCCGTCTGCTGACGTGAGACACGGTTTCATCTGAGGCTGCTGGAGCAGATGAAATTCTCTGGAGCTGAAAAGCTTCGTTTTGCGTTCCTGTCGTGAGAACTGTGTCGTTATGTTTGGCTGTTCTCTGTAAACCACCCAGTAAGTGGTTTCACTCCGCTTGTTTAGGAAAGTTTACATCAAACACTTTTCACACCTTGCTATGTTTCAGAAGCAAAATCGATTAGAAATCACCGGAAATTTGCAATTTTTAGCTGAAGATGCCACCAAATCAGGCGTTCTAGGCTGCAGCAGTGGTGAAAAGTGATGCCTGACATTTGAGTCGACGTTTGTTGTTCCCGTTAGAACAAAAAGCAGAGGATGATGGTGAGAGCGGCGGTGCTGAAGATGAAGGACCCCCGACAGATCATCAGAGACATGGAGAAGCTGGATGAGATGGGTGAGGCGGGGGACGTGTGGGCTTTGGTTTCTCGTACACTGGAGGCTTAATCTCGAGGGGTTCGGGGTGTTATTGGATCTGCAACGAGAACAACTCCACGTTCCTTTCTCAACAGAATTCAACCCAGTGCAGCAGCCGCTGCTGAACGAGAAGGTGCTGAGGGACAAGAGGAAGAAGCTGCGTGAGACGTTTGAACGCATCATCCGCCTGTATGAGAGGGAGAACCCTGACACCTACAAGGAGCTGCGTAAACTGGAACTAGACTACGAAACCAAACGGGGGCAGCTGGCTCTTTATTTCGACTCAGTGAAGGTGTGTTTTTTTGTGTGCTGCCTGGATTCATGTTTGGAGTAAATACTCTGAGCTTGTGCTGATGTTTAACCCTACTAACCCTGATGTACGTTGGGACTCTTCAGAATGCAGAGTCGGTGGAGGTGGACAGCATCCCGCTACCTGAAATGCCTCACGCCCCGTCCAACATCCACATCCAGGACATCCCTTTACCAGGAGCTCAGCCTCCTTCCATACTAAAGAAGACTACCTCTTTTGGGTAGGCCTAACATTTCTGCACATGAACCTGCAGGCTTTTGTCGTTTCCCACAGGTGATTTTTACACATCAATGTTTTAGGAAAGGACCTATATCATCCTCTGGGCTGGGGTTAGGAGCAGTGCCAGGTGTCCCACGCTTACCTCCAGGGAAGAAGCCTCCAGGACCCCCACCTGGGCCCCCACCTCCACAGGTCCTGGCGCTGTATGGCATTCCTTCTCGACGATCTTACGGCTCTGACGCAGGTAGCCCGCTGACAGATGCTAGCATGGGTTAGGTTGGTGCGGAGATCAGGGCGACGCTTCCCACTCCCCTCCCTGTCATTTTGACCAGTGATACAAGCAGGTCGGCTGTTTTATACTAGGGTTCGAGCCACGGCTGCCAGAAAGAGGACGTAATGTTTTTTAGATTTTTATTGAGGAAATATTTTGGGAACGGACATTTAAAGAAAGCTGCAGACTTGGTTATCCATGGTAGAATAAACGGCTTCCTCCAGGTCACGAATCGGCTAAGTGACTAGTAAATATCAGAAGAAGAAGAAAATATCATTTCTATAGCGCCTCTCAAGATAAAAATCACGAGGCGCTTCACAAAAACAAAAAATGTAAAAATATAAAAAAGCATGGCATTACAGCAAAAAATTGCTGGAATGCTATGTTGTCAACAACGGTAATTTCTACTTCTACTATGGTGTAGTGTTGGATGCATGCCGTAGAGCATTTTTTAACAGCGTCCTCGTCTTTTCCGACAGTGCGAGCTATTTCTCTCCAAGAATTATTAACAACATGTTGATCACGGTGATCTCTGAGAGCTGAATCATACAAATGTCTGTATTTACGAACCTCTGCCGTACTAGTTCTTGCCGGTCCGCCATGCTTTTCCGTGTCCGACCGTCCGCGTGGTTAGAAAATGTCCTAGGTGCGCGTTGAGGAAATTTTGGGCCGTGCGGAGGCGCGGTGGAGGGGGCGTGGTTTTTAAAATGACGCAACTTTTTCGCGCGGAGCCGTGCGGACCTCGTGGACGCGTCAAGCATAGACGAACCTTGCTTGTCTGAGCTAACGTGTGCCGTCAGAAACATTCAAACCATTTTAAAAGAGAAGTTCAGCTTTCAAGTCAACTAAAGTGCGCGACTCTGCGCTCGCGCTGATGAAGCATAAACCAAGCTTTAGAAATCTGCCTGAACCTGCTGATGTGGGAGGAGTTTCTCTCTCCCTTACTCAACTATGTTCTCTCTCTCTCTCTCTCTCTGTCCCGGGCCCACCTACGGTGCATTATTATCGGCTCTAGCAGCGCTGTGTGTGGGAACATGAAACAGGGAAAATAACCTGAACATGCAGCTCTGGCAGCTGTGGAGCTGGGCTCGGCTCTGGGCGGTACACCCCACCCCGGCTCTGGGCGGTACACCCCACCCCCCTCCCCCTCGCTGGCTTTTGCCGCCGCCACGCCATAACACAGGGGGAAACCCCCGGATGTAAAAAAAAGTTACACAACTGATCCTGGATCAGTCGAAACCGCTAAAACCACAGCTTTGACGTTCACGTGATCGTGCTGTTTGAAATCGCGATTTTGGTCCAAAAACGATAGTTCAGCCCTATTCTGCTCAATAAGCCTGTTTATTGTAGAGCTGTTACTAGATATCTCAGATTAAATTGGGATTAAACCCTAATTTTCATGACTTGATGAAAAATCTGAAAGCGAGGAGTATTTTTGTGCTTTTGTTTAATCCGTCATCAGATCTCTCCATTCCTGGCTTGGAGAAGGAATCTGCCCTGGACTTGGGCCGGGATCAGTACAGCGGCAGCGAGAGCGACAGAGATCGGGACGATCTGGATGACAACAGTGACTCTGATGAAGACAGCGAAGAGGACAGGGACGAGGAGGGAGACGGCGAGCAGCGAGGGCGTGCGGAGCGGCGGGCTGATGGCGGGGAACGGGAGGAGGACAGAGACAGAAGTGAAAGACTTGCCGGTCAGTGCTGCAGTGTGTTTGAGCTCCTGAGTGTAATCCTAATGGCTTCGGGTCCCTCGTGAACGTGTCGTTCGGGTCTCTGACTTGCTGCAGGACGCAGCGTACGCTTCGCAGATCTGCCAGGAGATGATTCCCATGATGGGAAGAAGAAGAGAGGGGCGAAGAAGACCAAGGCCATTACGCCTCTGCAGGCCATGATGTTGAGGATGGCAGGTACGGTCATGTGATCACGTTCCGCCTCACGTCCTGTTCAGAACTAGGGTGCATGACAAGTCTGTCGTCCTCAGGTCAGTCGGTTCCCGACGAGGAAGAAGAGGAGGAGGAGGGAGAGGAGGAGTTCACAGATGAGTCGGACGCGTCTGACACCGAGGACCGGGCTCCACCGGCAGACGGCCAGTCCCAAGTCGTGGCCAGTCAGCGCCTCCCCCCTCCTGTTGGGGCTGTGGGTCAGCAGGGACCCCCTCCACCTTTACAAGGCCCACCGATGACTGGTCCTCCTCCACTGGGCCCACCACCTGCTCCTCCAATGAGACCTCCCGGTCCCCCGTCCGGCCCACCTCCTGGCCCCCCACCAGGTTAGCTTCATTCAGAAGAGATGACTGTTTTGGTGGCGGGACGCGTTTCTTATTTTCTCTTCTGTTTAGGCGCTCCTCCGTTTTTGAGGCCACCTGGTATGCCCGGAGGAATTAGGGGCCCGATGCCTCGTCTTCTGCCCCCTGGTCCTCCACCAGGTCGACCCCCTGGTCCTCCGCCAGGCCCTCCTCCCGGTCTTCCACCAGGCCCTCCACCCCGTGGACCCCCACCCAGACTACCACCCCCGGCACCACCAGGTAGGTGTATAAAGCTACAAGGAGGTACTGCGTAGTTTAATGGATGTGACTGCACACACCTCAGTGGTCAGCGTTTCCATCAGGACAGGTCTTCTCGTTGCCGGGTTGTCCTCTGTGACTTTTCCAGGTGTTGCATTCAGCTCCGTTTCCAACCAGACGACTCTGTTTCAGGGCAAAGCTCACGAGCCCATGCTTGAAAACTGCTCACCACGCACTCTGTAGCGACACGACAGACCTTCGGACCCGTAAACCCGGGAGCGAGGTGAACGTCGTGCTGCTACCGGCGTCTGTTGTCCCTCAGGCTTGCCGTAGTTAGAGGAGGATGCGCTGGGGTTCATGGGGTTGGAGGTAGAGGAAGGAATGACATTCAGGAAGTAACCCGAGGTTTGGGGATCCAGGCAAAAATGCTTAGAGACACCGTGTGTGTGTGTGTGTGTGTGTGTGTGTGTGTGTGTGTGTGTGTGTGTGTGTGTGTGTGTGTGTGTGTGTGTGTGTGTGTGTGTGTGTGTGTGTGTAGACACGGAAGTGGCTGGGCAGCCGTGGTGCTGCTCAACAGTGTCCCTCACCAGCAGAATTTCATACGTTTGATTTTCCTGCCACCGCGTGATTGCCAGTCGGGGGCTGGTCACGAGGCGTTGGTCGCTTTGGTGACCCCGGTATACGACACAAAGCTCAACGCAGAGCTCGGCTCGACCTCCCAGACTGGAGACGAGTGGAAAATTGGTAAAATGGTAAACGGCCTGTATTTGATACAGCGACTTCTAGAGTCCTGGAACCCCCCAAGGCGCTTTACAGTGGCGGCGCCAGGGGGTTGCTAGGGGGCGCTATAGCTACCCCTGGATTAGTCATTGCACCCCCATAGCACCCCCAAGTAAATATTAGATTTATTTTTTTACAATTTAATTTTAATTTAACGTGTGGATGTGATCATATTTAACATACAAAACAAAAATAACCAGTAAATTATTGTAACCGGATTACAGGATACAATAAGATAATTAAAAGAAAAAATAAACAAATGGGCCAATAATTAGGTTCGGGGAGAATTGGAGGTTGTTTAAGAATGACTGGAGTCACGGGTATAGCATGAAACGGTTTATATACTAAATTTTAATAATAATGGGAAATATAACACATAAAGATAACACACAAAAACAGATGAAAACAATCGACAATAGTAAAATGCTCGGTATGAGATTTGATCATATGAGTCACAAGTCAGCCGGCGTCAAGTCAAATCCCCACGCTTGGGGTGAAAGTCAGAGTCCGGTGGTGCGATTTTTTCCTACCACACCGTTGAGATTGTTCACAGAAGAGAGCAGTCTGCTCTTCAGTTACTTGAGATGTCCTGGTTCGTTCAGTGGTTAAGGCTCGCCATCTCCCTCGTCAGGAAGAAATCCAGTTCTCGTTCCAAGTGAGTGATCATAGGAGTCGGGATCAAACCCAAGGAAAAAAAAAAAAAAACCCAGCCTGTAAACAACAGGACTGTTAGCAAGTTGGCATCGACCCTTCTCGTCACATCACAGCATAAAGTCTTACAGACTTAAACAAATGCTTCACTCTATTGGCATAGCCAATCATGTTTGGGTTCACAGTTCAACTAACATAACATCAATTTGATTGTCTATTAAAATAATTCTCAGTAGCTCTGGAAATATAATTACATATGACAACAATTGTTCAGCTCAATAGGCTCAGTTAGATTCTATTACTCTACACTATTCAACAAGAAATACATTCATGACAACAAGGATACATTTAGTTGTGTTTCTATACAGCATTGTGACACCTTGTATATCTGTAACACAATAAATAAATAAATAAACAAACAAATAAATAAATAAATAAATAAAATTTTCTATAACAAAATTAAACAAAATATAAATTCTGGTCCTTTGGTCCACCTTTGTAAAATAATTCCTCCCTAATCAGTTAGCTTTTATTTATTTTTATTTATCTATTTTTTTTATTATTAAATGTTTGGTTAAGGGACGCATTGCTAATTCTATGGCGTTAGCTATAACGCCCCTGAGGACCTTGTACATCTAGGCCGTACCACCGTTAACTGGCGGTTTGAGCCGTTAACTCCAGGGAATCCCATATGCCGTACCGCCGTTAACTGGCGGTTTGAGCCGTTAACTCCTATATGCCCTACCACCGTTAACTGGTAGTTTGAGATGTTAACTCCTGGGATCTAACGTCTAGCAGCCCACTGCTGTCACCTCGGTTGCTGTAATTAGCTTTTTGAATTTAATAATTTACTGAATTTAATCTCATTCACTCACCAACGCGCTCCAACGGTTCCCTCCTACAGAGGATTGGTTCACTCTGTCGTCTCCACACAAATCTATAAGAATGGAATTAATTTGATAAGCTATTTAAGTTTCCTTTTTTTTTTAAGTTGCATCGTTAGCTTTTTCTCTTCTTTTTTCTTTACTCACCGCGTTGGTTCCAAGTTCCTAGCTCTTATTAGAAGGAGTCAAGTCCGCCTCTCCCTCTATCTATGCGGCACCCAAATCAGGGTTCTTCACGGCCTCGACCGTTGTTTTTTTTTCTCTCTCTCTCTCTCTCTAACCGCTCAGTCTTTGCTTTCTGTATCTGCGTGCTGCACAGCCGTTTGTCTCTCCTCTCGCTCAGCTGCGTCGCACGGTTTTATTTCGCGGAGGCGGGACTTATTTCTCTCAGCCAATGAAATTTCAGATTCCCACCTGGACCAATAGTATACAGCTTTCCTCTTCTGTTTCTGTTAGGGATGTTCAAGATTCTTGTTTTAACCGATGTTTAATATTAAACTCGTTATTTTAGTTATTCACCCTTCCAATAATTCATTATGAAATTATCTATTAGTTAATTAGATATCTATTAATTAGTATTGTTAATTTCCTTAATTTATATTTTATATTTTATCTAAATTGAGGATGGATCATATTAGTAAGCCAATTAGTTAATACCTCATTAAGGTTCTAGCTTCTGGGTTACATCCTCCCCCATTAAATATCATGCACGTCCCTGTGCATTGTTTCTACGGGGTACACAACTTCTTGAGTAAGAGAGTCAATAAAAGCTTTATTAAGTCCTTGGAAAAGGGACCTAACTACGGTCACTAGTGGATTGCCCAATTGAGAGTAAGTTAGTCTTTGAGGAGGCTGACTACTTCGTTCAGATCTCCTGACATACATCTCTGGTTGCACAGTATCATGCTCATCCGTTTCGGTTTGATTCTCAACTGAGACAGGACGAAGTGAGCTCTCTGTTTCCGACAGAGCTGATGAGCTATTCTCTAAGACTTTGGTCTTTTCAGATGTATGTGTCTGATCGTGTATGATGGGTTCAAAACTTACATCACGTTGCTGCGACTTTAGGACACCATCCAATTGAGGTAGGTTTGTGTTAGTTTCATCCCCCGTTTCTACGTCAGGTAAGTATGCTTCGTTTTTTTTCGTTTTTTCAGGTAAGTATGTTGCTGCTTCTTTCACTCTTTCAGGTAAGAATGTTTCGGTGTTGATGCCTTTGTCAAGTAAGGACAATTCAGCATTTTCATTACCAGCTAAGGTTGGTTCCTTGCGATCCCCTGTGTGTAAGGATAGTGTGTTTTGTTGTTGAATATTATTTACCGGTCCTGAATCTGCTATGAGTTCCCTATTTGGCAAGGTGACCGCTATTTGATAGGATGGTCGGTTTAGCACTTGTGGAAGATCAGAGTAATAAAACTCATCTACCTCTTCGTCAAGTGGCTCATCTGGGTCAGGTTCTAAGGCTGAACTCTGTCTTGTATGAGGTCTGCTAGGTTTCGTAACGCGTTCTGTTTCATTTTCTAATGAAGAGAGAAAACCACAAGGCAGTAAAAGATCTCTGTGGAGTGTTCTGTTGGGTCCTTCTCCGTTCTCTGGTTTTACAGTGTATACTGGCAAGTTTTCCATCTGTTTGAGAACTATATACACTGTTTGCTCCCATTTGTCTGCTAATTTATGCTTTTCTCTTAAGCGAAGATTTCGGACTAAAACACGATCTCCCACACCTAGTGTGGACTCACGAATGTTTCTGTCGAACCGTTCTTTGTTCTTCCTCGCTGTTTTTTGAGAGTTTTTTATGACAATGTCATAACTCTGTTCCAGATGACTCTTCAGTTCTTTAACATACTGAGAATGAGTTATAGAGGGCTTGTTCAAATGCGGTAACCCAAAGGCAATATCTATAGGCAACCGAGGCTGCCTACCGAACATTAGCTCGTAGGGAGAGTATCCCGTCACGTCATTTTTTGTACAATTGTACGAGTGAGTAAGTGGTTTTACAAAATCGCGCCAGTGATGTTTCTCAGTGGCTTGTAAAGTTCCCAACATGCTGAGTAATGTACGATTGTACCGTTCAACGGGGTTGCCACGAGGGTGATAAGGGCTCGTTCTGACTTTACGGATACCAAGTAAAGAACAAAGTTCCTTGATTGTACGTGATTCGAAATCCCGTCCCTGATCACTATGAAGACGCTCAGGAAACCCGTAGTGGACTAAAAAATGTTCCCACAGGTTCTTCGCGACGGTGGTGGCTTTCTGATCTTTGGTTGGGATGGACACTGCATACTTTGTAAAATGGTCTGTAATCACTAAGACATCTTTAGTGTTCTTACTGTCTGGTTCTATGGAGAGAAAATCCATGCAAACTAACTCCATAGGTCTGGTGGTGGTAATACTCACCATTGGAGCAGCTTTGTCAGGGAGGGCCTTCCGACGGATACATCTTTCGCAAGTTTTAACTTTGATTTCGATATCACTAGCCATTCTTGGCCAGTAAAAACGGGACCGAATGAGATCTGTCGTACGTTCAACCCCAAGATGCCCCATATCATCATGTAGGCTTTGCATGACTGTTGAACGTAATGAATCAGGCAAGACTAACTGCAATGATGTCTCTGGTCCTAATTGGCGTCTCCGGTACAGTAAATCATTTTGAAACTCAAACCGTTTCCACTCTCTCAAAAGGTTAAGAACCACCGGGGGTTCTGC